TTTGTTCTTGCCAAGTAAACATTACCTGGATTTTAGTAAACAGCGGCTCGCTTTGACCGAGCTTCTCTCGCCCCTCATCGTGATAGTAGCAGTATCAATACTCACTTTGACTTATCAATTAAAATTATTATTAGTTCTTATTCGAATAAAGATAAGGAGAGAGAAAAAACCTAAAAGACGCCGCAGAATTTTTAATTTACCGCTTTTCTCTCATCGCAAGTCTTTCACAATCATTTCAAAGTTTGTCTGCGATATTCAGATAACCTCTGATAATATTCCATTTTCTATATACACGACCCAGCAGATTTCCGTACAAATAAAAAACGTCATCATCTTAGCATGGGCGAATCCATAGTAAATTATGCCAATGTTTGGTATCTTATAGTATATCGTCGCTTATTTTGAGATTTAGTTGCTTAAGTTTTCCACCAATCGATTCAGCATGGTGGAACCTTTAAGAAAGAAATATAATTGCCAAAGGGTTTTAATTTTTTGGATTTTCTTGTTCATTCTGATTATTCTGAGGTTTATGAACTTAATCATTATCCAAGTATTGTACACAGACAAAACAATTTTAGTTTTACATTTACATTTAAGTGGAAGTTTTTTCGCGCGCTCTTCAATTGTTCGATATGAAAATTAATTAATACTTCTCTCTCTCTCTCTCTCTCTCTCTCGCTCCGTCTTTCTCTCAAATTCTCCCTCTCTCTCTCTCTCTCTCTTTNCTTTCTCTCTCTCTCTCTCCCTCTCTCTCTCTCCCTCTCTCTTTCTCTCTCTCCCTCTCTCTATACCTTTCCCTCTCCCCTATCTCACTCTCTCTCTCGCTCTCGCTCCGTCTTTTTCTCAAATTCTCTCTCTCTCGCTCTCACTCTCTCTCTCTCTCTCTCTCTCTCTCTCTCTCTCTCTCTCTCTCTCTCTCTCTTCTAATTTTCTATAACTGTTGCTCAACCTCACATCAAAAACTGTACGAATTTTAACTTCCAACATCATCACGGAGCCGGATAATACAGGATAGCCCGGATAGGTGCACTAAGCTCTTAGCAATCTTGTTGATTAATTTCCTTTTTTGGTCAATTTACGACCAAAATTAGTTGAAGCCGATGATCATATTCATGAATCAGGTGTTGAAAAGTTTAAGCTTGATAAAATGTTTTTTATTTCAATTTTCTAGGATTCGTAGTACAGCCTTATCTACCAACTTATCTATAAAAGCACTGTAGCCCCAAAATACTGTTTAGTATGTACTTAATGTTGTTTTCAATATTAGAAGTATCGACCATTCACTCAAGAACTCTGGATCAAGGTATGGTCTTAAGAAAAAAGCAAATTCAGTTCATACTCATTTATATGAAAATCAAATGTGGTAACCACAAAAACTTTAAAAACTTTTGATTTAAAAACTGCATCATTTGTGGTTGTTAAAAACGTGCAAAATACTAGTTCATCACCCTCTCAGACCTTCATAATAAATCCTCTAACCAAACTTAACAACTTAACGCCATCAAAGAAGTGCTTAAACAATATTTCTGACAATGGTTCCTAACCAGGAACAACAGACAATAACAATTTAATTTTTAAGTTTTTTTTTATGTGACAAACCATAGAAAATCGATGGGCGATGATTCAGTAGTAGGATAATAAGACGTGGTAGAGACAGGGTAGACGGGGCCGTTGTGTGCCCAAGCTGTGTAAATAGTCGGTGGGGCCACTTCAAGATTCCCCCTTCGGCTAATCGTCGACACCCCACGCTCAGGCCACTCCGACAATTATTATCATTCTGTTCAGCAGCTGAAGCACAATGCGCTAAGTGCTCTGTTTCATTTCAATCGGCCGAGGGGGTGAAGCGATGCAACTTCCAATCGGGGACGCCTTGGCCGGCATTAAAACAACGAGATTCGGTCCAAGTCATGTCATCGTGAAGATCATCTGATGATGCAGGCTTCAAAGCAATATATTCACTCACTAATTCCTTGTAAATGAGTTCTCCTTTTTTCCTTCAAATACGGAAAAGCCACTGAGTCTCGAATAACAATTGAAATGATGTGACAACTGCAAAACTTCGAAATACAGCCTGTTTTTACGCAAGCACATCTTTGTATCTGTAAATCACGATTAATCTTTCGAATAGAGCAAACTACTAGTTTTACCTGCAATTTTGAATATACGGAGCTACTCAAATTGAACCAGATGCAAAAATAAAAAGTACAGAGGTGCGAGGTCATGCTGGTTTTATGAGGAAAAAGTTGGAACTCTTATATTTCCCGCCAGGGCAACATGAACAAATTCGAAATCCAACCATCGCCTTTTAGGCAATTGGCCCTGGCATAACCCAATGGGCAAACCTTTCTCGTATTGGCACATGATGACATGGAATAATCCAGTGGGCAGTCCTTTCTCTCATTGGTACATGATGCCTTGGCATAACCAGGCAAAATTTTCTATCATTGGCAACTGATGCCTATGCATATCAAGGCAAACCTTTCTCACATTATTCTCCCATTGGGTATGAAGCTTTGACATGACCCAATGCGCAAACCTTTCTCGTATTGCCACGTGATACTCATATGAACTTTCCATCAGATGATCCATGATTTTAGGAGAGATCTATTCGTCTCATGAAACACCGTTTAAGACACTTCAATCCGACGCGATGATTTGTGTTCAAAGCCTTAATTTAAATAACATTGAACTTAATATCGATGTGTTGTTTTTTTTTCATTAAAAACCACCAGTTATCATGTTTAACTATTTGAGCTATCAGTAAAAGTTCGTCCCAAAGAAAAATCGGGATCTAAATCAACAAAACGCTCCAGATCTCACCCCCTTATCCCTCGTAAAGGCGTAAAATTCCGAATAAATCATAGAGGAGGAGGAAAGGGTAACATCCCGCCAATACTGGCCCCGTAAAACCTAGACACTAACTCGCGATAAATGCTCTCTTTTACCATAGCAGAAAGAAAAACTTTTCAAAAAAAGAAAAAAAACGATGGCTGGAATCCACTGGAATGTAACAGCCTAGTATAAGTTAGAATAGGGAAAGATTGCCCCCTCTCATCCTCGGGTTGTGACATTGGTTAAAGCATTCAGATTAACAACTTTTATTGACACAACCTCCAAATCCCGTGCACACTCACCGTTTCTCACAGGGCGGCTTGATAACCCGAGTTAGCCCTCAATCACACAAGCCCCTCCTAGCGTGCTTTCACCCCCAACCACTTCATCTCATCGCGATGCCGAATCACGCCCGCGCGCTTTTTGCACTGCACACTAAGCGATCCGAATCCAATTGGGGACACATTCTTTAATCCCCCGGGGGCTCTGGCCAGGTTGAAGTAGCGAGGAATCGAACCTACTGGAAAACAACACGTATCGCAGACAGGGAAAACTGTACACGAAGCCCCCTCTGTGTATCTGGGGCCATTAAGGCTTTCCCGGTAGTCCACTGATCATTATTGATTTTGTGGTAACGGGGAAAGGGAAAACAAGACAGATAGCGGCTGAGAAGATACTTCGCCAGCATATTTATCGGCTCAAATCCCACACATTATTAAAGCAAATAAGATTATTTCACATGTAAAAATGTTTCATTTTATAATAATAATAATTTGGAATTTTCTTTTTTTCACCGATATTTCAATAATTACAATTATTTACTGTTATGGTTTTTGGTGTATTGGCCTTCTTTGGGTATAATATTGTGTTTAGTCAATTGTTTACGGAAATTGGTCGAACAAAGGATTAGTGCCGGACTACAATTTAAAAATGGGCTTATCTATGTACTTCTCCTCACAGATTATTATCACAGATTTCATCTTCTATCCATCTTTTCCTGGCCAGTCTTAGCATATAGACCTAACGTGTTTTGTTGCTTCAATTATTATGTGCTCTCTCTCTCTCTCTCTCTCTCTNCTATCTATCTCTATCTATCTATCTATCTATGTATTTATCTACTCACACTTACTTTCCCTCACACTTTTTGTCTTTCTCCCCTCCCACTCCCTCTCTCTCACTCACTCACTCACTCACTCACTTACTCTCTCTCTCTCTCACTAAATCACTCCCCCCTCTCTCTCTCTATCCCTCTCTATATCTCTTATATTTATTTCTTATTTGACTGAAATTTATTGCAACGTATTGAAAATATTTAATTGAAATCATACAATTGTCCTTTTTTATTTGTTCATAGTCGATTTCTGTTTTGCCATTTTACATTATTTATACCACTACTTCTCTTATTATTAGTGTACTATATATATATATATATATAGTATATATATAGTAGTTGTAGTATATAAATTACATCTTCCTGATGCTTGATTCTCGCATAGGTTAGAAGTTGTGAAATATGAAAAAAAATAGTTGTGTAAAAATGAAAAAGTTTTCATTTTCTAACTTGAAAATCAACAAGTTAACTTTTGAATCAGGAAAGCCTGTTTTACGGGTATATAAATTGAAATTGATTATTACAAAGACAGTAAAAAATTCACATTTAATTGTTGTTTTAGTTCGCATAAAATGATAAAAACTTCAAAAATCTAGAAAACTGATTTGGCCTCTTGTCTCTCTTCTCTTCTTTCTTTCCCTTTGCATTATTTATCTATTATTAATAACTTGAACTTAAATTTACTCCAATAATTAGGACGTTCTCGAGTAGTTTTACGGTATAAAATTAAAATAGAAAGCAAATTTTTATGGAAATACAAGGATGTTTTGGCATCTGTGATTTGTCGTTGTGAATGCTGAACATATTTGCTCTGTTGTTCTCTTCCAGTAAAAATTTTATTCAAATCCTAAAATATTGAATTTCAAGTAGTATTCGATTATGATACTTAATAACCACCATTTTTGTTCCATATTGTCTCTGAATAAACCGAAGCCTGTAAAGGTTTTTACACAAATTCAAATACCTTTTTGAAAAATATTCAGTGACCATTTTGTCCCGACCCCACGCCCGGTCCCCCAAAATTGCGAGCTAACGCTGTCCCTTTTTTGGTTTTCAGATTCTTCCGAGTCCGGATCAAACAAGTGTCGAGAGACTGTGAGGAGCGGTGGGAAAGTGACGTCTGACGGAAAACCGACACGGGTGAGGACGGTCCTGAACGAAAAGCAGCTCCACACCCTGCGCACTTGCTACTCGGCCAACCCGAGGCCCGACGCACTCATGAAGGAGCAACTCGTCGAAATGACAGGCCTCAGCCCGAGGGTCATCAGGGTCTGGTTCCAGAACAAGCGGTGCAAAGACAAGAAGCGAGCCCTCGCCATGAAACAGCAGATGCAGCAAGAGAAGGTTAACACATCATTAATGACTACTTTATAACACAGCTCTAATAATCTACATTAAAGATTTCAACAAATAAAAAGGAAATCGAAACTATAGCAGAATTTCACGTTCAGCCATCAGCTGTTCGTTGTAGTTTTCGATCAGATTTCAACACCTCACGACACGGATGATAAATAACGATAAAAGATCAATTATGACCTCTTCTCCGGTGCTGTCCTCATTTTCTACTTCTTCCCTACATTTCTAGCAATTTTCTTAATTCAGTTTCTTGATGTTTCTGTCGAAGTTAAATCCGCGTTTCCGATTTCTCAATGATGGTTTCTATTAGTTCAATTTCTATTCCTTTAATTTACGTTCCTTTAATTCTTAATTTGTCTATCGGAATAAGGCGTTTCTTACTTCTCAATGAAGATGAAATCGCTAAGATCTTCTCCGAGGTTCTTCATTCTTCTTTCCTATATCCTGATTATTGCTAATTCCCTAAATCAATTTTCTATCCTTGAAGTTTTCTCTTTCTGAGTTTTTTATCGCAGTTAAAGGCGTGTTTTTACAACTGACTGATAATCAACAATGATAAAACAGCTCAAAAATGATCTTCTAGTCAGACACACTTAATTTTTTTGTTCTTCTTTTCTATGTCCTTGTTATTAACAATTAGCTAAATCAATTTCATCTCATTGAAGTTTGGTCTTTATTAGTTTTTTCTCAGTCACAGGTCATTTTCAGCAGAGCAATTCCAGTATAGGGTCAATAGTCCTCTTTGAATCATTTCCCATGAATAGGGAAGAGTTATTTAGTTTTTTCTTTACACAAAAATACAAAGGCGTCGTGGAAGCGCGGTAGGATAAGAAACCCGCCGAATGGTGTCCGTTAAGGATGTATTTGTACAGAAATCGAATCATCATCAAAGGGGCCGGCAGTCGAGGGTGGGCTTTGAAGCAAGGTCACCGCCTCCACATATTTGCTTAGGAGTCACGGCCTTTCGCCTCCTTTTATCAAATAGCCTCCTTCCGGTCCCCTCTCCTTTATTTTCTCCTTATACGCATACAAACTTACCAAACACTTGTGCAACCGACATGCCCCTCAACGTGCGAAATGCAACCGGAAACCATGTACCAGTACAAACCACTGTTTTGCAGTATTCAACGCTGGTTATTGCGGTTGCCTCGTTTTCTAAAACTTTCAAATCATACAGCTTATACACCACTCAGACTGGTTTACTAATTACTACACTGATTACTATCAAAAGAAACATTCAGATAAGTTAATGAAAGGAGATAACCGTTCATATAAAGTTGTATCAGATAAGATAGTTAAATTAAAATATTCTCTTTCCTCTGTTCTTATTGTCCCCTGCCTTACTCCCACCCTCACTCTCACTCAATCACTCTCTCTAGCTCTCTCTCACTCTCTCTCTCTCTCTCTCTCTCTCTCTCTCACTATCACTCTCACCCTCTTCGGAACTCTCTCTCCGCCGCCCTCTCCCTACTCCTCACTCACCCCCTCTCCATCACCCCTTCCCTCTCTCTCTCTCACAATTACTCTCCCTCCCGCTCCCTCCTCCTCACTCACTCCTTCTCACTCACGCCCTCTCCCTCACTCTGTCTCTCTCACTATCACTCTAACTCTCTCTGTCACTCTCACTTCCTAACTCTCTCTCCCACTCTCTCTTTCACTCTCACATCCTCTCTCCCTCACTCTTTCCTTCACTTTTCCCTCACCCTCTCTCACTCTCCATGTCTCTCTCACTCTCTGTTCCTAACTCTCTCCCACATTCCCTCTTTTTTACTCTTTCCCCCTCTCTCCCCCTTGGTTTCTCTCTTTCACTCACTCTCACATCCTCTTTCCAACACTTTTCCCTCACCCAATCGCACTCTCCATGTCTCTCGCATTCTCTGTTCCTAACTCTCTCTCTCTCTCTCTCTCTCTCTCTCTCTCTCTCTCTCTCTCCTCTCCNCTCTCTCTCTCTCTCTCTCTCTCTCTCTCTCTATCTATCTATCTATCTATCTATCTATCTATATATCTATATATCTATTTATCTATCTATCGATCGATCGATCTATCTAACAATATCAGCTTGGTGATATTTCCAACGTTAAAATATGATCTGTCTTATGAAAGGGGTTTAATTAACAGAAATGTCCTTGATAAAGATTATGTTTATGAATCTGCAGGCAAAAAGGATTACAAATTGGATTTAATTATGAAACTCATTCAGACACAAAACAAAAGTAAAAGCTTGAGGTGTTTATTGAGACGGTGTATTTTCAAGGAAGGTATGATCAGCCGTTAGATTATCGCGTCATTTCTATATAACAAAAGAAAAAAGTACAAGATTGGCAGTTGATTCAATTGGGTTTGATTCCATCTGACCATAGACTTCTTTTGATCCTGTACTCTCGGACCATGTGATTCAAACGTTGGGAATTGAATTATGTACAAATAAATTAAAACTAAAAGAAGAAAAACCGGCGTGTAAAGGAAAACAACAAAACAAAAACGGATCACGACCGAGTTTTAATGAAGTGCGAATGATCACAGTGGGAGAGAGTGAGACAGAGGTCGACCTGAGTTATTCACCCGTAATAATAAAAAAACCGGCATTAGCTTACACTTTGATAATATAAACCGTCTATTAGAAATATATAAAGTCGGATATTTCTAGCGCCGAGCAAGTTGGGAACCGAGGAATCCGTAATTTGCATACAAATCGTCCGCCTCCTTTTGAAGTCTTTCTGAATCATTTGAAAGGACTGAAAAATAAAAAAAGAGACGAAAAGGGTGTAAGTCAGCCCATAGTAATGGACCTGTTTAAGCGGGAAAAAATGTAGTCCAAAGAGTAACACACTTACAAATAGTTCGTTTCCTTTTATGTTAAGTACGGCTGTGGGCATTCGGCGGAAAACGTTTTATACGTACACCCCACTAAAAATCTTATAAATTCCATTAACCTATTAAAGTTCGGGGAGAAACGATAATTGTTAAAACAAAACAAAAAAGTGCACGATTGACTTAAAAGTCCACAGTAAGATAGTACGATTTCAGGCCAATAAGTAGGGCGAGGCACGATATTTCTACAATATTGCTGCTAATTTCTCTTGTGTTTCTTGTGCTCCGGTCGACCGAGTCGAGATAGTTTGCTATTAAAAGTATATTTCACTTTAAGATTTAACAATTTTACTACCTAGTATTTGTGTTTACACCATGAATTTTATTGATGATGACGACCCACTACTTCTAAGATGGAGTTGTATTTCGAGATCGATAAAATAAAGATCAGGGGTGGAGAAATGTTTGCTCCTGGGGAGGTTTATTATATCTGAAACTGCGGGGAGATTGTTTTGGATGGGATGGATTGTCTGTCATTTGTTGACTAAGGAATGTTCTGTTGACACAAGCCCGAGTTGCCCCTTTTTCCCCTCTGACAACGTAAAAGTGCGGCACATCGATTGGGCAGTTCGAAAAAAAAGCTGATTCTTAACGATTGGCCCCTCAATCAATCCGCGATATTCTCCCTTTTGCGTACTGCAAATTCAATTTAGAGGGGTGGAATTCGTTTTTGGCTTTGCGAGTTTGGCATAGTCAAGGAAGGCGTCTTATGGCTTCGAGGTTCTCGTCCCTATTTCGATGTATGTCGCACCTTGAGCCGGTGAGGGGTTGAAAAAAAAAACGAGAAATTGTAAGGGTGAGAGCAAGTGGAAGATGCAAAGATCCAGGCCAATCCGATTTGACAGTTAACTTCACCCCTCGAGGTTTGAGCCTATTTTTGTACTTTTTAACAGGGAATGTGCTTCAATATGCATACATCTTCTCTCGCAACAAATACATTCACATAACAATGAAATCTTTATAACAGCATGTGCACATTAGAAGAAATTTCGAGCCATTGGGATATTCGCTGGATAAATAATCGCTCTATAAATCCACCGCAGCATACTCAAACTCTCACGCTAATAAATACATTAATACAGAAACAAACCTTTCAAACTGCAACAGATAAAAGCAATTCCAAGCCACCGGCTATTTGATATTACGACGGTATCTTGCCACCATTCACTTTACAAGCCTACCCACACATAACCAAAACACTCGAGTTATAATTACATTCACTCAGTAAAGGTTAAGCATGAAAGAGACTTCAATGCGACCATATGCATTTTCCGCTTGAAGTAACCAATAAGCTCTATGCGATCACTGCTGTTTCAAAAGTTCTTTCAGACTCGTGGAAAGGCTTGTGCCAGCCTGGTGTGGCCTATTCCCTATCTGTCGAGTCATTAATATTACTTCTTTCCTGTCCGTAATGTAACGAAAACAAAAGCTATGGTATTTAGAACCTCACCCAAATGTAAAAAATTGAAAAAGCTGTATTTTGGTCGTAAGTGCGTAGAGTATGTTAACACGTTTACATATCTAGGTGTACATTTAGTTGTGTTGGGAAGTTCAACTCAGCAGTGAAAAATTCATTTAATAAAAGCTTGAGAGCACTTGGGAAGTCTAGAAACGTCTTAGTAAAGGGTAGATCGCGTTCATTAGAAACGAAAAAGAGACTATTTGATTCTATTGTTGCTGCCTCATCCTTGTATTCTGCGGAATTGTGGTCACGGCCATTTTAACGAAATGGATAAATTACAAGTATTTTACTGTAACTTTACCATTTGCCCAGAAATACTCCTAGTCACTATGTGAGGATTGAGCTTGAACTTGAGCCCATTACCGTGCAGTTGCTAAAAAGAATTTTAAATTTGTGGATAAAAGTATTGAGCACGGAAAATGGTTCACTTTTGAGAAGTTCCTGTCATGATGTCTTCCGTAAGGCTAATTCATCAGCATGTGATTTAGAAGTAAATTATAGGGACTGGTTCTATCAAGTACAAAAGTTACTGATTGGTATAGGTTGTAGCAAGATGTGCCTTTAAGACCCTGAACGCTAAAACGGGAAAAAGAAAGTATTTTGTCGAAATGGAAAAATAATCTCTACTCAATAGACATAGAAAAGGCGCTAAACTCACAATTTAACCCTTTTTATAGAAAAATCAGCTCCTTGTACAAATGTGAAAATTATTTACAACTAAACTTGTCAATAAATGAATAAAGGTTACTTATACAACTAAGGCTGTATAGTGCTAAGGAAATCTTTTTTTTGTAAATGGGCTCAAATATTTTTTTTTTTTTTTTTTTTTGTAAATGGGCTCAAATATGTAATTGACACACAATAAATGTTCTCTTTGTGTAAATTGTTGGAAGAGGAAAAGTTGGAACATATATTTTTAAATTGTCCAATTTACCAACCGCAATTCGCAAATCCTTTTATTTAAAGAAGTACATAGATACATGTGCAAATAGTAATAATTTAGAAAAACTTGAGTTCTTGCTAAAAGTTGAAGCAAGAAACCAGGGAATTGATGTGTTCAATTTTGTTTATGAAGCACTTAAATTGAGTGCTTTTATTGTAAATGAATGATGTTTCATTGTCGTCATATCTTTAATTTGTCATTTGGTTCCCCCCTGTAATAGCTATTGCTGAAATACAGTATTAATCTATCTATCTTTCCTGTCCGTTCTCTCCACAGTTTGACCGACAATTGTATGTCTCTTACAATTGACATACAACCTGTAGTTATGCATTCTTCCTAACCCATATGTATATTTACCCTAATTAATTACTTAAATTAATTATACTTTTTATCTAAGGTCTTGGTTGAGATGAAAAGGCTAGTGTAACGAACGGGATTCGAACCCACGACCTTCGGCTCTATACGCCGCTGCTATAACCACTTGAGCGTCCCTAGTTAAAAAATTTAATTAATTCTTTCTAACATTTAACATCATTTTTGACACTGCCGGTCTCACGGGGGTGGCTGACATGACCCGGAATCCAAGCAATGATGACTTTTTTTTCGCTAATATTTTCTTTCGTTGCCCGGACTAGTGGGTCCATGGAGAAAACGTTAAGGGCGGCTAAGACCGAAGACAAAGCAGCGGGGAGAGTCAAAAAGGTCTCAGACAAAGAAACATTTGTAGTCAGGTTGCCGTTTAATTAATAAAGCGGTGACAGGCTGATTCCAAGAGGAGGAAAAAGTCATTTTCCTTTTGATAAGGAGGTAAAAATGTTCGATATGGAAGATATATTGAGGTAGAAAGGGTTACAAGAATTCTCTGTAATTGGGAGTCTGAGGTGATTGTTGTGAATAAATGAATAAATGAGCGGAAAGACTCTGGTACTGCATTAGTGGTTCTGACTCGGTTGATAAAGGACCAGTCCGGTCCGTTCCTATCTCCCTGGCGCCTCTCTTCATACCAATCCCACTTAGCTCACCTCCCATTCCAAATTATTCCCCCTGTCTGATTGATTCGTTTTATCCCCGGCCTCCTCTGACACCCACAAAACGGAGAAGGCTCACTCGGAACGGTTTTCCGAGAAAAAAAAGTCGAACCGGGCTGGTTATTTAGTAACACGGGACGAAAGAGGACGTCCTTCCTAGTCGGACCGCGCCAGATGACAAACGGTCGGCGAACGTTCTATTAATTTAACCTGTCTCTCGATTTATTTTATCAAACGCAAATTCTTCTAATCCTTTGATTTGGAGGTCCTGGAGACTTGTACACCTAACAAGGCGCCGAATGTAAATTTTAAAAATCTAATAATTTTACACGATCCCATGCACAATTAATTAAATACATAAGTTCTGATTTTTCCTTCTCGAAGGTGGGCTAATAGGTCATCTCAAAAAAACAAAAAAATTTAATCTTTTTTCAATCCTCAACGTTCGGATTTATTTTAATCCTTCCTTAGGTGAGTTGACGCCTATACACAGAACAAAGATTTCTTACATTTTTAGACCAACATGGTTATCATTGTTTCTTTGCTACTTACACTGGTTAAAACAGTAGTCGTCAGTCATTAATATTTTGTAACAGCTTATTTTAAAAGAAGCGTGTGATGCGCATTTAAGTCCTTCAGACTCGGAAAAAGCGTTTTAATATTTTGATCTTGACTAGACTCTTATCATAGCCTATCATGTGAGGTAAAAAGGACATATTTAAACAACTCTGATGGATTCTTAAGATCGTCGTACTATTTCAAAGCCCAATTTATTTATTTGCAGGCTAAATACAGCTTATTCCCCGTCAAATTAACCCCTTTTAACTTCAAATTGACCCTTTCTTTAAAGCATTAAAAAACTTAGGAGATGGTATGAAATATAAGCATATAAAATAATGCGAATATTTTTTAAAATATAAAATAATTGAGCTTTCAAAAGACCTAATTTAAGACTTAATTTTATAAAGTTTTAAATTTAATTGTAGTTAATTTTCATAAAGTCTTATTATTTATTGGGTTGTCCGGAAAATAATGCAGGATTTTGGTATTAAACAAAAAAAAAGAAACTAGTTACTTTAAAGCAATGTTCTTTAATCAAAATAATTTCCCATACNGGTCCTCTAAGAGCCCAGTTATTTTTTATTAAAAAAACTCAGTTATACAGGAATTTTACTTTTCATGCTTATATTTCAACCAATCTTTTAAATTTTTAATGCTAAATATAAAAGGATCATTTGAAATTAAAAAGGATTCATTTGAATTTATAAAAGGCTAATTTGAAATTAAAAAAGGTTAATGTGAAGTTAAAAAGGTTAATTTTATGGAAAAAAGCAATAAACTGTACAACTGTATATAATTAGTAAAATAATTGTTAAAACCCGCAGACATAGAGTATGTAATAAAGTTGTTTTTAGGTTAACCTGAAAAGTGAAATATCTCGAATACAATTGAGCATCAGATTTTGGATAAATCAATGCTTTTTAGTCCAATTTGACTTGCTGGATAACCTCCAGAAGTGAATTCATGGGGCACCCTGTACAAAATAAATTGTAAATTGCCCATTTTATTTCCGTGGTTTGAATTGATTTTTCTGTTTCAGGACGGACGCAAGTTGGGATACGGTAGCATGCAAGGAATTCCGATGGTCGCCTCGAGCCCAGTGAGACACGAGAGTCCGATTGGCATGAATCCGATCGAAGTGACTTCGTACCAACCACCCTGGAAGGCCCTCAGCGATTTCGCTCTCCACACGGATCTGGACCGACTGGACCCTTCTGCACCTCCCTTTCAACACTTAGTCAATCAGGTTAGTTGCAGTTCTTTAACATAATAAAAGGAATTTTGATTTTATTCCAATTCTGTTCGACTTATAACATATGGCCGTTTACACCTTGCCTCAGTTGTTAGAAATTTTTACAAATGATGTAGGTGGATGTTTTGGTTGTCACAAATACACAAGGAACATTTTGGAAAAGACAAAACATTCAACTAATCACAGTTGCCTTCAGCGTCACTGAATCCTGCAGTTGTAACTTTTCTTTCCTAATTTGGTGTTGTGTAAAATAAAATATATGAGAAAGAGCAAGTTTGGAATGAGAACAATGTTCGAAAGAAATAATTAAATTAAATAAAAAGCAGTGGGAAAATAAAATTTTCAAAGTAAAATTGGGTTGGAAGGACAAGAGATTGACAAACGCTAAAAAAAGTGGAAACAATGACAAGGAAAATGGACAAGGCACATTAAAATAATATGAAAAGAAAATGTACAACGTTTGGCATATTTTTCTTAAATTAAAATAAGTTTGTTGGTTGTTTTCGAATACACAATTTCATTTTGAACTAATGAAAAATGTTTGTTTTATTTGAAAGTAGGGATTACGGCTTGAATTTTAACGTTTTTATAAAGTTATATGCTAGTAGTTTTATTCTTTAATTCAATCGGTTGGAAATATACGAGAAAAAAGTCAAACTAAGCCAGTTGGAATTTTCTTGTAGTTCTTGCAGTGATTTTCATTTTGTAGATTGAGTTTTTATACACCAGAAGGAGAAAATTGACTAAAAACAACATAAATCGCTTTTTGTGGGCTTATTTTAATAATAAGAGGATAAGAGGATAAAAGACAAACTAAAATACGTGGATTGTTCTTGTTGCAGAAATGTCTTTCACTTNAAGAAAAAAGGGCAAACTAAAATACTTGGATTGTTGTTGTTGTAGAAATGTCTTTCGCTTTATTTATTTAGTTCATTTTTTTGCACTCCAGAGGAAAGAAGAAAGTGACTAAAAACAACATAAATCGCTGTTTTCGTGGACTTACTTTTATAATAAGGAGATCGATAGGGATAAGAAAAAAGGGCAAACTAAAATACTTGGATTGTTCTTGTTGTAGAAATGTTTTTCCTTTCTGTGTTTTTTTATTGATGAATTTATGAAACAACGGTCGTAATTTTAACCACATTTTGAGATAGGCAAAAAAGTGTAAAGTTGGACAGTTTCATTTTTCTTGTTTTTCCCGATGTGCCCTTTCATTTCGATTAATTTTTCCTGATTTTTTTACCCTTTTGTCCCGACTCTCCCAAGGGATTGGATAAACGAACAACTCGTCATATGTTGTTTTCTTAATCTGATTGGGCATCGTATTTAGGGTGAATTTATTACGGAATCGATCCAGTTTAAACCATAAACACAATCAATAGAGCAGGAAAGATGCAGAGGAATTAAAAGGAATACTGCACGGAAAGGCTTATCGATTTCAGTCCCAACATGTATTTCTGATCGTGTGGCTTGTCTAAGGAAGGGAACCGTCAATATTCCTCTGGGATTCAAGCCCTCCTGACCGGATCATACTAGGGTCGGTGATTTTAAGCACTTATTAACTTTTAAAGTACCATTCTGGACGTACCAGTGCTATTTTCTCCCCCTTAAGGTAACGATTTTAAAAATAAGCGCAATTTTTTTCCTCCGACCGTATTTCCAAAATTTATCAACTTTCTCTCCGGTTTCCATCTTTTTTCATTTTGCCAGGGTAGCATTTATGGAGTATTGAAGTTGTAAATGAGTATCGGGGCGCGGTGGAGCAGTATTGATAGGAATGGTGCGCATGCTCTCGCTACGACCCAGGACCAATCCAAAGAACGTTGCTAGCCCCCCTTCACCACACCCCGTCGTCACTCAAAGCTCACCCTAAAACGAGCGGCATACATTTTAACAAAACTAATTCCCCTCCTGGAATCGAAATTATCGACGTCGAAACCCCTACGAAGAAGAAGAAAAATCATAACGTATATTCATATACTTTGGAAAATCATGTTCATTAAAAGTTCATTAAAATCATGTAACTTTTGATTTTTTAAAATCAAGTTTGGTGTATTTTCGTTTAAAAAATAAATTGCCACCTCAAATTATAGATTTATTGAATAATAAATCACTTCTCCCTATTAAAAAAAAAAATAACTAAATAAAAGTAAACAGGTAACCAAATCCATCATATATATTACCATATTCAGCAAGAACTAAAAATAAGTCATTAAAAAAATTTAAAAAAAAAAAAAACAATATATTTTACGTTTTACATTCGTAGCTGCTTGTTTATACTCAACAGACCAGTTTTTTCAATTCTCAATCACTAATCATAAAAACCATCAAATTAACACAACAAACAAAATTTGAATTGCGGCAAGGTAAATTTTCGATCATTTTAGCACACCTTTGTGAAAAATCACTGATTCACCATATCACGTTTCCAATGCGCCAGCGCCTAAAGAGCTAACCCATCCCATTCCTTTCAAACGGTGTAAAATCAATACAGACGAAATTTCACAAATCACAACCTCCTCGCTGTAAATATGTACATCCTTTGATTCGTAGGAAGAAGATTAAGATATTTAAAAGGATACTCCTGAAAACTATAGAGATAGTTTTATATACATTGCTGTAAATTTAATAAATTAACGTTCGGTTTTCTTTCAAAATTGGCGAAATTTTGTTGACAATGTTCAACAGAGTGGTATGTTCGATTTTCTTAATTTAAGCCATGGACGTAAACACCTTAGGGGTTTTATCATTTAAAGCCACGGATTTCTACATAAATCTTAGTAGTTTTACCCAATTCAAGCCAGGGATGCTTAAAGCCTTAGGTTTTTCTAAATACAAATCACGGTTTTCTGCATAAACCTTGTGTTTTTACCCAATTCAAGCCAGGGATACTTACATGAGCCTTCTCAGTGTCACTGGTGCCATGAGCACAGCGCCAACTGCGTTCCTGGAAGTTTTGTTAAACCTCCCACCACTTCACATTTTGATTCAAGGAGAAGCCAGAGCAGCAGCCCACAGGCTAATGAATGGACAACCATCTGCCAGGATAGGACATGTAAATAAACCAATAAGGGAGGAGATACAGGCAGATGCCATTCTAGGTATGCCAATTGATATCGCTAATTCAAAGTACAAATTTACCAAGAAGTACAATGTACTGATACCAGAACGGGAAGAATGGGCCAGGAACACCACTAAAGGCAAATTTTTACTGGTATACTGACGGCTCCAAAACCGACAAGGTACGGGAGCTGGGGTCTTTGGGCTGAACCCCAAGACCGAACTGACGGTAAACCTAGGTAAGTATGCTACAGTTTTCCAGTCTGAAATCATAGAGATTGAACAATGCGCCAGAGAAATAAAAAGGCTAGGAATACATCCCCGGAAGATAGCTATTTTCTCTGATAGCCAGGCAACACTTAGGGCCCTAGCCTCATGCGAGGCAAAGGTGTGTTTGGAATTGCATGGAGGCCCTGACGGAAGTCAGTGACACTAATGATCTGACCCTGGCATGGGTCCCTGGACATTCGGGGCATAGAGGCAACGAAAAGGTTGACATGTTGGCCAAAAAGAGAGCCAACGTGGAGTCTCTGGGCCCAGAAACCTACTGCGGCCTAGCAGCCTGCCACAAAAGAGGATACATCTTAAAATGGATCCTTAATGAGTCCAAAACCTGGTGGAATAATACCACAGGTTTGAGGCACGCGAAGAGATTCATAGAAGGACCATCCGCAAAACTTACAAAAGAATTACTGGAAGGCTACCGCAACCGAACCAGGATTCTGGTTGAACTCCTGACAGGGCACTGCCACTTAAGAGCGCACATGCACCGGATAGGAGTACAGACAGAAGAAACGCTGAGCAGATACTGCCAGGAAGGAGGAAACCGCAGAACACATTTTATATTTCTGTGAAGGTCTATGTAGGTGCAGATTGTTGCAACTAGGACATGAAAAACCACAAGCAAGATCCTACACCAATGAGCCGCTGGTAAAGCTGTGAAGGCTGGTTAATAACCTGAAGCTGGCCAGTGTGTTAAAATAACAGGGGAGCACAATAGATCTATTCAGGTCGAGGTGCAGTAGGCCTTGTGGCCGCCTCTTTTATCCCTATCCCTATGCCTACATGAGCCGTTAGGTTTTTCTAAATTCAAGCCACGGATTTCTGCATGAATCTTAGGTTTTTCTCAATTCACACAAGGGATATTTACTTTAACCTTAGGTTTTCCTCATTTCAAGCCACCCATTTCTGCATGGACGTGTCAATTTCCCACTTTTTCGTCTGCACGCTATGAACAATTTCGGCGTATCGAACCCTATAAAGAATGTTGATAACAAAAATTGGGCCGTTGACCTTTCCCCCGGACACCTGTCTCACCGAAGAAAAGGGGGTGCTGCTAATGGAGTGAAAAGGGGAGACTTGTAATTCATTCACCGGTCTCTTATCGAGATCCTGGCTTACAACGTTACGTCGATTTTTATTAAAAACCTATCGAACATCATCGAAAACTATGCCTCGACATACCAATTAAATGTGAAACGCTTAAAAAGCAAAATGTCATTTTTTTTCAGCCAGTTTACGAAATTGACCTAAGTAAAACAGCCATAAGGAAAAATTAGACTTCAATATAAATAAGAGAATAAGAAAGATTGAAAAGTGGTATTATTTTTAGGCTCGTATTTACGTCTTGTTGATGTTTAATCTAAGCTGGCTTCTATCTGATAGAACTGTCGGCACTTTGATCGTTGAACGATTTGGTAAATTTTGAACGAACCAAATCCATTTTCAGACACTCGTCAGATAAGATTGTGTCTTCCTATCAACTTCACAACTTTTTTTATACAAAATGGAAATTATCAATTATAACACACATTTTTAAACCTCGACAAACCTCAGCACCTCCCTACATCATGTCACGCTTGAAAAACTTTTGAAACAGCTACACCCCATCGTTGAAAGCTCCAGGACCCATCTTTTCATTATAAAATCCTATCTGTCCAATAGGTACTTTGATGTACGAATCCTTCTTCCCCGTTCACTCTGCCGAAGCGGGTGTTACTCATGGCTGCATCCTCGGCCCTATGTATTTTCTGTATACACAATCCCCATACTCAGACGATACCTTTCAACAAACGGTCTCAGAAGTGGCTGCAAATATCCAGAAATATTGAATCAGACTGGACTAAACCAAATCCAAGCACATAACCTTCACCCTTCGTCGCCTGTCCAATCTGTGCCTCTCGATCATCGTCAACATCAGCTTGGATCTTTACATTTTCAAAAAAATTATAAATTAACGTTATATTTCAAATCGGCGAAAATTTGTGTACAATTAAATATTAATCCATTTTTTGACCAAAATTGACCAAGTTACTGCTTTCAATTATTCTTTCTATGCTAGGTCTTGGTTGAGATAAAAAAGTCAGTGTCGCGGGATTCGAACCCAGGACCTTCGGCTAAATACGCCGCTACTCTACCACTTGAGCTATCGTGACTTCGATGTGGAGAGGTGGTGTCCGAGAGGATCGAAGTCACGATAACTCAAGTGACAGAGCAGTGGCGTATTTAGCCGGTCTTGGGTTCGAATCCCGCTCGTGACACTGACTTTTTTATTTCAACCAAGCATAATTATTTGTTTATAATGTTCAATAGCGCGGAATGAGTTTTTTTTTTTTTTTTTTTTTTCAATTCAAGGCGTAGATGTCTGTCCATATGAACGAATGAATCTTACGGTTTTTTCAGTACAAGACTCCAGTCCCTCCAGTCAAAATCCTAAGAACCATTGCCCGAGTTCATATCCGACCTTACTCACTCCTACCTTTAAATTACATTTGTTCTCGACCCAGCATGAAGTCGACAAAACCCTGGACTCTCACCTCAACACCTTTCATCCTAAACCTTTCAATACGTAAGACGTAAGTAAGACGCCTAAAATAGCCTCTCGATTTCATCCCTAGTGAAGAAAGATGAAATTTGACTTTCAAAATAAATCTTTATTTACAATTAATTATAAAACAAAATAGTCCTTTAAAATCTTAAACAGAAGTAAGTACAAAAGATTTCATCATATTTCACACAAACAAATTGTAAACTGAAAAAGATAAGTTTTGGTCAAATTCATAAAATTGATTCCCAAGGATCACTCGTTTTTTAATGCGATTGAGCCCAAGCATGAAAAACAAAACTAAAACATTTACAGAACGACATTTTAGTCAAAATTTATAGTTCATTAACTGCAAATCACTTGTTTTTTGAATAAGAACTCCCTTGATGAACAGTATTGAGTTTCATGATTAAAATTTTTCTAAATTTTCAATAAAATATTCTGGATTCTTTCTCGGTTTGGTCGAATATCACCTTTGATGTTGTTTTTGTCTCTTTTAACACAGTTTGGTGATTTATGCTGAAAGGTTTATGGTTGAAAAGGTATGAGGCGGCTAATAAAATTGTCAGTCTCGCTTATTTTGTCTCTCGTGGATTTTAAACCCTGTTTTTTTTCTGCTTCAGTTGCACGGTCAGAGCTACGAAGTCCACGGACCTCCTGCTCACGAAGTCCTCGGCCCGACGACCGACATGGTCCACCCCGACTCGACCGACAGCTACGTCACTTATTTAGAAAGTGACGACAGTCTCCAGCACGACGGTTCCAGCCCATAACGGTGAGTGTCGAAAGCCCCTGTAAATGTGTATATTATGCTCGTGTCGATATTAATAACAGACAATCATCTCTCGTCTCTACTAAATATAGATGTGTAAACACGAGATCCTGGTGGTCTTCCGACCAGACTAAACCATTAACATCCATCCGTCCGTCTTCTACACAATCTATTTCCGTTTATCTTGGTCCCTCTTCGAACTTTTTATCCCTTTTTATTATTGTTGAATAAATGGTGTTTTCTTTTTCTGTTCCAGGCCACAAGACTTGTCCCAAAAGTGTAAATAGGAGCCTGTATATAGCTGTGTACATGCGTATCCGTCTACGTTGAACTATGAACGTACTGGTGCAAAAGCAATGTATTATACATACATATACATATATAAATAAATATAAATATACATATTGTATATAGAAATCCTATTGAATGAATTATCCTTTTTGATACTTAAGCTAAATTGTACAGTACCTCTGTAATACCCCTTCCAGTCGATATTGTTGCGAAAAATCATTGTTTTTGTATTGTTTTTAACATTTTCAAAACAAACATAAAAGCTTTATGACTAACAAATTCAAACTTGGAATGCCAGTTCTAATATAAATTTTATTTAATTTTGACGAGACTTTTTAACTTGTTTTAATTTACAAAACAAAAAGCGACCGACAGCTATGCTCAATGAACATCAATTTAGGTTGTCAATTTTTGCAACAAAAAAAAGAACACTAATTGAATAATTATTTTTGTATAACAGCTTTTGTTATGAACCGCCCTGTAAAACGATTATAATTTGTTATGTCAGTGTTGTAAATACTATCGAGTTGCACACAGAAAATCAAAAGAAAATTTATAATTTTAAGCTTCTTTGGTTAGTTTTGGATAGTTATAATATCCTCACCCTGTCTGATTAGAATACCTAGCAATAACTATCGTAGTTTTTTATCTCGTTCAGTCTTGTAATTTAAGAATTGAAGTTTTTATATATAAATTTTCAAAAAAAGAAAAAAAAAGTGATTACACAAAACGCGAATCCCGAAATATGTGAAGTTATATTTATTCATTTTGTTATTTACTTATTGCGTGTATATATATTAAATAGTCGATGGTCATATTGAGCACGTGTTCTTTGATACTTATGCAATCTAATTGAAAACATGTAAAAAGATATTTGTAACTGTATTGTTTATTGTTGTAGAGCACAATCCAGAGTGCCTCGAGTATGTGTTGTGAATATATAAATAAATAGTTATTTATCATTTCTTTTTTTAAATTAATTTCCCCTATCAGTTAATGTCAGAATGCAACAGGACAATTGAAGCTAACGTTTAATCGTATGCAATTCAAACCTTGTGAGGACGGAAGGTAAAAATGGAAAAACTACTACCTAAAGTCGTATCTGTCTGTCCGTTATTTAGGCAGGCACAGTGACATACCCAAGCTGGATTCTCACAAGGGTGCAAACTTGGACTTCTCTTTTACACGATATATATACTGACATCCCTATCCTGGACAAACAACATACTTGGACAATCCACTTTTGCTGGCTTTATCAAATATAAAAAATTGAAATTCAATGACAAATGCTTTTAAACCCACAAAACTTAGATTTTATATAAATATATATTTTTATACCATCTTAATAAAATCTTGAACTTTTTCGGAACACAAACAAATAGACAAAAGGTAGATTTTTTGATATCAACTTAAAAACTTTTCATTTTTTGAAGACACGAACTTATAAAATACACAATTAGATTTTTTTCATATCATCAAAAAAATTTAAATTTGAAATAGACAAACAAAACAAATCCTGAATTTGATGGGATGGATTTGATAGACAAATGTATAAACCCACAAAAGGTAGATTTTTTATATAATCTTAAGGAACTATTGATTCAAAAAACCTAGATTTTTTTAAAAACTCTTTAAAATCGTTAAATTCTACATCACACAAGTTTATAATTTTTTTTTTAATTTAAACTTAAAAACTTGGATTACAAGAAGACAAACTTATAAATCCACAAAAGGTAGATTTTTTATATCATCTTTAAAAAACTACTGACTCAATGACACGGAAGATTACAAATCTTCAAAACAGATTTTTTTTTATAAACACGTTAAAAACATGAAATTCTTCATCACACAAGTTTATAATTTTTTTTTAATTTAAACTTAAAAACTTGGATTACAATAAGACATAAATTTATAAACCTACAAAGGGTAGATTTTTTATATCATCTTAAGGAACTATTGATTCAATGAAGATTACAAATCTTCAAAACGTAGATTTTTTTTAAAAACTTTAAAATCGTGAAATTCTACATCACACAAGTTTAAAATTATTTTAAATTTAAACTTAAAAACTTGGATTACAATAAGACATAAACTTATAAATCCATAAAAGATAGATTTTTTGATACTATCTTAAAGAAAACTAAAATTTGATAGACAAATTTATAAACCCCAAAAAAATAGATTATTTTATACCATTTAAATCTTGATAATCACATACCCACAGATCTTCAAAACGATTTTTTTTCGATATGTTAAAAATGATCGAATTTCAATGAGATACAAACATAAGTTTACAAAAGTTAATTTTTATATCAACTTAAAAAAGATTAATTTCAATGAGACAAACTTGAAAATACACAAAAGTTAGTTTTTTATATCAGCTTAAAAAAACTTGCGAAATCTATTCCGACACGTACTTATAAATCCAAATACGAAGGTTTTTTTTAATCGTAAAAAAAATTTGGATTTTTTAATGACAAGACGTAGATTTTTTTAATAAAATCTTAAAGATGTCTAGAATAGATACAGAATTATAAATCCACAAAAGGCAGATTTTTCATATCATCTTAAAAAATAGAGAAATCCTATGACGCCTATAAATAAAAAAAGTAGTTGTTTTATATCTCCTTAAAAAACTGCTGGATTTCAATGACAAACTTTTCAATCCACAAAATGTAGGTTTTTTTATATCATCTTAAAAAAACTTCTGGATTTCAATGACAAACTTTTCAATCCAGAAAATATAGGTTTTTTATATCATCTTTAAAAACCTTGGATTACTATGAGACACAAACTTACAAATCTACAAAAAGTATATTTTTGATATCTTAAAAAAACTGGAAATTCATTGAAACCTATCATCCAAAAAAAACGTACATTTTTTTATATCATCTTATAAAACATTTTAAGGCGTCAATGGCCGCAACGGTTAAGGCGTTGACAGGGCACTCATCACTTTTGGTAAAGGTCCCAGGTTCGAATCCAGCAGCCCTGCATTCAAGCCCAACACTTACAAATGGGCTTTTTTCCAAAACCACCGGCACTCCGAGGGTTCGTATAATCTCGTAACAAAAAATTATAAAAAAATAATAAAATAAATAATTGAAAACAAATCCCAATATATGTGTCATTTACCTATCTATATCTAATCCCACTTCCTGAGGCATATCCAACAAATATTGTGGACTGCACATAAACGAAAGGTAGACATGGAATCAACCCACTCGACTTAAAATGACCGAATAGAACTATAGGTCCTAAAGGTAAAGACAACTAAAAAACTACCAGACATACGTTCAAAACTTACTATTCACAATAACTAAACGACTTTCCATAGCAATTCTATACGGACTTAAGGACTGGAAGTCAAAAAGCAAAAAGTAGACAAAGTAGCGAAAGTAGAGTAGTAGAAGGCAAAAAAAAATCAAACCACCTTTCCAATCCCTTCCATTGAACAAGCATCGATGCTCCTTCTTTGTTCGTAGCCAGTAGCTACACTTTCCACTCAGACCTCCAAATTCCTTATGCTACTGATTTTGAGTACTGACCTAGCCAGATCCCGATATTTCAAATTACACTCCAAATTATCTCTTTATTCCAACTTCCCTAGGATCCATCCTTCGGGTTCATGTCGTGCAGTTGAAAAGGCTGGACGTATGACTGCTGAGATTCCTATTCTCCCAGAAATCATCCTTTTCGCTGGTGAGCAATTCTTTCACTGCATAAAGATCAACGCATTCTGAAACCTTCGGAGCCTGGACATAAGGTTCAAAAAGTGAAAAATTAAAATAACTGCAAGAAAGAGCCCAAAGGGTTACTTGCGACTTTACCTGGACGAACGAATTTGGAATCTGCACACTACTCGACGGACCGAATTTACACTAAACTACAGAAGTTTGACACACCAGTGTTTAGAAGTATCATTCGTATCGTTTCGTGAATTTTGGTTTGATCAATATTGATCATCACTGGCTTTGTTGGCCAGTTGAGGAACATGGTATCGATTTTCACGCAGGACAGAGTAAATCAATTTTAATCATAACTTCGAAAAACTTTTTACGTCGACAACGCATAGGCAAGTATTCTTATACATTTTTTATGGACAGAATTATGAGTGAATCGAGCAAGCAACACAATCTAGCAGAATATTGAGAAAACACATAGAAATCAAGCCGTTGTACTGAACACTAAGCATGAAGGAACTTTTAACATTACAATCAGCACTGATTTAGAGATTAATAACAGCTAAAATATTGACACATTCTTATCTGTGTGTATATGTGAATATTTTCAAACCAACCAGATTGAAAAAATACAATAATATTGTAATTTATTCTATTAATTGACCTTATATACTACTTTATTAAAACAAAATAACGTCTTTACAGATGATTTAGCCATAGACAATGGAGAAATCTAAGCTGTTCTGTTGAAAACAAATCAATCATAACGCAATAAATTAAATTGTCTGCTTGCATTACCATCATAAATGGTTAGATATTAATGGTGGGGTTCGATCAAGCATTCCAACCACCAAAAAAATCCTTGAACAACATCTCAAGGAACTTTTGAACCCAATTTTACTATCCTTGCAAACCTTCAAATCCCATTGCGGTCCTCAAAACCGCAAGGAGTCCATAAAACCCTGAACTGGCAAAACCTCTAGTCCCCAAATATCAATTTTTCAAGCTGAAACACATGCAATAGAACTCTGTGCTTGAAATACTTCAAAAGGATTAAAATAACCATAGCATAGATAACCATATTTTCAGACATCCAAGTAGGATTGAAGGCAAGAAGGACCTTCAATTCAAAGCTGATCTGGCCTAACGTATCTCCAGCTCCTGATTAAATGTAATCAGGTAACCCTAATGTGGTTGCTAGGAGACGAGGTGATTGAAGGAAATGAACAGCCTAGCAAAAGTAGGAACAGCTCTCACACACATTGGACTGGAACGGCAAATCGGCATGCCCCAAAGCATGCTAAGAGCAAAACTGAACAAAGGATAGAGAAATAAATGTGACATTGAATAAATTCACCAGGAGAAAAACAATCAAAATAGTTTATTAATATCACAGCCAGGAAAACAAAAAGCCACCTCTCCCTCTAAGTAGGCGGGGATTACTAATAGGTCTTTATCCTGGCACTGCCCATTTAATTACTACCTCTTGCCAGTTTGTCTGTTTTTTCATTACCCAAAATTACTTTGTCCTGGCACTCAAGATATCATCAGGTAGTTAGGTTTTCCCAGGTTTTGGAGATTTTGGATGCATTTACTAATTAATTTTGATGAGATTTTTTATATGTTAATGTTTTAATATCTGCTTGGCTGTCTGACCTTATGAGGAATTTTTGGTCAGAGTAACCTCTTTTAAGATTGTGGAAAAGGGAGACCTCAACTTTTTCCGCTTTTTAGGATTGATTCTGTCCATCTACAGCAGATTTTATCAGTCCCTTCCTTCAAAAGGAGTTTATTATTATTATTATCAAATGTTCTTTCAATGTTCAAGAAAATTCCAAACGTTATTTGCTAGTTGTTCAGTGAATCTTAGTGAAATGAGGGAAGATAGGCATTCAAAAAATGATCAGTAACGACTAAAAATTTAAACTTTTTTTTAAGTAACTGAATTAAAACCTATTTTTAATTATTCATTCTGTGTATTACTTTCTTTTATAAATGTTTAGCAATAGAACCTCAACAGCTGTGGCTTTATTAGGCGAGGAATGATTTTTTTTAATACTAAAAAAGAATTGTATATTTATTATATTCATCTGATTACAAATGAAAGTTTAAGGTAAAAACTTAAAATAAAATATAAATTGAACTTTGTAAAAAATGTTCAGTCTAAAAAAGAATTAACTACAATCTTTTTTTCATATAATTTTCTTTGTTATAGTTTCAACACAATCTTGAATTACAAAAATTAAACAACAAATAAAAATTAAAAAAGTAATTTATTAATCTACAATGTTATTATATTAACCAACTACAGTCCTTATAATTAATCACACTCTATACAATCACACAACATCCACAAAGTACCATTACTCCCAGTACAACATTATAACATTGAGGTTATTAAACACAATTACTTGGTATTTATGTATGTATCATCAGTACCCTCATAATATTTACATATTCTTCATTAAAGATAACAATACAATAGTTCCATTTCAGATGAATATGAAAGCACAGTACTATAAAATAAAAACTAACACAAATTAATAATTATATACAACACAAGTTTATGTATTATATCTAAAGTTTGCACAACCCACAATGATAATGAGCAATATTTTTTGTTTAGGCACATAAGTTTACCACCTTAAAGTAGTCACATTAACCAAAATGTTAGAATAAAAGATACTCTTCTTAAATATTTACCAGCCTTCGAGGACTTTTCATGATAAACCTAGGGGACACTAACAACATTTAAGGGAAGATATAACATTAAGTTATTGGTCAGAAGATCCAGATTTTTTTTTTTAAATCTGGCAAGACTTAATTAAAGTACAAATAACATTAACCATTTTTATTTATGTGTATTTTCATTTTTTCTTTCAGTAAGTCAGTCACTTCACAAATGTGTCTTAAGAAATTGAATCACTAATCCCCCTTAAAACAGAGTTGTACATTGTTAGTCAGTGAATAATTGTAGTTAACAAGTTCGACAACGTATAATTTTTTTTGTTTTCAAGTAATATAAGTTAAATAGAACCCAAATGTGAAAATTGTTAACTTCATTAGACAAAATAAATTGAATTAAAAAAATAAGAAGAAATGTTTTAATGTATATTGAAAAAATATGTACACCTTTGTTAATCATTTAATTTTTTCCTATTTTTTCAATAATATCTCAATTCTTCAAAACAAATTGAGTACCTAAAGTATTTTTAAAAAAATACAGTTGAGTTTCGCTAATCCAAAATTTTAGTCTCATCCATACATTTTTGGGTCAGCGGAAATTTTTGTTTATAAAATAGATGTTTTTGGTAGTTATACAGCTGGTTATTTAATGGTTTGCCCACTATAAACTTGACGGCCAATATTTTGCTGCACGTTTATCCAAAAATTGTGTTGAACCAGTAATTTGGTCTTTTCTGAGCGTTTTGTTCTGGCTATTTTTGTTTTTTGATAGAATACATTTCAAATTGTCACCTTCAGTCGTGTTTTGACCAAAATTATTATTCGAAAAACTGAAAATGGTAAGAAGCTAAAACTCAACAAGCCTAAATTGGAAGGTATACCAAAATTAACGACTTAACTACAAACCTGGCTCCATCCTATCATTTTGGACTAGCAGAACCTACTGTAATTTTTAGTTTTTTTTTTTTTTTTTTATTTGTTGTTTTTTTTAATTTGGTGGAAGAGGCTAACCATTTAATACAATAGACTTTGACCATGTATAAGTTAAATCAAGGCACCAAAGGCCTCTATGATCCCCTTGCTTAAGTAAAAGTAATCATTATAAAAAATTCAAAAATTAATAATTTTACACTTTCTATCGACATAGATTACATTTATAAATTTGAATGGCAGCTAAGATTTTAATTAAAATTTGAAACTGAATATATTCAGTTAGGTTAACTTACATAAATAATTTTAAACTATTATATCAATTTATCATATCCACTATTGTTAAAATATTTTAATTGTTTTCCTAAAAGGGGGACACATAATTTATACACAACTAAAGCATGAAGATATTATGATGGTTTTCAATGTACGCTCATTATAAAAATACCAAACAGAGAAAGCACTAATTTCTGATTAAAACTTCTAAAATTGAAATCTATGAGTATAATAGTTATTCAACAATAGCTTCTTACACCAGAAAAGAAAAAATATTTTTAAAAACTTTATTTTATTTATTTCTTTTTTTTAAATTTGGTGAAAAAAGACCAATGTTATCTGTTTATACGATAGTCATATCAATGAAAGAATATGCAGAATAGTTAACGAAATTTCGTTATTAAAGCTGATAAAAAAAATATAAAATGAAATGTATGTAAATGAAATAAAATGTATAAAATGAATGTAGAAATCACAGATTTTGGGAAAAAACAACACTTATTGCTAAAGTTCAGAAAACTGTAAATTTACCCTATTATAAATGTGTTGTATTTTGTATAGTTAAATAATTTATTATATGAAGTTATTCACATAATAAATTCAAACATCCTTAATAGGAACAATACAATATCAAACCCAATACTGATTTTTTCTGAGTATTAAGTTGTTACTCTTTGATTCCCTACGGCTGTCGTTAAAATTACTCCAATCCTCGTCTCCATAAGGATATCTTAAATTCAACTCAGGCTCTGATGAATTGAGAGAATTGCTTGTCACCTTGCATTGTGGTAGATTAGCAGGGGTTAAAATGGGTGTGCCACTCATGGCGATTTGTGGAGAAGTTGGAAGAAGATTGTCCGGAGGATGAGGCAAAGGCTCGGGTAAATCTGATTTGATCGAATCTTCAAAATTGGTATGCTTTGATCCACACCTGACAAAGCCTACGATCAACAATGCTAAAGCGATGATGCCTGTGACCAAAGAAACACCTAGCAAGTAATCATCACTCATGTTTGGAGATGCGATTTGAACACTGTCTTGTTCGACAGACGGCTTCGCACCAGGCCAACGTGGTTTAGGCGGTTTAAATGTTGTTGATGGAGAATCACCAATAATCTCAAATCTCAGTTCTCCTACAGCAGGTTGAAACATTGATCCGTAAATTAAAAACGGGATCTTGTCTTCGACGGTTTCAATTGTCGGTTTGCTAACATAATAAATAAGGCCAATTTGAATTTCTTCATGAGTAAATTTCATTACATCCTTCTCCCTAGCAATTTTATACTCGCCTGTCGTTCTGATTATTTTTTTCAAATGGCCATATTTTGGTTTCATTAAAATTTTATAAACTGGATTTGAATTAGTTAACTTTGCCAGAGGTGTGGCATCCAACGTGCTTAAATCTAGCTTAGTTTTAGTACCAGATAAGGGTGAAAAGTTCCCCATTATGAGTAGTGGTATAACGCTAATATTGATCCACAGCCCTTTAATCACAAAATCTAAGTTCAGTGTATTGTATGCCATCAGTTCAAACGAATCACTGGGAGCAGTCAAATTTTCTTGGATATATGAGACATTTTTATTCAATAGATCATTATAAGAGAATGAGGAAGAATGAGTACCATTAACATGTATTAAACCGCGTTTAGGGGATGTCAGTACATTAAAAATTATATCTTGTTTGTTTGCATTTGTATGAAGGCTCAAAATATTTTTTGAAATATTAGCAACAGTCTTGCCCTGTTGAAGAAGGACAGGCTGTAGGACAGTTATGTTCAAGTATATCTTCAAAACTGTCACATGAAAAACAGTGTAAACTGGAGTGAATTTACCATCAGAAACTCTAAAATAAAATGAAGTAGCTTGAAGAGGGCCTGAATGTTTGAAAAATACTTCTCCATTATTTACATTTTCTTGTGAAAATGTGACAGTCGTATTGTTGTTTAATTGTACAACACCAAGATTAGGTCCACTGACTATTTCATAAATAATTTCATTCGCATCCGTATCAAGATCTTCAGTATACAAATCGTCTTTTGTTATCACTTTTTTCTGACCCTGTACGACGTTTATGTGAGGCTCGGTAGTAATCAAATTAAATGGCTGATCATTAATGGGTTCGACCTCGACTACAAATGAAATATTCAGTAACAAAACATCACCGGGTTCCAAATAAAGAGAAAACATGAAAGAATCTGAGAGAGTATCAGAATGGTCATGTTGGTACAAAATATTACCAGAATCTATAAATAATTGGGAAAAAGTTGTAATATTACAAATATCGTTGAAGCAAATGACACCATTCTGTGGCTGGAGGATGAGAACCGCTATTAAATTTGGATCTACGAGGCTGATATTGTTGACAAGAAATTCTTGGATTAAAGATGTGTTCAAATGAATGAACGCAGAACCACCTTCTTCTATAGTCAACGTTGATGATGAAAAGTCGAAGTATTGGTCCAGCCCGCCAGAAAACACAGACACTTCTATTTTAAAAGTCTGAAAATAAAAACAGAATTACATACATTTTAAAATAATTAATGGCGACTTTTTGTCTGTATATTTTTATATTTGAAAAGAACAAGATAAAGCATCCGTGAAGAGAATATTGTGTATTTTATTTAAAACTATACTATAAATTGCCTAATGGTGCTAGGAAAGCACAATAAGATTATGTTGAAGTGGGTTCAGGGATATGAAGGTATAAATAGAAATGAGGCAGATTAACTAACCAAAAAAAGAATGTAACAAAATGGCTGGTGAACCAAAACACTGGAAAAAAGCACTCCATAGAGCAGATTCATAAATTTCTCAAAAAAGAAGGCAAAGGAACTCTTCCTTGAGGTCAATTATATGCCACTGCTCTCTGAACTACCACTTTGGTTTTGGGAAAAAACAATTTGGTTTATAACCTCAAAATTGTGTATTGGTTATACGAAGTGGTCAGACCAGTGGACATACGGAGTTCAAGTATGTGGCCAAAAACACTGCACAAGGAGACACAAAACTAATTTCAAAGTCTAAATATCTGCATACTCGATCCAAAACAGCGATGGAAATGGCACTTGATCATTTGGTTTGGCTAGAGTGGTACCTGACAAAATGAAAACTCAACTTTGACAGACCCTTCGATGTGGACATATATAAAAGAGATGTTTGGAAGAAAGTTGACTCAATTTTCAGTGGGGTCATAACATAGTACACTAACGGATCAAAGATGGAACATGGGGTGTAGGGCTAAAGGGAATAAAACCATAGCGAAATACCTTAGACTATTTCCAACAATCTTCCAAGCTGAAGTCCATGCAACTCTATGCACAAATCTACATACGTTCAGACAGTCAGGAAGCTATAAAGATAATGTGTATGCTTTTAGCTTCAAACTTTAATACGAGTCGGACATCCTAACCACTTTTCTTTTTTTTTCTTTTTTTTAAATTGGAGTATCAATGGGGTAAAAAAATAGGGCAAACAGTGATATAAAGTAACAGGTAAAATTACATACTTTTATACTTACCATGTCTTTAAGTGGGTCCACAAATTTTGCAATTACATCAAATACAAAGAAATCCTGTACCGAAGATTCTTTAAATGGGACAGTGTGCTCATACAATACATTCATTGAGTTGATGTCGCTTTGTGTAAAATTGTTGATTCGTCTTCCTTTATCTTTTCGAAGGAATAAATGTCCAAATTTTGGATTTTTCTTTATTTTATAAATAATCTCACGGTTGTCAGAACACGAAGATTGAAGGATTAAAGAAGATATTTCCTTTTGTAAAAGAGGGAAAACATGCAGTCCTTTGTTCAAAACCAATTCTAATACTGCTTTAGCTGTTTCCGCAGTGTAGCTTATAGGCCCGAGCTTATTTTTTCCATCGGTAACAACAAAATCCAAGTCCAAATTTCCTTGTCCACCTGTAAATAAATTAAAGCAATACTACACAAAATTCAGGTCAGACCAATAAAACAGTTACTAAAAATAATCAACCGTAGGTTTAAATGTTCAATTAAAAATCTTACCATCATGAACAAGGACAATTTTCTTTGTGTTTATTTCCTTCTGAGTAAACTTATCCACACTTTGCAAACCATCCAATTGTGCGACATGACCACCGGATGCTGATATAATCACGAATATGATGTTTTCCGGGTCAGTATCCTTGTCAGTGACAGCTGAAACATCAATAATACATTACAAAACTGGAATGTTTCTTTTAATAATTATGAACTTACCAAGATATTCGGAAGTTATTATTTCACTACCACCTTTCCAAATCTTAATATTTGTTTTGTTTAGAATGGTAGGTATCATATCGTTGATGGGAGTAACAGATATTTCGACAAAAGCAGGTTCACTCACTTTCGAGCCAACTTTACCCACTATCGAAAATGAATCTTGCAATGTTTCGCTACCATCATGCACATACTAAAATGACAAAATATGCATATTAATTTACAGTGAAAAGTCGACCAATCTTAAACTGACCATAATTGTATTGATTTTTGTCTGGTGGTTTGTCCACTTTGATACACCTTTGTTACTCGGTGACATAATAATTCTGCCGTGATTTGGATGTGTTTGTAGCTGGTAATCAGTGATTTTGTCTTTATAATACTGGGCAGTAGTACAAAACAGAGAATGAGGAAGTTTAACCGAACCACCTTCCATGACTGTCAGTCGAGAATTCTTAAGATAAAACTTCGAAGGAATTATTAAAAATTTAATCTGTAAAAAAAATTAATAAATACATTACATTATGATATTTTTTTAATGTGACTTACGATAAGAGAGCGCAGCCAAGATACACCATTCGTAACATCAACAACTATAGTGTCTTCAGAAACATTGGCCGCTGATTGAACATAATATAGTTTCCCTGCATTAACAGTGGCTTGATCGAACGCTCGAATCCCGCCTTTTTCATCAAATTCTCCACCTTTTTCTTCATCGTTTCCTTCAATTTCTAAGTAGCCTCGTTTTGGAGTTGAGACTACTAAAAATGTTATGTCGCTCGGCGGAATCCCAGGTTGATGAATCTAGAAAACAAGAGGTGTGAAATATGTATATTAAAAAAACATGCACACTTATATTTAAAAAATATAAATCAAGGATAATATTTACTTGTAAATTTTCTCTCTTTACAACAACACCTGTATACTCTTCAACGTGAACAGTTTCATTTGATATGACTATCAATGGCTCCCAATAAATTGCAGGAAACACACGGACTGCCAATGTCCCTTCAGTGTAAATGTCTTGCACTGTGATCTAAAATGTAAATAAAATTTGAGACTCCTACAACAGTGATTTAATTATCTATATATTTTCTATTTAACAGGTTAAAACTTACACTTGAACTATAAACTTACTTTTAATTGAATGCGATCTTGAGCGACACTACTCGATAAATGTTTATAAATGACATTTCCTGCTTCAATGTCTTGCTGATGAAACTTTGACTTATTTGAAACCCCTGAGATCAAAATTTCACCGTGTGTTGGACCACTAACAATGTAATATCTAGAACATCACAATACAAAATATAATTAATTAAGGTTTTTAGTTGAGATGAAAAAAAGTTAATGGCACGAGCGGGATTCGAACCCACAATCTTCGGCTAGATACGCCGCTGCTCTACCACTTGAGGTCACGAGAGCTCAAGTGGTAGAGCAGCGGCGTATCTAGCCGAAGATTGTGGGTTCGAATCCCGCTCGTGCCATTAACTTTTTTTCCTCAAGCTCGTGCCATTAACTTTTTTTCATCTCAACTAAAAACCTTAATTAATTGTAATGTATTAATTGGTCAAGTGGACCATGAAATTAGTGAACAAAATATAATGTTTTATTTCTGACGGTGTAAGTCTAGGTTTTTATAACTAACCTTATATCTTGTAATCGGATGTCAATATTTGTGTCGGCAAAAAGATTGGAAGTAGTTACAGTCGCATGTCCCCCCTGAGAGACCACCAAATGAGAATTGTTAGTGATTTCAACATAAGGAGGTGAAGGCCTAATGTCAAGATAACATTCAGTTGCGTGTGTTCCATCGCTGATTGAAAATAACAGAGGATTTTCTGACAATTCGCTTTCTATAATTAAAACTTTCTCTTCTTCTAAATCACCCTGAAATATGAAGAATGGCTCTTTTAGAAACAAATGAACAAACTATGATATTAAGAAGATAAATTTATTAAACTGTTATCAACCAAGAATTTTCTTTTGCTATCCTGTTCTCCAGAAGACGCCGTTTGTCTTATATCGAATAATCAAGTTAAATTTTTACTTACATCTGTATAACTTGACATTGTATTTGATAGAAATTTAAATTGGGTTGCACATTTTAAAAAATTAACATCTAGATGCCTCCAGGCTCTAAATGTATTAACAACTAATGTCTGAAGAAGCTGATCACAAGAGACTAACGTGCCTGTATGCAACATAAGTTCAATCATGCTTAGAGTTAAAAAAAGCCAGCAACTTGACTCACAACTTAAAGCTTAAAATTGATGCTTTTTCAGGCCAGTCTTATTTGTCTTGTTTCAAATAGATACCAGTGAACTACCATTAAACCTCAGACGTAATTTACTGGTTAGGGATGTCAACACAAAAAGAAACTATAAATATTTCCCCCATAGCTTCTACCCACCCAGATTTAATAAAGCCACCACTTCTAGCTTTATACACACGAGTTTATAATTAAAATCACCTTGCCCTCAGGCCCAAAGTAACAAGCGGTTTTGAAGCTTTGAAAATTCTTATTTTAACCAAACCCCATATTGAGCAACTATAGTACTGATGTGGTAGTTATAAATAAAGTGCTCAGCATAATCCTCCCAGATGGTACAAAACGCCTTTTACTGAGACAATTTCAGCAACAACATGCAGTAATTTTTCTATGGACCCCCTGATCACTCAAATATTGCCATCTATGAAAGGAAGACTAAGCAGAGATGCTTGATGGCAACTTTTAAAGAAAAAGTATGTTCACAATAGCAGAAAGAGTGGAATTCTGAAACGATGAATTGTGGGATATTAAAACAAAAAGTTCCTTGTACAGGTTGAGAACAGGTTGTCCTGAGTAGACTGAGAATTGGGCATTGTAGTAGTACCAAGGGTTATTTAATGGCCTGCAACTCTCCAGTGATATGCAGGGTGTACAAGGAGACAAGAAGAGTCGGTCTCTTTACAGCTTTACACACCACAACTGGCCTAAAGTTTTTTATAAGATTCCAAAGGTCAAGGACTTCATGTGTATCCTTCAGGCCTGGGCTTTTCCTCTTCCAGGAGAAGGAGGTTCCGCTGTTTCTTCTTCGTGGCAATATCTACACAGGCCTCTGCTGCTCTGAGACTATTTTCCAAAGTCAGAAATGTCCAGTCTGCAGTCGTACTATCATTCTAGTACTGAACATGTCCTAGGTTTAGTGGTTCTGTTAGTTTCTGTGAGATACTTTGATGAACTTTCTTATATACTTTTGCCCTGCAAATTCCCATTGAACCGAGGACTTATTCTTAACCCATTATCTGAAGGATCTGTGTTTTCAGCTATTTTATGCTGTGAAAGGGTTTAGGGCTGATAGATGCCCTCATCGAACTTTCCTTAGCCTATTTATCTACCTCCTCATTGCCCCTCTGCTCTGTGTGCCCTGGTACTCAAGCAATGGTAATTATTTTGTTGAGAGGTCATCCACGGAATGTTACACATCAAGCCTCAAAGAGAACGAAATTATCCTAGTGTGAAAAACTGTTAATTTTAATTAAAAATAGTTCTTAAAAATGGCCCACGAACATGAAAACATTTGAAAACTGTAGTTTTATTTAAAAATAGTTCTTGAAAATGACATAGGATTGTTGAAACGTTGAAAATCTGTAATTTTATTTTAAAATAGTTCTTGAAAATGGCACAGAATTGTTGAAATGTTGAAAATATGTAATTTTATTTAAAAATAGTTCTTGAAAATGGCACAGAATTGTTGAAATGTTGAAAATCTGTAATTTTATTTGAAAATAGTTCTTGAAAATAGCACAGAATTGTTGAAATGTTGAAAATCTGTAATTTTATGTAAAAATAGTTCTTCAATGGTAATTATTCTGTTTCCCCAATGTCTGGCAAGTCCTTGATTTAGCTGTTTGTCATGATATGCTTTAAAAGACAGAATGATCTTGTAATAATAGATTTATTTGCTATTACAAAAAAATAAATGCTGAGGTTTACAAAACAGATGTGCAGGAATGAAAATTTTAACGGTCATTTTATTATTCCATTTGAATAAAAATATTAAATATTAATTATGACTCAAAACAGTTTGTTGAATATGTAGTTAAAACGTAATATTTTTGAGAAGAATGGATATCAAACCTGTGTGAATTGCTGAATTTTAGTGTGTGTTATAGACGAGTAAACACCAGATCCGTTTTTCACAGTGTAGACGAGGTTGTTCACATTAAAATCAATATCTTCATCACTGAATTTGATATGCTTTGTAGTCAAGAGACGTTGGCCACCTTTGACTATTCGAAACACTGAAGATACAACTCGAACAGGAGCGTTGTCATTGACCAAAGTTATATTTATATCCAGTTCAGAAAAAATCTGCAAAACATTAAGAAAATAGTAAATGAACGCTTAACGCAAGCCTGGGATAAATAAAGCTATATTTAGCTATTTTCTATTTTAAACTTTTTTGCAATATTCTACAAATTTATATTGCATGTCATAGCATCTTACAAACTTACAGCAAACAAGTCATATACAATATTGAAATTCCAGGAACATTGGTAATTTGAATAAATTATTGCTTTTACAGTGCAAAAGTCAATATATTTTTGCTTCAAATGGATCAATTTAAACCATTTAACCTTAAATGAATGAACATGGCAAAGAGGAGGGAAGACTCAAAAGGTGGGGTTGAGATAGGAAGTTGATGTCCGAGTGGATCGAGGTCACGATAGCTCAAGTGGTAGAGCAGCGGCGTATCTAGCCGAGGATCGGGGGTTCGAATCCCGCTCATGCCATTGACTTTTTTATCTCAATTAAAACCCTTAATTAATTGTAACTTAAATGAATCATTGACCTTTTTTTAAAATAAAATTTGTTAGTAAATACTTTTGTACTCACCATGACATCATCTTCTACATTAGAAACTGCTACAAATTTAATGGTATCATGCGGTGACTCGGAGCCATCGTGGGAATAAAACAGCCTCCCAGCATTTATTTGCGATGGGGTAAAATGAACGACATTGTCTTCGGTGCTGTTTTGCATTAGATCTACAAGAAATAATCTACCATGCAACGGCCCGTAATAGACCTCATACACTAAAGACTTCACATTGGCGACAGTGATGTTGATTTCCGAGGGAAGAATTGGAACCGTCCCGCCCTCCATGACCTAGAATCATTTAATCATCACACTCTGTTGTTTTATTCCAATTAAAAAATTATAATCACTTTTAAAACATTTAACGTTGATTTCATGGATAAGGGAAGTTTAGAAGGAGGAGAATAAATGAAATTCATTTTGCCAGTGAGCGACATGGGACAAAGGTACGTCGAAACTGTAAATCCCATTACGTCAGTAAACGAAGAGTAAGAAGTCCTGAACATTTTATACTTGATATAATTATAATTTATGTCCAATTGAGTAAAGTTGTCACCCATGACTAATCTCTCGTTGTGTTTCGCAGAACGCAAATTGCCAAATTGAGGCAGTTTGTTTAATGTGTATACAATATATTTTGGATTTGTTTCAATTGGGTAAGTTTTGTAAGATAAATTTTCGATTGTAATATTTCCTTCGACTGTCCCATTCATCATCAAAGGTGACTGTAAATGGTTCTCAAGAGAAAGCTCGATGAACGTGATTTCAAATTCATACTGTGTAGGAATATCAGTACCTGAACCTGACAATGTGAACTGAAATACAAAATTTTAAAAACAATTAATCAATGGCAATTTGTACTTTCATAAAAATATTAAAAGGAAAACTTACTTTGAAAGAATCCTGAGAAGGTTTCCCTTTAGTGTGTCTGTATCTAATAATTTCTTGTTCAAGATGTACGTTTGTAAATTTTGAAACAGTATGCCATGATTCACCTCCAGCAAGATTGTCCTCTTTTTCTATCACTCCAAACTCACAGTCTTTAACAATCTTTGGAAACAAAAATAAAGCAATTAATTTAATTGTCAAAGCGACCAATTAATAAATAAAATTACCGTAAAAGTAATTTCAAGCATTGGATCTTCAGCATTTGTCACGACTGTCAAGTTCTTAGAAGTAATTATCACCGAACTAGAGTATGGGATGTAAACCCCTGTATTATTTAATACTTGAACAACCAAAGGGATAACAGTTATTTTCAATGGATCGGATGTAGTAGTCGAATAGCCATCAGAGACCTGAAATCAAATGAATTTACCAAAATAAAAATGCATTTTGAACTGAGAGGAAAATCATACCTTAAAAATGAGTTTAGAATTTGAATTCGTAGGACCTTCTGTGAAATAAGCTATCATGTTAGCATCCAAGTCCTCTTGTGTAAACGAAGTTATCGCTACTCCATGCTGGTTTATTCTTTCTAATCTACCACTACCGTCATTTATTATGGTATATATTAGCTTGTTTCTTGGGCTGTCTGGATCAGTTGCATTTAAAACACTTGGCAGCAAAAGTTTTCGTGTTCCCTAAAATTAATTAAAATTATTTTCAATGTGATATATACAACAGTTAAAAATTAACCCAACCCTACCTAACCTAACCATAACCCTGACCAAATATTTACAATATTTTAGCAAATACAATTTGGTAAATGCTAATAGAACTGGAGACCGGGGAGAAATAGAAAAATAAATTACCATGGGTCACAGCACTGATGGGAAACTATCATAAATAGTTTGCCAACATGCTTGTAAAAAGGCTGCCCCGAACGAGGATCTGCAAAAGGAATTCTATGTGGTTCCAAAGACACTTGTAAGTAAAAATACAGACCAATGTTTTGAAGGAGTGAGAAAATGAATTTGGCACTGCCAAAATTTCAATCCATCCAGCAGTTTGAACCTAACCTATCCCGATAGCAAAAATGATTTGTGTATCCAGCCCAAAAGTATATCCAGGTAAAACAAAAATAAATAAATTTATTATTACTGTTCTTTAACATTATTAATCCCTCCCTATGTTGTATGATGATGTACTGAATCATCCACGACACACAGGTGGTGTGTTGTAGCGAGCGATATAGTTGCACAAAATGACCATCATGGTCAAGGAAACTGAAAAACTCATATAAAAAGTTTGTGTTTATTTTGCTACAATACAAATAATACATATATTTATAATAGCTTTTACTCGCGACTTTGTCCACATGGGACTTTGTTTTAATGTACCTTTCTAATGCAATGCAGAGCGGTACAAAACACTTGGCAGCAAAAGTTTTTGTGTTCCATAAAATTAAGTAAAATTATTTTCAATGTGATATATACAACAGTTAAAAATGCAGTATCGCTTTCTAATATAATGTCTCGTTTCTCAAATTCTTCTCTTCTTCAGTTCACTTTGGTTTATACATGATAAAAAGTTGTCCATACAATCCCCTTAGGGATGGAATTTCAAAAAATCCTGCCTTAGCGGCTATCCTTGTCATTATAGGAATACACTGCCAAAATTTCAATCCATCCAGTGGTTTGGACTTAACCTAACCCGATAGCAAAAATGAGCATGCAAAAATGATTTGTGTATCCAGCCCAAAAGTATATCCAGTTAAAAACAAAAATAAATAAATTTATTATTATTGTTCTTTAACATTATTACAGTCTGATCTGAACAAACAACTAGGTCATTTAAAGAACCAAAATAATTATTTTTCTTCCTACAACAGCATGAGTCTTCATGAAGGATTCGGGATGAAAGGTCTTGGACTAGTGTTGGGATGAGGGTCAAGGGTTTTATAGAGGCATCAATTTGATTTGAAGGTCTATGTAGAAAATCAGGCCGTATACGAAATAGGGAGCTTGGACAATGGTTTGAAATTAGGTCTGGATTAATCGAATTCTTTGAAGGTTAGAACCCTTGGTTGTGACTTTGTAATTATATCATCTGTTCAGTTCTATTCTTTTGAATGAAGTGTGGGCATTCCAAGAAAGTCTTCTGCTTTAATATAGACAAATTAAAACTTACAGCAGGGATTTTTAATGTCTTTGTAGGCAGTATACTAATGACTGGGGCATCGTTTACTGATGTGATGTTCACATGTAATATAAATCTGTGTTGCCCCTGAAGATAACTTGGTAAGACATATCCTGTTCCTGGGGATAATTCCAAGTCCAAGTGGATGTTGTCCTCAAAATTCTCACTTCCATCGTGGACATACATGACCTAAAAACAATCATACTATGTTTATGTCTTTCTTGAAATTAGGGTTTCGATTTGTCAGTTAAATTGTGATTAATTCACAAAGTTGATCACCAATAGATGTTTTAGTTTAGAAACCTTTAAAACTATTTTTGATATAGGTTCCAACAAGTCAGTGTTGGTTTATTTTAAACACACCTTATCTCTTATTAAATCAAGAAGCGTAAATGTTTGCGGGGTTCCAAACTTTTGCCACACCTCGATGACCAGGTGGCCGTGTTTAGGATAATGATTCGGAACGGTCGAAAAGAGCACTCCAGAATCCCTTACTCCATATTTTGCATAATCAAGTACAATATTTATATGTTCAGGCGTAATGACAATATTTTCACCTTCTTGCATCACTATAGGGTTAAGTTCAAGCAGTTCCAATTGAAGTGTCTTGCTATAAACCTGAAATTTGTTGAATATAAGCGTACAATACATTCGTACAAATAATTAAAGAGTCAAACCGTATATCCATTTGGAAATTCTTGCTTGACACAATGTTTATCACTGCACAAACACATAAATGAATTTACGCCCCTTGGTACGCATGATGCATGTTCTTTGCAAGGATTATCATTACATGGGTATGACCACACACAGTTTGCAAGTAAACCCTGAGTTATCTGTAAAACAAAAAATAAAAACAATAGTCATTCAACTACCAAATTTTCAAAACCAGGGTGGTATTTCTGGTACAGAATGAATCGGTGGGATCTCATTCACTTTAAATTCAATTTTTAATTTCATCAACTTAATATCAATAATTTGTAGATACATTCCATACCTGCTAACCTTGTAAATTATTAATAATAGTTTCAAACTCCTGATGAAGGAGATATTTTCCTCAAAAGCTTGTTTTTTTTGTTTTGTTTTTTTTGTTTTTTCAGATTCGTCTTAACTCTGTTTTATATAAAATTACCGAAATGGTAGTATTAACAATTTCATTTATTTTACCATATCAGGAAAGTGATTATAAAGAGAAAGTAGCTGGTTTTATATTTTTTTAACTTGAATATATGTGGAGTTTACCAATTTTTCTGTTCGGTTTTTGATCTTTATAATATTTTAAGCAGATTGTTGGAGACGTTGGCAGCCCTTTTTTGAGTGGAAGAAAATTGGGGGATGAGTGGAAGGGATAGTATTCGTCCAGCCTTCAAGTCAATAGCATGTCAGTGAACCAGTGTCGTTTTTCATTTGTGTAATTGTGCTATATTCACATTTACATATTCATTTCATGTTAATTTTTCATTTAGTTCATTTTGTTAAAGATTGTCGTTTATAATTCAATAACATTTTATAGTCCACTCAAATAAATATACAATGTATCAACCATTGTTTGGTCCTCCGGGCCGGATCAAACAATTGTTGATACATTATATATTTATTTGAGTGGACTGTATAAAATGTTATTGACCATTGTTTGGCCTATCCGTGCCGGATTTGAACTGTGGATTCAGTGCAATAAATTAACTATTTCATAAAAACATTCAGAACTAAAATTACGCAATAGTGCATAGCCCAAAGTGACTTTGGCGCATTTTCACCCCACTACAATTGGCTTCTACGTTCTACCGACAGCAAGGGATTGCCGTCGGCAACATCTGAGAGGGAAAAACACGTCATCCCGCTTCGACTTGACATCAGCTGAAAGGACGAAGATAAGTTACGTTAACTTCCTATTTTTACATCCCTTAATTCCTCTTTTCATTTGATTGTCCTTTTCCAAATAATTCTTTCATTGTGTCATATTTCATTTGTGAGTTATACATGCTAATCTAACTAATAATTATTCATATTTTACATTTTGTTTATTCAACTTAGTTAATAGTTTATTTATTGCACTGAATCCACTGTTCAAATCCGGCCCGGAGGACCAAACAATGGTCAATAACATTTTATACAGTCCACTCAAATAAATATACAATGTATCAACCATAGATAAATAAAGAATATTAAAAAAAAATTAGCTGTAAAAGGATTAAATACATTCATAAATAATTATTTTCAGTTATAAATTGCAGCACGGCTTGTAATAAAGGATTATTAAATTAAATGCATAATTTTTGCACACCTTTGCATCAGGGAGCCCTATAAGTTGTGTACTTTTATGAATATTTCTTATACATCCTTTCATGCTTGTGTCTGCAGTTTGAAGTCCTTGGCCTAAAGCACGAGCCCTTTTATTAAGTTCTACTCCTCCAATGAAAATCTAGAAGTATAAACATGATTTATAGAGAAATGATATTCAAATTGAGATGTTATGAGAAAAACTGTTCACTGACCACATCTCCCAAATCGAAAAATCTTGTAGCACTTAAGGTCAGTTTTTGTTTTGTAGGTTTGTTATCTACAATAACTTGAGCAATATTTGGATTAAAATTAATGACGAGTTTGTGCCATTTTCCGTCAGACACGTAAATATCGTTTGTCACTTCGGCCGGTCCTCCTCCTTTGTCGAGGATCATTCTTACTTTGCCACCGACAATTTCCACTCCTACGAAGTCAGAATTTTCTCCGCCACCGCTCGTGTATAATATAACTCCATCAGTCGATGTAGTCTTTATTTCTAGCTCCCATCTGTTTGTTTTGAAACATAATTAACCAACGTTTAACCTTTTATATTATAATTTAAGACTTACCTTGCACCTGTCCGTGGTATTGAACTGGGAAGTAATAAAAATGAGCCATCATCTATAAAACTAATTTCAGAACTAGCGTTTGCAACAAACTCAGCAGCACAGCTCCACGATATATCATGGATTTGAGAGTGTTCTAAACGCTTTCTCGCCAATTGCAGTGGATAAACACCATTGTAGACCAGATCGGACAAACAACCCCTCAACCAGTCGCCATGGCCCAAAAACAACTCGGAAAATTCCCCCTGCCCTCCAATAAACAATCCATAGTGAATATTCAGCAAGAAAAAATCTCCCATCAGTTTTTCTCTAAAATAGAAATACTTTAGTACTGATTATGGTGAATCCACTTGTTGAAATTACCTAGTTACGTGTATATTATCTATGGTCAATGTAACATCTGCATCTTTTCGGGTGAATGAAATATGATGCCAGTTGAGATCATCCAGCCTCAGGCCATGTGGCGAAGCAATAGTCGATTCTCCAGCACCCAAATTTATATACACCTAAAATATTTCATTTATTCATTGCAAGAAAAATGCTAAATAAATTCTATTTTACTTTTTTTAATGATAAATAGTGCTTATTCAGTGTTGGGTCTGTTCCAAACCATGACTATGGCAGGCCCATCACTGAAGATGGCAAAACATCAAAACAAATGTGACAGACCAGGATAATCGATAATGTCCAAATTACAGGCTGATCACCCTGCAGACCTCACAGAAAAATCTCAAAATACATACCTCTTCCTAACTAACTTTGTCAACTCAATAAATTAGATAGAATTTTTTTTAAATAAAAAATTTGTGTTACAGGAAGGATCCGCACCCATGATCTTCGGCTGGGTCAGGACATTCAGCCAAAGGTCGTGGGTTCGAATTCCGCCTGTCGCAAATTTTTCATTTCAAAAAAATTGTATACAATTATGATAAATAGTGCCTATTCAGTGTTGGGTCTGTTCCAAACCATGACTATGGCAGGCCCATCACTGAAGATGGCAAAACGCAATAACACGTATTGACGTGACCTAAACCTTTTAGGATGAGTGGATCAGTTTGTTTACAAAAGGAACGTTGTCGTTGAATAGTGACATATAGAAAGCTTTGATAATTGTCAAGACTAATGCACTAGATAATATAGCTTGGTGGAACTCCACAGTTCCACTCCATATGTTCAGAGTGGTCGCATTAATATCTTGTATAGAGTTAGTTGAATTTTGACGGTCAAAGCAGACTTCTATCTTGCAAGTCATCATAGTTGTCCAAGTCTGCTGTCTAGGTATAGTCCTAATTATCTGACTGGAGTGAAAGTCAGATGTTCCTTGTTTTTGATGTACAATGGAATTTTTTTAACTTTTCGTTATTTAATTATTTTACATTTGTCTACACACTGTAAAGGGTTGTGAAAATTTTTTTGATAAATATATTTCTATTTCTAAATGTTCCATATTGTACTTCTCTATGGTCAATGTACTTCCACGTTGTGACTTGTTCTCTACTTTTATTTATTTATTTATTTACGGATCGAAATCCACTATAAAAGACCCTTTTGGTAGACTACTTTGACAAACTCAAGGTGTTCTTAGATGTTGGAGGTTGCTTGGATAGGATTTGGGTTAGAAGACTGGTATTGATGACAGTGTTTGATGTAAAAGAAAATCAGAATATGGTATAAATTATGGGACCAAGTAGCCAGGGCACAGGGAGATTTTGGGTAACGAGGAAGCAGACAAACTGGCCAGAGGAGGATCTGCAAGACCATACATAGGCCCCGAACCTATCCTTGGGATAACAAAAACAAACATAGAATCCTCCATCGCAGAATGGATCCAAGCAGAACAAAAAAAGAAGTGGATAAACTCTAGTGGTGCTAGACATAGTAAACTTATGATGAAACAACCCTCACCAAGATTGGCAAAAACGCTGCTGCAATTGGAGAGGGCAAAACTCAGAGGAGTGGTGGGACTACTAACCGGTCACTGGTATCTGAGAAAACATCTACACAACATGGGTATACACAGCGATGATCCCATCTGCAGATTATGTAATGAGGAGGAGGAAACAGCCACTCATATCATCTTCGAATGCGAAGCAACAGCTCAATGGAGGTTTAACCTAACGTACAGAAAAGACTTAGGGAATCAAATTACAGCAACAACAGTCAATGACCTTATACTTCTAAGAAGAAGGATTGAGTCTATTGACTGAACTAAGGAACTAGGAAGCTACAATAAGCCAGAAGGCTGCAGTGCCTGGGGAATACAAACCCCGCTTCCTAGTATCCTTTCCACCAAACCATACCATACGATGGGACCAAGTATGCTCCCTTGTGGCTTGCCAGCTTGAATCAATCTTATATGTGAGTATTCATTGCCACACTTCACTCTGAAGCAGCAGTTAAATAGGATTACAGGATAACGTAATAAAGGGTGGGTAGGAAGCTTTTCAGTTTATAAAGAATGTCTGGGCACCAGAATCAAAACCCTGGGTCACTCTGTTTTCTAGAGCAAAAAAACAAGCTCTGATACCTTGCTGAATAATGAGGATGGTAATCGAATTGGTGAGATTGGGTATTAAAATTAGACATTTTGAAAGGAGTCTTTCTAGTATTTTCGATATCACTAGTAGGAGGATATGTTCCCTTCACAAGACGAAGGAAGCTAAACCTAAAAGCACCTATCATAAAAATTGAGCCTTAACTTCCTCTACACCAACTATGTACTTAGACAATAACCCTTTGCCCAAAGCTCAAGTGGAGAAATCATATAGTCAACATACATAAGGCCAAGGTACGTTAAATGGCCAGAGATTATGCAGCAAAAATTGGGGAATAAACCCTAGGATGGTTTATTGACAAAACAAACAGGCCCGTGGTCACATATGGAGCTCTAGTATGGTAGCTAAAATAGTTCATAAGGAAGCACAAACCAAACTGCAAAGTCTAAAAAGACTAGTGTCTTGACGGAGCAGCAATGGATACCGCACTCTACCACTCACCTTTACACAGTCATGTACTTGATAGCTATTAAAAAGTGCTAATAGACTCCTGAGGTTCAAGTAAATAAAATCTGATCTAAGGAGAAGCCGTGTAAAATTCTAGAGAGAAATAAAATAAATGAGATGCTAGATTGACAGAATGAGAGGAAAGCCCAACTTTGACAGACCCTTCCAAGTGGACATAGATAAAAGAGACCTTTGAAAGAAAGTTGACCTGAAGTTTCAGTAGTGGCCATAAAATGGTATACTAATGGATCAAAGATCGAATAAGGAGTAGGTCTGGCAAGGGTCTAATTACACCCTAGGAAAGCCCCTTGGACTATTTTCAAATATCTTCTAAGCTGAAGTTGATTCAATCCCTGTGCACGGGAGTTGATAAAGAAGAAAGTGAAAAGTGTACAGATCTACATATTTTCAGACAGGCAGCTATAAAGACCCTAATGCATATGCTTTCAACTCCAAACTTGTCTGGGAGTGTCTAATTTGTTTTATGACTCTCCCGCTTAAGTGGGTTTCCGGACATGAAGGTATAGAAAGAAGAAAGGCTGACCAAAAGCCAAAAAGGGGCAGCCCTCTCACCCTTTGTACTACACCACAATTGTATGCATGGAGTGTGCTTATGTGTCAATGTCTCTTCATGAGAAACCAAAGACATCAACATATTCTTTATGGATGTGAGGCTCTAGCCCGTATATGGTATAGCCACTTTGGGTTGGCAATTCTCACACCAAGATGCACCAAGGAAAAACTTTGTTTTGTGGAAAAAGTGCTCTTTTCTCAGCACGGAATCATAAAGGTTCCAAAATAAACATATATAGGTGACAGTGGAGAAATGTCGGAATCCTTATTGGAAAAAAAATGTAAAGTTTACATTTCCAGAAACTCTCGTATAATTAAATGCAAGTAAATTAAAGGTGAGAAGGCACTACACTATGAAAATATTACAATTAAGGTTTTTAGTTGAGATAAAAAAGTCAATGGCACGAGCGGGATTCGAACCCACGATCTTCAGCTTGATACGCCGCTTATCTACCACTTGAGCTATCGTGACCTCGATCCACTCGGACACCAACTTGAAAAATGGCAAAAAGGAGGGAAAATTCAAAAGGTGCAGTTGAGATGGGAAGTTGGTGTCCGAGTGGATCGAGGTCACGATAGCTCAAGTGGTAGAGCAGCGGCGTATCAAGCCGAAGATTGTGGGTTCGAATCCCGCTCGTGCCATTGACTTTTTTATCTCAACTGAAAACCTTAATTAATTGTAAGATATTAATTGGTCAAGCGGACCACAAAATTAGTGAAATTATGAAAATAGTAGAAAGTGCACTCTACTTCACACTACAGCACTTTTAATAGGTGCTACTTTGCTCATTTCTTTGGGCATTATGAGTTTATCTCCAAACTAGTCTGGGAATGCCTAAACTGCATACTGGCCATAGGAAAATTCAAGGTTACAGAAGGAAACAAACAAACCAACCAGCCAAAAAAAAAAAAAAAAAAAGGCAGACCTCTTCCCAGTGGATCACGACCACAAGGCACAGGAGTATAAAGTTGGAGCTGGAAAAATGGACAAAAGCACCACGATTCATAAAGCTCTAAAAAAAGGAAGGCAAAGGAACTCTCCCTCATCAATCAACATTTGAGCACTATAGGCCTCTTTACCACCCATTGCCCTCCAAAAGAGAGATCTAAAGGTTGGCAGAAGTAGAAACATGCTAACTTTGTCAAGAGAAACCATAGACATCAGCATATATCCTTTGAGCATGTGTGGCATGTGTGGAACTATCCTAATGGATAGCCTATTTAGTAAGGAAATTCTCACACTAAGAGAAGTTCACAAAGAAGCACTAAGGAAAGAGCTTAACTTTGTTAAAAAAAAAAAAAAAAAAAAAAAAACCTGTCCACGATATGACCTTAATCATAAAAAAAAATCCTCTATGGAACTAAGAATGGTGTTGAAAGATATTATTCACTCTTACCTTGTATTTCTAGTATTATTATGTAAAGGCTGGTAAAAAACGGTTTTTATTTATTTTAGTTTCATTTTCTGCAAAAAAATATAAGCCTACAATATTATTTCTGGTAACAGTCATAAGATGACATTCTCATATTTTGGTTTCTTTTCTAGATTTTACATTGGACTATCTTTCTTTCGTTATCCGTGCATTCACTCATTAACGGTTGCCATATGCAACATAAATTGAGCATAGAAATCGCTTAACTTCACATTAAAAATGATCATCCATCTGTGAAATACACAAAAACAGTGCAAAAATTCTTTCTTGTGATTCAACTTCGAAATTGGTTAAGAAAGTTTGTGATAGTGTTGTGATTCGATATCGTGCATAAGTGCATACCTGTTGATGTATGCACATATTGTTTTCTTGCGTGAAATATCCTTTATATATGTTACAGTAATTTTTCTTAATGAAAAAACCTGAAATATGTGTACATAAGTTCATTCATAACATTGTCGATAGGCACACACAATTTACGTAAATTGGTATGTATATAAAATAAAATGCTTCAAAGCCTAAAATTTGAAGTAGCAATGCTTGGTAAATATCCCTCGTCGATGACAAAAGTCTACTTAAGACCAAAAAAACAAACTCTCATTTATGGAGTTATTTTCAGTCAACGCTTAATACTTATACTTATTTCTCTAAAAAAGGACAGATAAGAAAATTTAAATTATTTCTTGTTCATTCTATTTATATACAAACCACCAGAATGTAAAATAACAAACAAAATTTAAGATCAAATACCTTTCAGTTTGGGCATGTACATAAATTCTTTGACATAACTTACCTTAAATTATAAGATTTCTTCATTTAACCCAGAGTTCTTGTTTTCAAAGTTGCATTATGTTATGTTACATTGTCCATTTGATATTATTAATTTTCTTTCTTTTTTTTTTAATCATGTTACATGTTTAATTTTGAAGTGAATACGTAAGACTAAAATGTGTACAACAAAAGATTCAAACTTATAAGGTTTAAAAATTTAGGACAAGGTAAAGAGGAAAAGAAAGGAAACAAAATCAAATTAAATTATATTTAAAATAAGCGTTTATTTGATTAAGGCAAATTAGAAGTTTTTATACTAACAAAAGTAAATAATAGATAAATAAAATACTTAAAAATAAAACATGTTATTTATAAATACATGCTGTGAACTCTTAAAACTATACAAATTAAAAAATAAGAGCAGGAAAACACATGCTTTATTCAAAATGATTATAAAGAATATAAAAAAAGACAAATGCCTTGATATATTATTACATTCCTCAAGTGAAAAATAATAAAAACATGGGCCATGCAAAATGAATTTAAGTATTAGCAGTTCCACTACAAAAAAAACTTTGTTAAAAATTGAAAACAGTTTGGAAAAAATGTATTTAAAATATAAATTGCATAAATAATTCTTTATAAAATAATAATAACTTGAAATTTCAAAATTCACATATTTACATCAAGGAATAGTAGCTTTAAAAAACCAACATTAAAAAGATTTAACACGTTCAATGCGGCATTTGACATAATAATTCTATTTTGATTGTTCATCAGGATTTCTTCATTATTCTACTCATTTTGAAATCTTAGATAAAGTTCAAAATATATATTCATCCCCAGAACTGCCTTTTCGATACATTATACATATACTTAAGCACATATTCATATCTCGTGTATACTGTTTATTTCTTACTATTTATTTCTTTCAATGTTCCACCTTGTTCAACCAGGCAGTTTCTGTTTAATATGCCATTTTGTAAAGCAAATTAACTATTTTATTTCCATATGATTAGACTAAGGAGAAGGAAATCAAATTGACGATTTTTATTAAATGCAAATGGGTCTTTGAACCATATGTATGTAAATAAATAAAAGCGACCAAGAATATCAATTATTATTAAATTTTTCAGGAACAACCGACCCACTGTTTGGAATATTTTGGCTATCGTCAATTTCAGCCGCACTGAAGGTGTTAAAAGGGAAAAGTTTGTAGTCTCCATAAAAGCATTTTTTATGTATATATTAGAATGAAACAAAATAAATACCTTGCTGATCACAGACCTGATACCTTTTTTAGCCATCGCATAATTAAATATAATCAACATGATAACAAAACTAATCTTTTTCTCTCTCTTTACTCAAGCAACCACATCACACATTGACCAACAATTATAATAATACTTAAATAAATAAATATCTGGGTAATTCAATAGGGGAAGAGTAAATTTTACCTAACTGTATCCCATTTTTGGGAATTAATAAGATAAGAACGAAGCTAATTCTGATTAAATAGTCCTGTTACGGTACGTTTTTTTTTTTTTTTTTTTTTATTGTAAGGTAAAGGGTTAAAACAGAACAAAAATGCTGACATGGGCGTTCTCAATTATGGAATTTCCCAGATTTAATCAATGTCAAAAGTAGAATATGTAGTGATATTGTGTGGATTCCAAGCGATTTATTAGATAAATTAGTCTGAGAAGATAAAAACTGAAAAAAATTCTAATTAAACAGTTTGTCCAAGTTATTATATATATTTCTATTTTTACAGGCCAACATTATAAGGTAATTACAATTAATGAAGGTTTTTAGTTGAGATGAAAAAAAGTCAATGGCACGAGCGGGATTCGAACCCACGATCTTCGGCTTGATACGTCGCTGCTCTACCACTTGAGCTATCGTGACCTCGATCCACTCGGACACCAACTTCCCATCTCAACCACACCTTTTGAATTTTCCCTCCTTTTTGCCATTTTTCAATGGTTGAGATGGGAAGTTGGTGTCCGAGTGGATCGAGGTCACGATAGCTCAAGTGGTAGAGCAGCGGTGTATCAAGCCGAAGATCGTGGGTTCGAATCCCGCTCGTGCCATTGACTTTTTTATCTCAACCAAAAACCTTAATTAATTGTAATATATTAATTGGTCAAGCGGACCACGAAATTAGGGAATTATAAGGTAAAGCGTTCAAACAAAAACATCATAAAAGCTGACATGGGTTTTTTCAATTACAGAATTTCCCAGATTCATCAAGATTAAAAGTAGAATATGTAATGATATTGTGTGATTTCCAAGTGTTTTATTGGATAAATTAGTCTGAGAAACTAAAAACTGAACTAAAATGCAATTCAATAGTTTACCCAAGTTTTTTTTTTAGTAAACAAATTATAAGGCAAAGGATTAAAACAAAACTTCCAAAAGCTGTGTGATGCTGACATGGGTGTTCTCATCTATGGATCTATAGTATTTCCCAGATTCAGTCAATGACAAAAGTAGAATATGTAGTGAGTGATATTGTGTGGTTTCGAAGCGATTTATTAGATAAATTAGTCTGAGAAGCTAAAAACTGAACTAAAATGCTAATTAAATAGTTTGCCCAAGTTATTTTTTAGCCTTGCATTGCTAGCCAGCTCCTCTCCCCCATCCATATCCCTGAGGTCTGGCAAGTATCTGCCATATCTTTTATTTATATGTATTTATGTACAGAAAACAACAATAATAATTAAATAATAATTTGCTTAGTGGTCATAATTGACTATTAATTCTTTTTATGTAAGGTCTTGGTCGAGATGAAAAAGTTAGTGTCACGAGCGGGATTTGAACCCACGACCTTCAGCTCAATACACCACTACTCTAACCACTTGACCTATCCTTTGATCTACTCGGACACCAACTTCCCATCGCATTTTACCTCTTTTTGCCATTTTTCAATAATAATTTGCAATAACTGAAATCCATAAAACAGTAGTAACTATGATATTGTCGAACTGGCACTGGGTCGTCTACACTTGCTTGTTTCTATGTCATTCATCTGACATTTTATTTTAGCAATTGTAAATGGATCATTGCTTTTTTGTTTCTATGGTGATTTTTATGTTTTTTTCTGGATTGTGTTATAGGTCGCCTATAAGTGGTTCCCCTCGAGGTTTGGATAGAGATCCAGTGCCAGTTCAACTTGTTTTCACAGACATACCAACAAGTCTCTATTTCACGCTAATAAATTACATTTTCATGCCAGAGTTCATTCATACTGCCCCAGACTAGTCGATATTTGTCGACATCTCTTCTTTCAGCCTAATAAATTCCATTCAAACATCAGACTTTTTACAGTCTCTGAGACTCAATATTCCTCACCATTCTAGTTTCAGGCTAATAAATTACACCACAAATAAACCAGACTTCATTCACACTGCCCAAGAGTCTAAATGTTCCTCATGGTCTCGGTTTTCTTGCTAGTAAATTACATCCACACACCAGACTTCTTTCACATTTCCTAAGAGTACTCGATATTCCTCAATGTCTCTAATTTCATTATAATAAAGGTCAAACAACAGACTACATTCATACTGTTCCAGTGTACTCAATGTTTGTCGACTTCACTATCTGTTTTAACTATGATAGAGCAGATAAATGAGTCTAGGTCTTTTTGTTTTAAAAATTTCTAAGGCGAGCATTTAACAGGTAAGAAATCAGACGTTAACCTAAGGAACCATCAACTCCATCCGCAGAAGCTTAAATTAAGTTGTAACTTTTCACTACCTATAACAAGCAGTGTCGGAATGGTGTTGCCAAGATCAACAAGGCAACTCGGTCAACAGTCAACGTGTCAGCATCGACAACTTAAGCATCAGGAGAAAATGACATCATACTTACTTTTAAACGACCTGAGACTAATTTCATGAGGCAATAATCCGTCTGCCCAGCGGCCAGGAGTAGCAAGGCATCCGACTTTTTCGTCATTATCTTAAAACTGATGTCGGTCACGTTTTTACCTTCCAACAGTGGCACGGATATGTAGCTAGAGCCGTAAAAGGAAGCTGGGAGAGAGAAAAAGACGATTTCTTTAAAAAAAAGGACCGTGATGAAGAAGACAATTTTCAGCTTACCCGTTTCCGAGGAAATCGCCTTGGAGAAAGACAACAACGCGATTAACAAGGCGAACACTTCCATCATCGTATTCCCAACGGGATAAATCCGAGGACATAATTCAATTCCAGTTCAATAATAAAAGCCAGTCCGGGACAAATTCCAATCGGGCCATCACAATTTATAAATTCATCGTTTATTATTTATTTTTAAGCCTGATTTATGTTTATATCGAAGCAGAGATGATTATACCAGATGAGCTTAGCGATGGGTTGGAAACTGGGAACGACTAGCACTAGAGGATAGAGTACCTACTACCTTGTACCTTCCTCTACAGCGCAGCCATATTGTTTGCCGTCTCGAGTTGTTCGTTTCAACGATAGTCTTTAGACATTTTATTTTATTTAAATTTATTCAATTCCCAACCATATTATAATTTAGCAACCGTAAAATTAAAATTTTTCTAATAATTTCCTATTGAGATGGCTCTTCAAACTTTTTGAGGTGTTTTCCTGCAATATAGGTAGTTTTTCACAATTGCCTTTCTCATTTTGGTGTTTCATGATGTAACTTTGTTTCATATTCATTATTTTCGTCGTAGAAACTGTGTCTTATCAATTACTGGGATCGTACTTGTGATTTATTGTTATAAATTGCTCGAGTTTTTCACCTTAAGACGGCTTTCCAGAAGGCATGCGGTGTTTTCTTGCTATAGAGATTCTTCTCTACAACTTGTTGATCCCCTATTGTATTTGTGGTGTATGTCTGTATTTATTGACTAGAATAAAAAACACTTCTTTATGTTATTTTTAACGTACGTTTAAGTAGACAACCCCGAGAAACATTGAATGAAGTCGATATTTGCCTGTAATTTATTAGCATGAAGGTAGAGGCCCCAAGAAACATCGAGTATTCTGGGGCAGTATGAATGGAGTCTTGTTTGAATTAATTTATTACATCGAAAGAAGAGAACCCAACAAACTTCGGGGACTCTGGGATGAAGTCTGATGTGTAGATGTAATTTTTTAGCGTCAAAGTAGAGACCTGATGAATATGGACTATTCTGGGACAGGAAGTCTGGTGTTTGTTTGTAATTTATTAGCGTGAATGGAAAGAACCTTTTCATAATTTCACCGAAAAATATCGAGTACATTTAGCCAGTATGAATGGAATTTATTAGCGTGAAAGTAGATACCTCGAGGAATATCGAATTCTGTGGGCAGTGTGAATGTAATTTATTAGTGTGTGGTGATTAGTGACCGTTAATCGATAATTATTTAGAAACCGTGAGATGCGGTCTTGTGTGATGTAGGTTCCAGAAAAACATTTTCTTTATCGTGCCAACGTTTCGATCTTTATTGAGATCATCTTCAGGGCTCAAAGTGTTTGTCTTCTGTGTAATTGTGCCATTCTTGCGTGTCGTGTTGAGAGTGCCCACTTCGAAACGTTGGCACGATAAAGAAAATGTTTTTCTGAAACCTACATCACACCAGACCGCATCTCACGATTTCTAAATAAGTCATTTATTAGCGTGAATGGAGGGACATATTTCAAATTACACCGAGAAATATCAAGTACTTTTTGGCAGTGTGAATGAAGTCTGATGTTTGATTGTAGTTTATTATCGTAAAAATATATATGTTGAGGAATATTGGGTATTCTGGGGGAGTATGAATGTAATTTATTATCGTGGGGGTAGTAGATACGTCGAGGAATAACAAATTCTGTGGGCAGTGTGAATGTAATTTATTTGCGTGAATGGAGGGATCTTTTTCAATTTACACCGAGAATTATCGAGTTCTCTTGGGCAGTGTGAATGAAATTTGGTGTTTGGCAGTAATATATAACGTGAAATTTCAGGCCCCCAGGAATATCGAGTACTCTTGGGCAGTGGGAATGAAGTCTGACATTTAATGGAATTTATTAGCATTAAAGTAGATACGTCGAGGTATATCGTATATTCTGGGGCAATATGAATGAAGTCTGATGTTTGAATGTGATTTATTATCATAAAGGTAGATACGTCGAGGAATATCGAGTTCTGTGGGCAGTGTGAATAAAGTATGGTGTTTGGCAGTAATTTATTAGCGTGAACGGAGGAACCTTTTTCGAATTACACCGAGAAATGTCGAGTACTCTTGGGCAGTGTGAATGAAGTTTGGTGTTTGGCAGTAATTTATAGCGTGAAATTTCAGACAGTGTGAGTGAGGTGTAGTTTTTGAATGTGAAGGCTTCTTCCACAATTAAGCCAACAGCTTCTCTGCTTAGAATGGTTTTAGAAAGGAACCACTTCAGGCTGATCATCAACGTAGCCCTGTAATTTGGTCATTTCTGATCATTTTAATCTCTTTATTCTCGCTGTTTTACTTGTCGGATGTGTTTCATAAGATAGTTTGACCGAAGATGACGAGAAGGCGAAATATGTCTGACGGACGAAAACAAGGAGGATAATTAGACTTTTAATGTTTGAACAAAGTCGAATGAGATTATGTTTCTTTACATATTACTGTTTGTATTTTTAAAACACCACCTGGGGTAAAAATTAAATTTGAGCGGGAAATTTTACAATTCGCCCTAGTAAAAGGGTGGTTGACGAACTACCAAATTATTTTCACGGCTCTAAATTGTTTTTTATTCGTAATGATTTGTCTTTTCTACAATAGTTTGAAGCCAATAAATTGTCTACTTCTTGTCAGTGTATACTTTTTGAACACAACAGAATCAATGTCCTCCTTTGTAGTTTTTGTTTCAAATGAGATGGCTCTCGAGTATTAAATATCGCTTAAATTCAGCTCGTTTGTGACTAAAACGATTTTATGAATGTTTGTTTATATAAAGAGGGCCTTGGAAGGGGGCGTAGGTGGATTTTAAGGAAAGGGGTGTGTGCGCAGTGCCAGGGGTTGATCCGGAGGACCACACCCCTTCTCGACACTCTTACGACGCGTACCCGGATTGAACAATCGCATGTAGTTCGATCCGTCCGGTCATGAAATTAATGTTGATCTAAACGGACATGTGCTCGTTTACGGTCCGGTTGTCAAACGCGAGTGCGACAAAACGGTCGTCGAAACCAAACCCTCGCCAGACGAGATTCGGACGATTTATTTATGAATGAACATCTTCAAAAACGGATCGTGATATGAATAATTTCAGCCAAAGGGATATTTCCCGTCTTTTCTGGACGACTTCCAATAACAGAAATGATTAAATTCTCACTGGCGTTTTTATTTTTGATTTTCACTTGCGAAGGTAAGCCCTGGGACGCCTTCGACCTCCCTTCGAGTACGAGCTGTATTTTTTTTTTTCTTGGCAGTTTTCCTTGCAACTTTTTTTATCTTCAGTTTCAGTGTGTTTGAATGGTGAAGAAGAGAGCTTAATTTGCAGGGATAGGCGAAATGCAAACGTGGAAATGGAAATACCATCCATCAGAGGACCGTATTTCGATAAATCCGTGTCCAGGAACGTCACTGCTTTAGTCGGCAGAAACGCATTTTTGTACTGCAGGGTCAGGAATCTTGGCAATAGAACGGTAAACAGTTTTGAATAGTTTTTTCTTCTTTCCCCTCCTTTTTTTTGTTAATTCATATATCATCCCTCCCAACCATTAGTCTTCACCCCCATTTATTAAAGGAAACGTTACACTAATTACTGAGGCGATCTAATTTAACTGAGTACGCCGAAAATCCAATATGAACAAGCTGTTGCACTCCACGAACAATAATTGAGAATAAATACACGAAGAGGAGCGATTTTAAAACAGGACTAAGACATTTGCCTTTATAAATTTTACAAAACAAAAAAAAAGGCGATGTGGTTGCTGAGATATTGGTAAACGCAAAACCTAATAAAAAGGAAGGAGCATAAGTGGCGGCAACGATTTAGTTGTTGACACGGCGCACATCACTGTAAGGTGAAGATACCGGGTTCGAATCCAGAGGCCCTGCATTCGAACCCGACATAGTTACAAATGGGCTTTTTTTTTTCAAAAACCGGCTTGCCGGGGATTCATATAACCTCGTAGTTTACGTCATATATTCTCGTAAAAAAAAAAGAAAAAAATAAAAGAAAAAGAAAAATTGTGTTTGTCAAATTTAGCGACAACTGAACGAAAAAAGATTTAACAACAGTACAAGACAGACGCGTGGCAGGGCGGTGTTGTGGTTCCTACTTTATTTTAAAATGTACATCTTCACTTTTTCACGCTTTTCTCTCTCTCAAGATGAGCTGTTTTTGTTCATTGCATTTTGTACAATGCTTAATAAAATCGGGATTCATTCTTCTGTTTGTTTAATTGCTTAATCTCGGGGGTCATCGAGATAATCTCAGGAATACCTTTCCTAGATTTTTGCGTCTAAAAATGTTTTTGTTTCAGAAGCCGCAAAAAAAAATCTTTTATGACACCTTTTCTTACAAAATGATACATTTAAATAACAGATTGTTTTCTTTAATTCCTTGCTTCGTAAAAGGCGAAAGCCGACGAATCAGACCCCCCCCCTTTTGAAAAGTCCATTATAAGTTACATATAACATGTCAAGTGCAGTTTATAGTTTCATACTACATGAAACAAATTGGTTTGAAACTCAAAGACGAGCTCGAAGAACAAATTAACTGTACAAAATTGACGATGGGCAATCCAATTGATCCAATTACTCAATGACCTCACACAGAATCATCAAGAGCTCCGCTATACCATTGCAGGGCAAGTTTGAAGTTGATTACATGCAGAAAGAACAAATACACATCAATTAAAACAAATGTGGCCAAAGAAAAATAACTATTACCATTTTGTCAAAATACTCGAAAACAATACATGTTTTACATGTACAGATAATGAAATATCTATGAAAAGTACCACAATACTCACAGCTTCAATGGAACTGCCACGCTTGCCTAACTGGAGAAAATACTAAACCAAAAAACCAATCAACTTAAAAATTAAAGAAAAAGTACAATGGAAAAGGAAAAAACCCTGGAGCTCTTTTATAGAAATGAAACAAAGGGGATAGAGGGACTATGAGCACCCTGCAATCCACCAGAACCATCTTTCAATCTGAATTACTAGCCATAGAAATACATGTGCATTAAATAACAAACATCTCAATGTTGCAACTATACAAATACTATCAGATAGCCAGTCAGCTCTTTAGGCCTACTAGTACGATGATTTGTAGTAATTTTATGGTAGTCAGGCAGTTCCAGACTAGTTTTGCATTGATCTCGTAGGCTTGAAGAGCCTACAGAGGTGACTGGCTATCTGATAGAATTTTTATAGTTGCACCTTTGACAGTTTTATTATTTAATTATTACGTTACCAATAAAATATTTTAATTATTTTCCTTGTCAGTTTAAATTATTAATTATATCAAGGCCATTGAACTCAAGACTTGTCTACTATGTGACAATTCTCCATACAGATATGAGTTGACTGTCTCTCGATTACATGAATTACATTCTGAAGTCATATCTTGTTGATAGACCACGTCAAATTGGCCAACATTTGCAATGATAAAAAAAGCAATGTATACTGTCGTATTTATCATATATTTCCATTAAAATGAATCAGATGAGCTTCTTTTCAAGGGAAGAGTATCACAACTTTTGATGCTAATGACAAAGATAGTAAGACAAGAGGCAGAGCTAAAGACAAAGAGGCAGAGCGTTTTCCTGTGTTAAATGATTTGATTGATTGACGTTGATCGATGAAATATGTGAACACCTTCAAAGTTTGGAGATGTCCTTTGAGAACTACTTCCCAACTGCTCAAGATACGTAAATGGAATGCTGCAAGACCATGAATGGAAAATCAAACCGTTTTCTGTTTCAACAAAGCCAACCAGTCTATCTTCATGAGTGAATATGAATTTTGATAGACATAGAGACTCCACCTTGAAATCTACTTTCAAATCTGATACATATCCCATTTTTGGCCCTGTCTGGAAAGCAAAAAAGTTCAACCGCTCATTGAAAAAGCAAAACTTGTTCTTGTTCCATTTGCCACAACGTACCTACATGAATCTAGATTTGTTTAATCTATACTGCCACCAAAACTAAATTCCAAAGCTGTCTAGATGCTGAACCCGACATCCGTCTCCAGCTATCAAAAATTAAAACCAATATATCCAAATTGGGCAAGCTAAAACAACCTCACTCTTCCAATTAATTCATTAATCATTTATGTTCAAATTATTGCTTTTGAAATTTGCTCAAGTTTTACATAACTATTGATTTTGTTTTGTTGATTTTTGTGTTCTGGATTTTGTGTATAAAGTTGAGTATGTCAATCAAATGTTTGTTTTGATAGTGATATCTCCCTCTATAACCTAATTAGGAATGGACTGGCTAATTTATAAAACTTTAATTTACTATATAAGTATCTAATGTTAAATACTTGAATGAAACGGGTCCTGAATTTTGTTTTGAGAAAGGGGTCCACTGCATAAAAAGTTTGGGAAGCCTTGCCCTAAACAACTGGGATATACAAATAGACTAAGGTTATGGGGGAAATTTCAGGCAAGAGACATACTACTAGCTAAAACGCCTTTGGAACAACACATATGCCCAATTGTTGTGGCATAATGGCCACTTGAAAAAGAATTGTAATCTTAGGTCACTAAAGTGCACAATAAACATCAGGAAAAGCCAGGTTTGAGTTAAGCAAAAATACTACTTGCAAACCAATGAGGGAAATAGTCTTACTCACAAAAAGGAATTAAAAACCCTGTTCATCAATGTAATGTAAAGGTTTCGGGTTTAAATCCAGGGGCCCCCCAAAAAAATTCAAACCCGACATACTTACAAACGATTTTTTTTAACACTAAAATCCCAAGGGTTCATATAACCTCGTAGTTGAAGTACCCTAGTAAAAATAAATAAATAAACAAAATACAAGGAAAACTTTTGTTTGTCAAATTTAGTGATATCTGAGCAAAAAAAGATCCGCACGATTCAACAACAGTAAAAGACAGTTGCAGGGTGTTGTTGTGGATCTGACTTTATTTTCAATGTACATCTTCACTTTTTCACGCTTTTCTCTCTCCCAAGATGAGTTGTTTTTGTTCACTGCATTTTTTACCTCTACTGTCACGAACCATCAAATAAATAAAAATAAAATAAATAAATAATTGTACCTAGGAAAGCCATTCTTGGGCAATGAGACCTCGATAATATACCTTTCTTCATTAAAAAAACAAAAATCTTTCAGGCAAACCATTAATCGAGATCTGACACAATAAATGAAAATTTAAGTGCTTAAGGGGGAAATTTCTATGGTTCATAATAAAAAATAAAAAAGTACCAAGATGCAAATGTCACCAATGGTAGCTTCTATCAACACAAAAATGCTTGAATATTTGTCAGAAACATAAAAAAATCTATATGAAAGCTCTGAAAACAATTATAAATTTGGGTGGTTAATTAATAAATCATCAGTATGAAATAAATTTATGGCATTGAAAATTTACTTGTTTTAGGTTTCTTGGATCAGACACAGAGATCTCCATTTATTAACTGTGGGCAGCTACACTTACACAAGCGACCAGAGGTTTTTCACAACACACTCGCCACAAACCGAAGAGTGGACTCTTCAAATCAGATTTCCTCAAATAAGGGACTCTGGGATATACGAATGCCAGATAGGAACAAATCCGCCGATTGGCTTAACAATGATGCTTACAGTTGTAGGTGAGCAAAACAATACAAATATTTTTAAACAATTAGACTGCTGTGTACATGTGGAAATGTCTCTGTTTTTAATTTAATTAATACTTTAATCACAATCAACATTTTAAAAAATTATGGCTCAACCACAAATATGTTTCTAAGTAAAACAAATAAGTCACAACATATAAAAACAATTATAAAACAAATAATAAAATAAAGTAAAGTAATACTTGTCATGAGGGCTTAATGCACCCATTAGGTGTTGTGGAAGATGAGAACCACTTAACAGTACAGTTTTCAGATAAATTTCAAATAAAATTTCAAGGGCTATGCCAGCAATAGAACCCAGAACTGCTAGCTTGACAAATATGAGTCAGCCCTAAACACTCAGCCATTGCAGTCTGTGATTTGTATGTGACCCTATTAACTGACCACCAAAATTATAAAACCCTAATAATTATGAGTGATTTTAGTTCTCAAACCAACGATGATTTTTTTTCTGTACATATGAACAGTAATTAATAAAATTTTGTATGTAAATAAATAATATAATGCACACAATAATTTAGAATACTTTTTTGGTAAAAAAATTAAGTGAATATTTATAGAAAATAATTTGAATAATTCTCTAATATGTCTATGATTTGATGATGCGATTAATTCAGGCAAGATAATTTTTTTTTTTTTACAAAAATTTAGAACATCTTTAATTATTTTCTGCAGAGATTTTCTCTTGAGTTTTGCATGCAAAATGATGAATATGCAGTTTGATCATTGACAATAATTTTGGTCTGCCTGACTTCACTGTTTTTTTTTTCTCAAACTTACCAAAACTCAGTGCGTTGCAAATATTTTCCATCCGTGTCGTTCTCTCAGACCCACCACAGAAGATTACAAAAAGCCAAAACACGTTTGACCAACCTAAATCAGCTTGCCTGTTCATTTTAATCAGGTTCTCAAATGAAACAATGGGAACAAATACAATTCAAACTAGTTCAGTTTCTAAAATTACCAATCAGCTGTACACTAGGCACATCCCACTGTAGACGATCTCTACTTCCTGGAGTATTCCTGGATATAGCTCAATTTTTTGGTCAGGTACACCTCGTGGTTATTACCACATCCTTAAATTATATATCTCCGATCGCTTCTATGCCAGTCAAAGATCCTTGTCTTTCTCCATTTAACTGTCTTGGAGTACGAGTCCCCCAGGGGAACATACTTTCTCCTCTTCTATATAATATTTATATATCCACTCACCCACAATAACCTTCACCTTCACTGACAATATGACAATAATGATCTGTGAACTACAAAAAAATATATATGTATCAACAACAACTTCAACAAAATCCTTCCAATCCAAACAATGATGCTCCATTCTACAGCACCGATTATACCATCCACTCCGATTTTAAGACCTAGCCTAATCCTGATGTAGGAAATTTTACTCCAAATTAGCCAATCATCACAACCCTTTAATTTATAACATCTCTTCATGCTGTTGGCCTCCGTGGTCATTTATCCAGGGTCATTTGTTGGTCATTGCCCTCAGATGTAGCCATACTTGCATGCACTGTTACTAACAGACCACCAGATAGTATGCTTGATATACATGATTTATAATATAAGAGTTTTAGGATATTTTATAACATATAATACTTGTAAAATTTATCAGAGTGAACTTAGTATTTTACTGTAAGAAAGGGAAAACATGAACTTGGTGTTAAAATTTTTACTGTTTTATTTTACAGAACCTCTCACGAAAATTATCGGAGGGCCCGATTTGCATATAAACTATGGAAGTACAATCAATTTGACTTGTATGGTCGTACACAGTCCAGTACCTCCTCCTTCTATTATTTGGACTCATAATGATAAGGTTTGTTAGTCAAATTCGACAACGTTTAAACTTGACTTATACGTTTTTGTTCTCTTTTTAAGGAAGTAAATTATGATTCCCCTAGAGGTGGTGTTAGTGTGATAACCGAAAAAGGTGATATTACAACTAGTTACTTGTTAATTCAAAGGGCTAGGTACAGTGATTCAGGCTCTTATAAATGCATTCCTTCAAATGCCAACGCTCTGTCAGTTTTTGTCCATATAATGAATGGTAAATCAAATTCAAGATTAATAAGTAAAAAGTATAAAAGTACATTAAGATATTGACTTTTTTTTTTTTTTCAGAAAAACCAGAAGCGATGCAGAGAGGAAGCCAATTGCGTATTCAATCTTATACTGTTCTAATACTCATTACATCAATAGTCATTTGTTTACTTTATTGATATTGATTATATTTTAGAAGAGTTCACATTTTAAATGTGGTATGTGTTATTCATTTGAATCCTTATTGTTAATATTCAAAGTACTTTATGTTATAAGAGTATCTAAAAAGAAATGAATTATAGACGCATTATTTTAATTTACCTTTCAGAATTATTAGCACCATGTCCCTTAAAGGACTTATCCCCGTCCGGAAACTGTGATTTTAGAGTTTAATTACCGTTCGGTTTCATTTTTATGTGTACGTCGCCTATACTTCTTGTCAAACAAAAAAACCAATGTGAGAGATTGTAAATGCGTATAATAAATTCCTTTTAACGAATCATTATGCACTTAAACAAACATAAATTACACGACAAAAGTATAAACATATTATGTATGTATGTATATGTACATAAACTATATAACTTTATAATGGGATAGGCCATCAATTTGATCTTTATATAGAAATGCAAAACTATTTAACCAGCTTATTTAACATTATAATCATTTTAGCCATTATATAGCCAAATTTGCATTTATATTGAATATAAATTGTTCAACTGTCAAATAAATTTAAAAAAATGATCTCATTATTAAAACATAAAATTGTGTCAGAAAAATACATCACCTTACATACTCTTTGAAAAATCATTTTAAAAAATTAAATAAATAAAATATAAAATTAAATAAATACTAAAAAAAAGTTGATGTAACTTTTATTTTTCACCTAAACACATTCTTCTAAATAATAAAATTTTCAAATAATCTCATTTATGTCCTTACAAGTTTTGTAGGAGTTAAACATATTGCAGTATTTTTATTTATTGTTTTTACATCAGAAGGTTAAACTGACTTCAACAAAATGGCAAATTTGTGATTGCCTACCCTTTAATTTATCACATTTCTTGACTAAAACAAAATATTCTTATTAATTTCTCTTTGAATTTTTGTTAATCATAATTCACTATGTCAAGCTAGATTGACGCAATAATTTATCCGTTTTTTTCTATGAGATAATATATATTTTCTAAAAAAAAAGTCCACTAGAATAAAACCAAATTTACAACAAATGACATACGATTTACAAACAAGTGGGTTGTAAAGTTCTCTGTAAAGGTGGTTATTTAGACGTAGTCACCCGAAGACCCCTGTGTGAAGTTTGATGTGATCCACAACTCATTCCGAATAGTTGGGAAATTCCTAACATTTTTCTATCATAAACCTGTTTCACCCCCTCAAAATGTTTAAAGAATAATAACATTCAAGTAATATTTAATTGAATAGATGTAGGATCTGAGAAAAGAAGAAAAAGAGAGAAAAATGCTAAATAGTTAAAACTATGAATTTTTTTTTTTTTTGGCTTACAGTCCTGCTCAATGTTATTAAATTAATTAATTTGCTCATTCAAGTTAACTACTTCTGAATATTTTCAGCATCAAATTAGTAAAAGAAAAGATCTAAAATTTTGAACTTTTACTATGCACACCTGAGTAGTTACAAATTTGTATTTTTTAAAGATTGAACTTAATTTTTTTTAAATACATCAATCCTTCTATACAATATCCCCAGTGATCTTACTAAATTGTTATTTGTTTTATAAATTTTATAAATAGCAGAGACAATGTTTAATCTTATTTAAGAATTATTAGTTATATATTAAATGTTATGTATTCAGATTGTATCTAAGTTGTTCTTTATAATCAATAAATTAATCTCTTATTTTATTATTCCATCTCTTCCAATATCATTAATTTGGTGTTTAATTTGTTCTTTTCCTACTTTCTCCCTGTATGAGCTTCCAGAAAAATATAATAGAGAAATCGAATGTATTGTGTATCAGATTGCCAAGGTTCGATCATTTGTGTGTTTAATATTAATATTGTGTTCACACTTCATGAAATTCAAATGAAATTTTAAAAACTAAGTATATTTTTTATATAAACGTTACTTAGGTTACAATTAATTAAGGTTTTTAGTTGAGATAAAAAAGTCAATGGCACGAGCGGGATTGAACCCACGATCTTCGGCTTGATACGCCGCTGCTCTACCACTTAACCTTAATTGGTCAAGCAGACCACAAAATTAGTGAAGTTACTTAGGTTGTTTTTTGTCAAAGAAGTTAATTAATGTGACTTGAAAATTTTGATTTTCCTGTTGTTTTTTTTATAGCTTTATGTTTTTCATATTAGCCAGAGTACATACAAAATATCATATTTTTGCGAGGAGGTCGAAAATTCATGGAGCTCCAGTGGGACCATGGGGTCTACAACCCACAAGCCTCCTACCCGGGACCCTGAAATATATTTTAAATTCAACTTTAATTAAAATTTTAATGTTATTTGTAATATTCTTTTCATTTTTTAATGAAAAATTTAGTTTTTTAATAAAATACCAGTCAAGTAGACTATTTGCCTGTGGAAAAGGGTAGACAGATCATACTGATAATTTTTACTCAAAGTATTGTGTTTCAAAGTCATATTTTGTTTTAGATGGATACATAATAACTGCATTTGTATATTTTTAGTTGCAGACTATTTTTCTATTTTGCAATCTGCAATTATTATGTTTATTATAACAATTTTTGGCTATCATATACAAACTTAAGTTTGTTTTTGATTGATTGATTTATAAAAGCTCATCTGTGTTCATATGCACATACACATATGTACAGAATCAAGCTTATGATGATTTCTCAATCAGGCTGTCAGACCTCGGTTTTATCCATTCCGCCACCAATGTTAGGTTTTAGGGGCTGCCAACAGTTTTTCAGCCTCGACTGCATGCAGTTTTTAAATCCAACTTTCATGCTAACTTATACATTATTTAAAAAATTTATACGCATCAAGCAACTTTTCTTCGATAGGACTCGATTTTAAGAGAGAATCATGTGTAGTGTGAGAGGACTGATGGTGTAATATTGTACTTTCACGCTAATTAATACATTCACTCTTAACATACACAGGAAATATAGAGTACTACATACAACAGCAATTTTCCTCCTAAAATCAAAATGTGACCAAAATACTCGCTACCTTGGAGTATCACTCCCTACATGGAGCCAAGGAAAGGCACCCTTCAATTATGTGAGACTCATCGAACAACCTTTCTATACATGCTGACTGCTTTTGGTCCAAAAATAAATGTCTTTGTAATGACCTATTCTTAATCTGGTGAGACTAATTCATCTCTTCTTTATTCAGATGATCCAAATTCATATCTTCTGAGGGCCATCCATTGAATGTGCTCTTTATCTAGGAGCTTCCCTGCTGATGTCTCACTGACACTGCCATTTCCTTTTGATCATATTTTTTATTGGAATTTTAGCAATAGAATAGAGTAACATGGTAGTCAGGTCCAGAGGTTGGGACCAGGGAGGACTCCCCTCCAGATGTAGTTTGTATATGATTAAAGCGAAAAATAAAAAACTAGTACATGTTTTAATAAAAGTTTTTGTTAAAAAAAAATCTGTTAACAGGTGGTAAATAATCAAAAACAATATATGGTAATATTTTATTTCCTACATAATAATAAATAACATCTTAATAACATAGTAGAAATTAGATACAAGTAAAACAACAAACCATTATTTTGTACATATCTTTCTTCTAAGTTCCTACCAACATAACCAAGCAAAAGTATATACCTCTTCTATAGATTTCCTGATCCAGCTCAGTAGATATGAATTTGATGTTAAGCCCAAACCTAAAAAGTCAATCAAATTGATAAAACGCTCATAAATATTTTGCAAAAAGTGAAAAATCGGCAACAACTTACACGCAGTGTGTAATCCCAACTTCCGGTGGACAGAGCAGTCCCGTCTGGAGATACTTGCAAACATGATACTCTGTTTTCATGACCATAAAGTAAACTTACGCGAACACACTTCAATGTATCCCAGACGTTGATTGTGTAGTCATTGTAACCAGCGAACAGCAATCGGCCTGAAATAAATTATTGCATTTAATTTTTTTTTTAAATTAATTCCAATGCTAGTTTAAAAATGATCAGTTTTTGTAAGAATTGCACCACTGCATAAAGTATATGTGATGTTTAAGCATTCAATATTGAATCAACAGATCAATATATAATTATAAATGAATCATAAAATAAATAATTAGTCACAAAATAATTTAGTACGTACCACTGACTGAAAAATCCACACAATTGGCTCCAAATATAATGCTTTCTTTGGTGTAAAGGGCAACTTCCTTATCGGCTCTTAGGTCAAACAGCCTACACTATAAAAGATTTAAAACATGGTCTGTCGGTCATACAATATAATTTTGAATAGTTATAGTATTATCATCTTGTCCACATCCATTATATTAATTTAAAACTATAAACAGTTTGGATTCTTCAGAAATTTTATTTGAAATGGATTACTTGTTACTTACAAGAACATTTGAAAAAAACAATTATAGGACGGATTGGCAAAATTTAACACCAAATAATTTGGCAGATAGGTTTGAATTAAATTTATTGAGAAAAAAAATCTGAAGAACATACTGTAGAATCATCTGAGCCAGTAGCAATTGCATCTCCACTTGGGTGAAATTTGACACTGTTGATGTCAGATAAGTGGCCTTCGAATGATTGAACACAATTACCAGTTCTCATGTCCCAAACAAATACTTTTTTATCACAGCTCTGCCAACAAGAACAAAAATTAAATGTTTAATTTGTATAAAGTTCAACTTGGAAAAACAAACTGGACAAGAATCTTACGCCTGACACAAATGTATTCCCATTTTCAGATGGAGCAAGGTCCAGAGACATGACATCACTTGTGTGGCCATGAAAACTCTGCAACAGTTGACCAGATTCCACATCCCATAGAGCGCAACTTGAATCTCCACTTCCAGTAAGAATCTAAATGAAATTACACGATGAATTGAATATTTCAAATGCACAAAATATTATTGTAATTCTTTTTTGTACCTGTTGATCTGAATTTGGAAAAGTGCAACAAGATGTATAACTAGTGTGAGTGCCAACTGTTTTCTTTTTTGCAGACACATCATCTTCAAAACTGAGACTGTATACAGTTACTTTATTGTCAAGACCTCTGAAACACAATTGACATTGATTAACACAATAAACAATACTTGAAAAAGTGTTACAACAATAACATAACAAAAATAGCAGATTATTTCTAGCTAACATTGAACTAATTTAAATGTCAATATTAAACATTTTGCAGTCATTGTTCAAACTTTGACATTTCGTATAAATGAAAATTATATGTTCATAATTGCAAAAATGCATTATTTAGCAAAAGATAATGTATATTTATATGAACCTTAAATATGATGTATTTTTGGGCTGGATACATTTTTTGTGTGACCATGTTTGTATTACCAGGGAGTGTGCTTGGGTTGGGTTAGGTGAAGTTAGGTAGGGTTAGAGTTAGTATTAGGGTAATGTTAGGCTAGATAGGGTTAGAGTTAGTATTACGGTAAAGTTAGGCTAAGTAGGGTTAGAGTTAGTATTAGGGTTAAGTTAGGTTAGGTAGGGTTAGAGTTAGTGTTATGGTAAGATTACACATCCATTTTTCCGTGAAATAGTTCACATAAATAATCAATTTTACACAGACACAGTAGGCCTGTGACCTTTGAGTGGTACGCATCATGTTATGAAGAGTGCCAGCTACAACCAGTTGTTTATTGTACAGAAACGTAGAAAATTTTATTTTTTTATTAATAATCATAGTTGAAATCATTTCTGTTTGAATATTTATTTCTGGTGTGAGGGGTTTTTGCTTTATTAGTTATGTTTCCATTTTACATGTTTATGCTTCTGGCTGGTCAACCCGAAGCAATGTCTGCTTCGAGTGGAGGCACTGACTCAGTCCCTATGGGCAGGAGAAAGGAAGTCTGGCAAAGAAAGAAGAAAATTTGAGTTGTTTACCACAGGTTCAAACAGTTGGGGTTTGAAAAAAGAAAATTAACTTTAAATATAAATAACTTGGATAAACAAGAAAATTTACCAGACAAGGTTTCCTATAGTACAAAGGACACCGTGGTTTAAAGGGCGCAGGGCCTCTAAAAAATTTTATTTGCCCTTCGCAAAAGTAAGAAACATGTCTGGTTAAAAGGTGCATCTATCTCCTCCTGCCACGGCGAGTGTTAGCACTTGGATATGTTGCTCATGGCCGTTCCTCCGTTGCTGGATCCGATCCATTGAGCATCTAGATATATAGATCTAGAAGATATATAGAAACTAGCAATCTAGATAATTGCTATCAACACATGGAGCATGAGTAATGGGAATACCCAAACCAAAAAAAAAGTTAGCTTTTTCTTTTCTCACACTATTTACAATTCATTTTATCACTTTGCTTTTTCACACCAAAGAAAGGTGGTTATTTTAGCGTAAAGTTTGTTTGAAAAACTTAACTCCAAATTCAAGATTTTGATTGGCTACAAAACCTAGTATTCCTGAATATTAATATTTAACTTTTTTTAATGTAACATTTTCCAATTATCAACAACATTAAATTAATGAAGGTGAAACTTGATTTCTGGAAAAGTTACATTGAATATCAGCAGCCTGAAGTGTTCGAAACCCTTCATGACTTCTTGCCATTGCAGAACTCAATCTAACGATTGGTGATAAATTATAAGGAACTTGGGAGGATTGAAAATATTGAAAAATACTTCCCAGAGATGTGGGTCGTTATGGGACCGTGGTAGCTGGGTGGTTAAATCGTCAGACTCTCAGCTAGTAGATCCCACAGTGATGTGTTTGATTCCAACCATTGCCGCTGGGCTTTTTTTCTGATGCATGAAAGTTGACATAGGATCTTCATCTATGGAAGGTTTGGGGTGGGATCAGATCTCAGCGACCCTGAATTTGGTCTCAACTCTCCCTTAAAAATGAGAAGAAACTAGCACACTGGGGGCTCAATCATATACGTGTTGTTGCGACCTCTCAAAAATGGAGCCAGGAAGGAGTACAAGAAGCTGTAAAGCTGCAGTGCTCAGGGGGAATTCCTTTAGTTCCTGGTTTCCAAAATAAAAAAAAAAAAAATGGGTAATCGTTGTATATCAAGTCTTTTTAAAGAATATTATTTTAAACCGGCTTTATTATCACTTGAGAAGGGGAAAAGTTACTGGAGCTTGCTTCTAATACCACTTTAAAAGACATCTTCAATAACAAAATAATAAATCTTGTACTTTTTGGGCATATTTAAGTGAAGAGTCATGTGAACTTTCAAGAAAGGCTTTTTTTTACGTTTACTAGCACTGAACTTGTAGAATGGGCATTTTCTTTTTATGCTTGCATAAAACATACATACAGGAGCAAACTGTAAAAGTAGCTGGGGAATATATCTCTCCTCACTTGGAGTGGGTGTATGCATCAATGCAGCCTCAAAATTCCTATTAATTTTTGTGTTTTCTAGTGTCACTTTTAATTTAATTTTTGTTGTATTGGTTTCAAGAAGTTGGTATTGATTGATAAAAAATTTCTTATCGTATTTTTTTTATTTATAAAAATTTATTTCCCTATATTCATTTTAGGAAAATGTAACGTGAATAAAAAAATTGAGCTGGTAAATTTATTATTTTAAACCTCCCTACTTTCTTTGGAACGTATAACGGAAGGAAGCAGAGGGTATGATGAGGTATGACGAGGTATGAGGAGGAGATTAGGGTTTGGGGGTTCACTTTGAAGATCTGATGGTAGGGGGTAGCAGACTGGAAAAAGTTGAGAATCACTATTCCAGTTGAAAGAACTGCCATGTTATTACTTTTAGTTTATTGTCTATGTTGTATTTATCTACTGTCTTTGAATTCTTTCTTCTCATACAAAGCTTTAATATTGATTATACAATATCTGCTACCTTTTCACCCTCATCTTCTAGTTAATAATCTTTTTAAAAATATTAGTCTTATCTGACATCCTCATTTCTACCGATACATTTTGTATCATGAGAAGTGCTGTGAAATTATAAAATTATTTTTATATTGTTGCTAAATAGAACTTAAGCAAGCGCTATTTACATGGAAATTAAAAATTGTGAAGCATGAGCTTTATCAGCATTTTCAGAATTAGTCAAAAGGCCAGTGTATGCTTTATACAAATGTGCCTTGAATTTAATCCCATATACATAGAATAATGTTTACACATTTATTTTCACTTTTATGCAAATATGCTCTACTGTTTTATTGTTTTATTTATTTTTTATTTTAATTGGAGGTGCATGCCAAATTCCAAATATTATGGCATGCAGTTGTATTATGTAAACAATTTAGTGAAGCCACCGGTGCATTTCACAAAATTGGTATAAATAACTTACCCACATGCAACAAAATTTCCAGATGGTGCGTAAGCGCAGGCCATCACCCAAGTAGTAGGCATAGTTACAGCATGTTCTTTATTTGTTGTAAACGCATCCCAAATTATCATCTTTCCATCCTAAAAGAGTAATATTGTGCTTTATGCTTTTTGCAAGAACAATACACAGGGGAATAGCTAAATTCCAAGTTGTATTGGGCAAGAAAATATATACTTTCCCTAATTTTAACGTTCTATGAGGTTATAAAACTTTTTTTCCAATAAAAAATACTTATAAGATAAAATCTGAAGTTCTTAATTCTTGAATTTTCTTTAAAGGAAAATAAATAAATGATCTAACTATTATTTTTCTAATAAACATTATTTTTTTAAGATTCTATTGATACATATCACAAACACCCTGTGATAAATAGAAATCTTCATTAATGAGATAAACTGATGGGAAAAATCATTAATTATAGATAGAGTTAATAAAAATTTATGGAAGTGGCTTCTATTCGGAACTGCAGACACCGTTGTATTGCACATTGTACACGTATCTGTATATTGCACAAATTCCAGTAAATAATTTTCAATCGATTTTTCATGTTTAGATGCATAATTTTTCATATATCATTTCATATTTTAAAAAAAAGTGATTGACTACTAACATTTAGTATTCTGTTGGCAAATTTTATGAAATTTGACATATAATTATGTAATTTGCTAACTAAAGGTGAAAACAAGAACATACTTAATATGAATATTTAAATTAATTACAACTAACTCATAAATATTTGATTAATTTATAATGCTAGGCCATCCAGCTACATCATTAGGCGCTAGGCTACGCTCTTTTTATATTATAATTATTTTACTCATATAAAGGCATGGACAATAATTCTTCTAATATTCTGAACTAATTAATCAAAACTGCCAAAAATGGTGATGTATTTTTTACTAACTTGAGATGATGAGACGATGTGTCGCTTGTCTGGAGCCCAGTCCGAACATAACACTTTCGCTTGATGGCCTTTCAGCAACCTTCGAGGTTTTATGTTGAGAAAGGCAATCAGTTCTAACCTTTCTCCAATGCTTGCCACTGGAGAAAATTGTCCTTTATTAAAAAAGTAAGAAATCAAAATTAACTAACAGCGGTAACAATCATAAATTATATTATATATTAAAGACACAAAATGTATGGTACAAATACAAAACAAAAATCAAATTTGTATGTTGAATCAAACTACCTGGAATAAATATAGTTAATGATATTTAAAAGAAATATTTTCATAATGGACTGGATGAATGAAGAATGCGAATTTTTAGATAAGTTCCTTATCCAAGCTTAATAACATTAAAGTTAGAAGCAACCATGCAAAAAATAAAATAAAAATTCTAGTTCAATGATATTCCTCATAAATAAAATGAGAAAAAGTTGTTCATATTGTTCTTCACAGACAAAAAAAGTTTACAGCAATACATAGTAATATTGTTCTAAAATAAGAATCACATCTGTTGATATGTAGGCTACAATTTTTCTTAATTTTTGCATTTAATAAACTAAACTAAATATACTATTCCTCATAAATAAAATGAGAAAAGGTTGGTCATATTTGTTCTTCACAGGCAAAAAAAGTTTACAATACATAGTAATATTGTTCTAAAATAAGAATCACATCCGTTGATATGTAGGCTACAATTTTTCTTAGTTTTTGCATTTAATAAACTAAACTAAATGTACTTTTCCTCATAAATAAAATGAGAACAGGTTGGTCATATTTGTTCTTCACAGGAAAAAAATTGCATTCATTGGTATTTAGCTACAACTTTTCTTTTTGCTTTGCATAGTCTAAAATAAATGTAATTATGTTTATTATGTTAAAATGTAAATGTGTTTATTTTTTCAAGAAAAGAGGTGTTTTAATTTATTCTTGCCTCCTTTTAAAATAGCACAGATAGTACAATGCGAGAATATTGTCTTATATAAACATTAAAAGTTTGAAACATTGAATAAAACAGACAAGTGTTTTCTGCTGATCGATAAGAACAAATGTTTCATGTTAGATGTTGAGAGAAGAAAAATTTAAGCACAGTTAAAATAAGAATTCTTGAGGCTTGAAAATCACCTTTTTCAGTGTTTTTTGCACTCCAGGTTTTAGAACTTGGCCTTGCCTCCTACCTGCCAAAATTAGGATCTGAGAAAGTCATTTCAGTCCCAACGTATGAATATTATAAGGTAAACATATTCATTCCAGCAAGGATTGGACCATGGCCAATTTTGACCAAAGGGAACACCCTACATGCAATGTATAAATTAAAGGTCACTATCTTATTATTCTTGCCTCTGCCATAGTAAATTTACACTAATAAATGCATTTGCTCACAATGCAACATATTAAACATAAAAATAAGAAATGTATAAAATCACTTATTTTGTCCACAAAATGGAAGACTGGAGGACACAAGAGCCAATTTAGGCCAAAGTTCTGACAACAGACCAACTCTTTTTCTTTGCTACAAATTGTACCATTATATAAGTATAGTATATAAGTATTGCTCTTAAATACTAATTAGCTTGTTTCCATCAAATTAACCATTTTTTAAAAAGGAGAATATAAACCCCCCCCCCAGAATATAAATAAAGTCGCATGTCGTCCTTACCCAGTTTACTGTACAAGTCTCTTTCCCCCTGCATACTACCTCACAGTCTTTCATTAGATTAACTGTACCTCAAACAGTGTAGAAATATGAGCGAATCAGGTTGTGCCTGGGAATTTCATACGGCCTTCTATGACCCCAATTACTTTATATTTTAATAAAATTTTCTCGCATAAAAAGGAATTTTACTGTAAATCCATTAAGCCTGAGTTATTCAATGATTTAAAGAAAGTGTTAATTTGAAATTTTAAAAAAAGACTAATTTGGCAGAAAATATAATATTTTACAGTTTCTGCTGCGTGGAGATTGCAAACTGCAGTGTCACATCCACAGTTTACAAAAAATAAATACATAAAAAGTTATACATAAGTTAATTCAAAATAATTATTGGTCACTTTAAGAGTCTGAAACAAGTCTTAAGGAGGACGAATGCATTTATTTGTGTGAATAGATGGGGTATATCAAGTACTCTGGGGTTTTATAATTGAATATGTGAATCTAATTTATTAGCATGAATGAAGGAGCATAACCCTAGGAATATTGAATACAGTTGAACTCCAATTATCCGGATTACTTGGGACCGGACCAGGTCCAGTTAATCAAACATCCAAATAATTGGATAATTAAACCCAAGGAATATTGCATACTCTGAGGTAGTGAGAATGAATGTTTGAATCTAATTTATTAGCATGTGAAGGCTCTTATTCTAATTACCTCAAGGGATATCAAGCCTCTACCCAGGCAGACTCGTACCCCATCCCTAAAAGGTCTGGGACTTGGTCGGCTCACGTGTCCTGCATAAATCTCTTGGACATATTCACAAACCCCAAGATTTTGGACCATTTAATCTCACGGAGTGATTTGGTGATGTCCGTTCCTTCAAAGATTTCAAATCTAGACCTAGCATACCTATCACACTCTGCGAGGTAGTGCCTTGCTGTTGCTTCTTTTATTTTGCAAAAACGGCAAAAGGGATCTGGTAGAATATCCATTACAGAGAGGTGTCTTCTCAGTGGGCAGTGGCCCGTCAGGATACCTATCAGCCTCCTAATTCCCTTCCTTGAAATAGAGAATAGCCATTTCGATTCTGCTGGTTTGATTTCCTTAACAAACTCTTTTGATTGCCTGTGTCCGGGGGATAAATTCCACTCCCTAATGAATGTAGTGTGATTGAATGTGTGAATCTATTTTATTAGCATGAATGAAAGGGCTTATCCTTAATCAATCAGAGGAATATCAAGTGTACTTGGGTAGTGTGAATAAATGTGTGAATCTATTTTATTGGCATGAATGAAGGGGCTTATCCCTAATTAACCATAGAAATGTTGTGCATACTTTGGGTTGTGTGAACGACGTCTGGTGTGTGAATATGATTTATTACCATGATTGAAGGGGCTTATCCCTAATAAACCTGAGGAACGTCAAGTTTAAGCAATTGTAAAACTCAGTTTTGTTTCTCAAAGCGATCAGGATAATTGGCATTCTGGATGTTTGGAGTTCGACTGTACTCTGCGTCGAGTGAATGAATGTGTGAATGTAAATTATTAGCACGAATGTGGTGCTTATCCTTCAATCACTTTGAGGAATATCGAATACTCTGGGGTGTGGAATGTAATTTGCTATCCTGAATAAAGGGATTTATCCGTAATGAACCGAAGGAATATCGCATGCTCTGGAGTTGTGCGAATGTAATTTATTACCATAAATCAAAGGGCATATCCCCAAAACATTAAAACATGAAAAACAGAGGAAAAGAATGGCGATGACCAATGTAGTTTGCTAGCCTGAAAAAAAGCCTTAAGAAATGGCAAAGGCCACTCATAAATAAAAGCAGTTTTTCTTATCAAAAGGTTTGTTATTTGATTGATGGACACAGAATAGATGCATAATAGATCATAAACAAACGTTTAAAGTATTGTCTCTAATGTTTCATTATTATTAACTATTTGAAATTAAAGGACTAGTTAAGAACAAAATTTATTAAAAAAAAAAAAAAATTGGTTTTATACTTACGGCTCATATCATTTAACTTTTGCCTTTCTTCTTCCAACTTTGCTTTGAGGGCTTCAACCTCCTTAGTCAAAGCTTCAACCGTTTCCTTCGGGCTCCCATCCTGAGCCATGGTAACTTTACACATCAAACGACTTTAAAAATTGTAGCTATACATTTTTGCTAAAGTAGGTTTTCTCCCCACGTATCCTCTTCCTCCTTCTTTCGCCGTCTGCTTTGCAAAAAAAAATTAAATTTAAAAAAATAAATAATGCACACTGCGATGTATCCTGAGTGATATGAAAAAGTTTACATTATTTTAAAACTGTTTAAAGTTGAAAAAATGAAAATTAAAAATAGTTGAAAAAAAATTAGGAAAGATTTTTTTCTGGCTAATGTAATAATTATAATAAACAAATGTATAAATAAATAAAAAAATATTTCTAACAAAAAAGTCTAAAATTAAATTAATACAAATAATTCACAATGGAATAAAGGAAGAAGAGAGAACAGAATTAAAAGAATTTTATTATTTATAATTTAAAAAAAGCTAAAAACGCATGCAATTACGAAAGACGGACGTTGTCAGGAGTGAAAAAAGTACGGAAGTCAACATAAATGCAGGAAAGACTTAAAATAAAAATTCGACTCACTCGTGGGTTAAACAGTGGATCGACCCAGCGGAAACGAGAAGGAGGAGAGGAGAGAGAAAAAAATCTACCCTGGTAAAGGCCGACGAGAGGGGTTCAGGGCAGTGTTCGAGCACACACACACTCACAGACACACTCGCACACAGGACACACAGAAAACACGTGCACACAAATGCGTGTAGGTGAGTGAAAGATAAGGCTTCAGCCGTAGGAAGTTGGAAGGATGCCGAGTTTATTGATTCGTCGGGACAGGCCACGCCCTGGGCGTATGTTCCAACAGTGAATGCACCGGCCACCAAAGACCCGACTATGACCATTTTACGACCTCTTCTAATAAACGGACAATTTTTATTATAATTACCCGGAATTTCGATTCTCCACTTCGGCCCGAACCACCTCATGTGCCCGACAAAACCGTCTGCAAATCGAACGGCAGTCCCTGTTTTCCAACGACCCGAGACTTGCGCACACCACCCCGAGCAAGTAATTATTCTTTAAATTTGATGTTAAAAAGTAAATAGTCAGACTTAAGTTAAATTCAATTTGCAACCCTTAAGTTTCAAAGTTTCCAATGAAATGCCACAAAAGCGGAAGTATCACCATGGGAGAAAATAAAACAGCCATGATAATTCAGGAGAGAACCGAGAATCTGAGAAAAATCTTTTATTATGTATTTGGCAAAAAATTAAAACAAAAAAAGGTTATGGATTCGACAAAAATAATACAAAATGGTTCACTAAAATCATAACAATCAAACTGCTCGCTAAATTTACAAGTCTAAACGTTGATGATATTTAAAATGGTGGTCATATCGTGATATCAACTGATGAACAACACTGAAAAACCAATAAAACATAAATAAATAATTCGAAACATTCTTTCTTTAGTTCTTTACACCCTCCGCGTTTTATGCTAGATATCATTTTCCCTTCCAAACCCCTAAATAGCACATTAATAAGGTCTGCGTTCTATCTTTGCAGGTACACGTTTATCTGATTTGCTGTATCAATTGCTTGGATTTGTGGGAAAGACAGTAACTTACCGTGAGTAGGAACTATCTTTTTAAAAAGGATTGAACAACTATTGAACTAACTCCACCATTCATTATTTCAACCAGAGATGGTTGTCTTATCGTGATATCAACTGATGAACACCATTGAAAAAGCAATAAAACTTAAATAAATAATTCGAGACATTCTTTCTTTAGTTCTTTACACTCTCAACGTTTTATGCCAGATACCATATTCCTTTTCAAACCCCTAAATAATTATATAACTAAGGTCTTGGGATATATCTTTGCAGGTACACGTTGATTTGATTTGCTGTATCAATTGCTTGGATTTATGAGAAGGACAACCGAGTTGGTTGTCATATCGTGATATCAACTGATGAACAACACTGAAAAACCAATAAAAAATAATAATAAATAATTCGAGACATTCTTTCTTTAGTTCTTTACACACACCGCGTTTTATGCTAAATCTCCTTTTCCTTTTCAAACCCTTAAATAATCACATTACTAAGGTCTTGGACACAGAATCGCCATGATTTTGTCTGGGCTTTTACTTCGTCGGTTGGAACTGTTCATCGCTTCTAACGATCTTCTAGGAGAATCTCAAGGTGGTTTTCGCCAAGGGTACTCAACAATAGATAACATTTTTGATCTACTTAATATCATAAAATTAAGATTGATGAAAAGAAGACGAAAAATATATTGCTTCTTTGTCGATTTTAAGGCAGCTTTTGATTGTATGGACAGGCAAGTACTGATATTAAAACTTTATAACCTTGGCATATGTTTTAAATTAATCCATATAATTAAGTGCGTTTATGACAAAAGCATCTCATCAGTGCGGGGGAAAACAGGCGTTTCAGACTGGTTTCACGTGGTATCAGGCGTAAGGCAGGGCTGTATTCTTAGCCCCCTTCGCTTCTCTATTTTTATTGACGATTTACGTACCTATTTGAATGCAGGGATCAAGGTTAGCTCGTATATAAAAGCCCTCATGTACGCAGACGATGTGATCTTGCTTGTGGATAACGTTTCCTCTCTACAACTATGGAACCTAACGGTTTAATTTACAAAAATCGAAGGTCATTGTTTTTAGAAGAGGAGGCAGACTAGCCTCGAAAGAAAAATGGTATTTCAAAGGGACTCCTACTAGTACAATTCTTCTTGGTATGACGCTAACTTGTTGTTTGTCTCTTAATACACATTTAGTGCAGAAAGTCTCGGCAGCAAAATTTGCGCTTAATACTATTTGGCCTGGGTACATGATGCATGATCTGGTCCCTTTATCTTCCAAATTTAAAATTTTTAATACGATTTGCCGTTCCATTCTCAAGTACGGATGTCAAGTTTGGGGTTTTCAACCTTCTGATCAGTTGGAAAAATCGTTGAGGTACTTCATCAAGCAGTTGTTTGCCTTCTTGTACTCCAGATTACATGCTACATATAGAAACCCGTGTTGATCCCTTATTTCTGCACACGTTAAAGCTCCATCTTAAGTATGTATACAAAACCCTAAAACTCCCTGGTCGCAGTTACACGAAAATTACAGCTCAGGAGATAATAAAGAAAAATATTTTCTGGTATGAGCACTGAAGTTCCTTGTCAGATAGACATCATCCTTCTTTCCGATTCTCTCGAAACAACATTTCTGAATGGATGGCAGAATTCCAGTGCATTCTTTCCAACGTAAGGTCTAGCGATAACAAGAGGTTTTTGGAGCGATCGCTGACTCCGAGGAGAACTTCTGTTCCTTAACTCTACCCCCTTGATAGGCTGCCAGAGGGATAGAGAAATGTGTACTCTGTGTAATACAAGGGAAAAGGAAACCAACGTGCACTTTTTTGGCTAAATGTATCATGTTGTCCGAGATGCATGCTTCTTATTTGGGTAGTGTTGTGTTCTCGGAAGAAAGCCTAGTCAAATTTTTAAATGAGCCGACCGGAAACTGGTACAAGAGTTCAATATTTTTGATTTATTATAAGAAATATTTACTTAATGGTTTGAACCCTTCTGAATGTCTCCGGCCGGTCGGCGAGTCAGTTGTTGCCGAGAGTTGTTGCCGAGAGTTACTGCCGAAAACATCGTAGTCTTACCCAAATATTTAAATTTAAAATCAATTTATGATTTTCAATTGCCGTCAAGTAAGCATTCGGTACCAAACACCTGAATCCGCCTGAGACTGTGGTGCCGAGCCAAGTCGAAGAAAGAAGAGGACAGCTGTTGCTGAATTACGTGATCCCTTACCGAGACACGTTGGGGTAAGTGAAAGTTCTAATTTATCCCAATCCCCCGTCGGATTCACTCTTTCCCATTTTTCTTTAATTTAAAATTTTATTCAGCTTTTTTTTATATACAGTCCACTTAACACAACACTATTACTGAGTATCTCAGACAGAAGGACAAAAAGAAAATGAAGGAACAATGGAATTCACTCATTGGACTCAGGCAATCCAAGAATTTCTTAACAAATTTCGGAAGAAAAAAACTACAGAATGTGTCAAGGGAAGCAGGAACAAACTGCGAATCCTAATAAGATTCTTAACAGGACACTGGAAGTTAAACGGGCACTGAAAGAAGATTGGAATAATCCAAGACGGCACATGCAGATCTGCAAAGAGGCAGAGCAGACACCAACATACATATCTACTAACAAACTGCGGTGCTACACTTGCCCGTGTTTTGGGATGTACAATGTGACCATAGAAGAGCTTCAACCACTGAAACCGGGCCTATTAATCAAGTCTCTTGATGAAATAGGACTCACCGATGTGCTTTAGGCAAAGAACGGGATACAATAGCTCTTGAAGAGTGCAGTATATTACACCCCGACTATTACATCTACATCTACATCTAATTAATGGTTTATAAATCTATCTTGTTCTGTGTTCACCAGATTATTTTATTTTAATTTGATTTCATTATTATTTTAAATATTAATCCATTTACGTTTTCATAGTCAATTGACTAAGTTACTTCTTTCAATCAATTAATTAATCTTTGATTAAGGTTTTGGTTAAGTTAAAAAAAGTCAGTGTCACAAGCGGGATTCGAACCCACGACCTAAATACGCCGCTGCTCTGCCACTCGAGCTATCGTAACTTCCTTCGATCCACTCGGACACCAACTTCCCACCCCAACCCCTCCTTTCGAATTTTCCCTCCTTTTTGCCATTTTTCATTCCTACAAATGTATAATTTCACTTGACAGCCTGCCAGCTTTGTGATTATCAAATATTTCATGACATTTATTCATGACAGCCTTGCTACAAAAAAATTATATACGAACAAAATCCTGGAAACACCCACCACTGGTCAAATAGACCTTTGAGGTCCATCCTTAGAAGGAATGTCCTACCAATCTGGATTTCAATGCTAAAATACTAATTATAAGACATTTTGTCGAGTTTTGAGGCGGAAAAATTCTTACACTAAGGGAACTAAAATGCATTTGTTTTACGTTTTAACGAGATTTTTTTCAAGGGACCAGCACTTTCTTACGATATCGGTATATGAAATACTGGGATTTTGCTGTGTATCAACCCGAAGAAAAGATCAAGCTGTCAACTATCAGCACTCTTGAATGTTAAAGATCATGAACAGTTAGATAATCATTTTTATTACTGCCAAATGCATTGAAAAACTACGATAATTGATTTTCAATGAATAATCAAAGACATTAGTACATATTCTATTTTTCAATTGAAGAAATAATCCTGTGCTGTAAACTTTGCTATCGTCATTTTGTTTTGTTTATTATATAGTTTATTGTATTGATTTTTGTGTATGTTAAATTTGCTGTTAGTCAGTAGTGAAACAGATCTAGAATCTGCCTATTCTACATCGTAATTCTTACAATAAGGCTTCATCTCAACCTTCATTATTATTATTCAGAAATCGTGAGATGCAGTCTGGTGTGATGTAGGTTTCTGAAAAACATTTTCTTTATCGTGCCAACGTTTCGATCTTTATTGAGATCATCTTCAGGGCCTGGGATTTACGAACATTTTTTACATTTAACAAATACATTTAGGATGTGGAAAAGTGAATTTGTACAATGCAAAATATATTTTTTTTATATTCAATCAAAGTATTTCTACTCACTCGAAGTGTTTGTCTTCTGTGTAATTGTGCCATTCTTGCGTGTCGTGTTGAGAGCAAACACTTTGAGTGAGTATAATGTATAAACAATGTTTGTAAATCCCAGGCCCTGAAGATGATCTCAATAAAGATCGAAACGCCGGCACGATAAAGAAAATGTTTTTCTGAAACCTACATCATACCAGACCGCATCTCACGATTTCTGAATATTTATCGATTAACGGTCACTAATTACCATACACTTCATTATTATTATTATTATTAATTNTAAATTAGTCATGCCTCGTATTTAATTACTAGTCATGACTAATTTAGCCATCAATCACATATGGCGACTAATGACTAAATTAGTCACTTACTACCAATCATGACTAACTAACTAATGTCTGAGTGATCAATCATTAATCATTAGACATGACTAATTTTTGCCCAACACTGCATGTGAACGTTATTCCTGGTTTTTTAATTGGAATTTCGAATCTTATTTATTATTAGATCTATCTTTGCAGGTACACGTTGATTTGATTTGTTGTATCAATTGCTTGGATTTGTGGGAAGGACAACCAGAGGTGGTTGTCATATCGTGATATCAACTATGAACAACATTGACAAAGCCATAAAGCATAAATAAATAATTCGAGACATTCTTTCTTTAGTGCTTTACACCCTCCGCGTTTTATGCTAGATCTCATTTTCCTTTTCAAACTCCTAATTCCTAAATAATAAGGAAGAAGAATGAATAGATGCAATTGGCATTTTAGCATCGTGGGGTGTTTTTAATAAATTTTTCTCCTTGTGTATTTCTCCAGCTTTCAATGCTTCTCAACTCTGATAATAAAATCATACCAGAGCTACAAGCCATAATAATCATCGTAATGGCCTTTTTTCAATAGTTATCGTCTTATTATTCAAATAAATTGTAGTAAAAAAACCTTGTTAAAAATGGTTATCTTGATATTTTCCTGAAAAACTTTCTTACAAAAAAAAAAAAATCGCTATTTCCCCGTAATTGCCATTTTAGCATCGTGACATTTTTTTAAATCCTTTTTTCCCTTTTTATAATTCTCCAACTGTCGATGTTCCTCCATCCTGATGCACAAAGCCATCTAGAGTAGGACCACATGTAAAAATCTTCGTATTTCGTAATGACCTATTTTTTTCAAAAATTATACTCTAATTATCAAAAAAGAGTGTAGTAAAAAAAGAACCTTGGTAACAGTGATCTTTTAGATATTCTAATGAAGAGAATATCTAAAATGAAGAGAATTTTCTTTTTAAATAAACAGACGAGCGATTTCCTGAGTTTTGTCTTTCTGCCGTGATGAAGAATGAAGAATGAAGAACACTGCAATTGGTACTTCAGCACGGTGACGTCATAACCGTGCTGTGCGGTTCGGCCGCTTGTTAAGACCCTGGAGGGGGGGGGGTGTTCGGCCTTGCCTCCTGTTTATTTATTGATTATTTTCCTTTCTACCGTCCGAGGAGCTGGTCGTCTGGGCCTCACTTTGAGTATGACCCTCGCGATCCTGGTACTTCTCGCTCTGATAACATGTTTCTCACATTGCTACAAGGTGGAAAAGTACCCCCTGCTTATGCCAAACGTACACCCTTACAGTGTAAGTACCGTCCTTTTCTCTGCAATATTCCCTGACCTTACCGTATGTTTTGCCCATTTTTTGATTTTCCAAAAACTCTCAACAGCCCTGTGGCAGTTTGGGCGACTTGTGATTAACATTTTCAAAAAGGTTGCATGTTTGTCATTTTCTAATTTCTTGTGTTTCCCATTAATTTCAGGATGAACTCTACCTCTGCACACCTGTGAGAGTCAACCACACAAGGCACTTTTACATCAGTAAGATATTTTTTCATAACTTACAAAACCAACTTTTGTAATTGTCATACTCTCATTGACATTTTTTTTACAATAGGAACATGATTTCTTGTTTACCCACAACTACATTATTTATGTTCTGTTGTGGTCATTTTTCTGCAGGCAGAACATAGTCTTTCTGGTTAATTTGCGTCCAAAATTAACCAGTATTATATCCGGTACTGACAAAATGCAGGTTTTCTCTGTCCATGACATTTCAGCATCTTCCTGTGTTTTTATTTTATCCGTTTGGCCTTTTCCTAGTTGTTAAATATCATTCAATATAACACTCCATCACAATTCTTATATACAAACTGGTATGATCAAGGTTTCAGATTCTACTAATTGTGCAGTTGATGTTGAAGAACTCAAACCATTTAAACCATCAAAAATCACAAACACGAAAGGCAAGGGATCTCCAGTTTAATTGTAGCAGATCATCCCGGTCTACTTATTGGGCAGGTTTTATCTTTCAGACAAACATTTGCATTTGTATTTCAACATTTTTAATTGTTGATCTGTGTTTTTTATTGATTTGTTATATCTTATCGAGTTCAGCAATTCACAAGCTTTCATAATTCTTATGAACAAACCCAGAGGCAATGTGCAGACTGGGTGGATCAGGTTTTAGATTTTTCACCCCATTGGCCTTGATCTCACAGAAGGATATATGATATTCTTGATATACAAAGATTCTAGTCTGCCTGTCTTTCCTTTGTATATTTTGATAACTGATTTTGGTTCATAAAGTTGTTCCAGTATTTTGGTCATCATACATCATTATTCTGCCTGGCTTTTTGTCTGTCAGAGGTGTTTTGGCATTTCAGCACTTCATTTCAGTTGTTGGTTTGTAATTTTTTTCATTAGTTTGTCCTTTACAAGCCAAAGTCTGTTAAAAAGATCCACTTTAATTTCTGTCCGCTTTCCTTTCCTTTTTTTTTTTCTTCCTACAGTTTTAATTTTAGCTTTGGTTTTACTCCGAGACCAACAGAAGGGGGATTTGAAAGGGATGGGTTCTGCGGGCCTGTCAATGAGAACAAAGCTAGTCCAGAGGAGGAAAAGTGTCAGAGTCAGACCTTCTGCACAGAGCAAAGTTTGGGAAGGCGTTACTTGACCATAAGGAAATATGCAGGACCTATGGAAAAGCAAGGAGGTGAGGAGCTCCGGTTGGAAAAAGGAAAAACGGGTCTTCTGTGTGGAAGTGTTATTCAACCAGAGAGAATATGCAGGGCCTCTGGCAATGCAAGGAGATTGATATACATTTCTTATACGAATAAAAAAAATTCTATTATTTGATTTATGATTCATGTATTTGCGTTTAGACATTTTGTTTTTGAAATGAGACTAGAAATTGGTATTTCAATTGGTCATGTTTTGAAATTGTTATCGTACTAATCTAAAAAATTGTGTATCATATTTTATATAGAGGCTAATCTTACAGTTTTGTAACTTGTTTGAATCAACTTTGATTATTTAATCAGGTTTATCATTTCATTTTATCAAATCAGGTTTGAAAATCTCCAAGGAAAATTATTCCATTTAATTTATTTCAGCTTTTTTTTCATTCTGAGGTTATTGGACAAAAGCAAAATTTAAAAATGTTCTGATAAAGAAATAATCAATTTCTCAATTGATTGAACCCACAGTCATTCATAATTTCAATCAATTTCTCTTCCTTAAAAAAAAAATTATTATTATTATTATGTTCTAAGCATATAAGCATGTTTTTTTCTCTTATGGATAACACAAGATCTTCAGATCTAACTTGGAATTTTATGGGGGCAAAAAGCTTACAATATTAAATCAATTGAATACCACAAGTTCATTATTTAACGGATGAGAAAGCAACAAAATAAACATGGAATCATTGATATGTAACCTAACGTTCCTAGCTTAATCTAACCTAAATGTAATCCAACCCTAACACTAGCTCTAATCTAACCCTAACCTTACATAACGTGTTCCAACACTACCTAACACTAATATAAACTAAGCCTAACACTAGCCCTAACCTAACCCAACCCAACCCTTTCACTAACCCTAACTTAACTCTGCTCAAGGCTAATCCTAACCTAATCTAAACTAAACAACCCTACCTAACCGTCCCTCACACTCACTCTGACTTAATTTAAATAAGCCTAACCTAATACTATCCCTCACCTAACCTAAACCTAACTCTATCCCTACCTAACTTTGGGGACATCAGAGTTTGAACCCTGGGCATAACCAATGGCTTTTTAATTGAAAATAAAATAAATATTGTAAAGTGGTTTGACCCTCTTGGCCTCGACACTCAATGGGTAGGTGGACGTTCAGCCCTCTAGTATGACAGGAATTATTTAACACCCTTACTTACAACAAAAATAATTAAATTTAGCATTTTAAAAATTTGGCACAGACAAATATGAATCATTATGTTGGAAAATAAACAAAATAACTTGCTCACCGAATACAATTTAAATAATGTTCAACCAATGGTTTAGAACACAAGATTTTTCTTATCTTAGTCTGACTCATTGCACAGTTCAACATCACAGAAGTAGACCAAGATAAATTTTGATGTTCTGCGACTGTATTTCCAAACTTGAGAAGGGCATATGATAAAAGCTGAGTTTTGTTTAGCAAGGATATGCTACATATTACAAGATTATTTCAAATTTTTTAATTTTTACCTTACTTCTCCCCAATCACCTATGAGTTATAATGTTTATTTGTGCCTTGATCATCTCTTATCATTCTGATCTTTTTATTCTTGCTGGTTTTATCTATCAGACAGGCTTTGGTTAGCGGTTGCCATTTTCATTAGTTCATCACCTATACATTTTTTCCTTCATTATTCTGAACCTCTGAAAATTGGCAGAAGTTCACAACATTACAGCAATCAGAAAACATCCCATAAAACACCCACCTTTAATATCAAGATGTTTTAATTATACAGTATATGATATAGTCAAATTAATCTTGTTATACTTTCAGTTGGTTTTGAACCAAAAGCTAGAATGCACACTGCTCACCACATACTGCTTTATGGCTGCTTGTACCCTGGAAGTTCAAATACTGTATGGTCAGTATTAATATAATATCATCAGTCCTGACAAAAACTTCTTTATGTTCATTTAAAATAATTGTATTGAAATATTTTTGTCTTTCAAAAGGAACTGTGGAGAAATGGCTAACAATGATGATGATCAAGAAAGGCCTAATCCATGCTCTGACGGCTCACAGGTATACTACCTTTCACTTCTAAAATAATTCATTGATTGTAGGCATTCTGGCTGTTATAACTTTATGCCATTATCTATATAGATTGTAGATATAGATTATTTATATCCTGAATTGTATATTTAACCATATTTCATTATTAATAGATTATCTATGCTTGGGCAAGAGACGCACCAGCACTCAAATTACCTGAAGGTGTTGGTTTTAAAATTGGAGGTGATTCTTCAATACAATATCTAGTCCTACAGGTTCATTACTCTCATAGATTTGCAGGTGAGAATAAAATATTGTTATTGGGTCGTTTCACAAAATGTCCGTTTTTATTATTTCAGAAATTTTGCTGTTTGTTGTTTCCTGTTTACTACCAACATGTTTACCGTTGATAGTAAGCAGTTATTTTTTGTTTGTATTCATTTGCCCCCTTAATTCATTACACACTCTTTAGTTACCTTCAAATTTGAATATGGCTGAGGCACAGGCTGCAAGAAACATCACTATAACAGCCATTGGCTTATGAAGTTTTTGGCTGGAATTACTGAATTGGAAAATCTGCCTTGAGAAAGACTTCCAAAAATTATTTATGAAAGAAAACCCTCATCAAACTTTTGGAGGACTTTCAGGAGCTGAATAGTGAATCCACAGTTTCAATGCATTCAAAGAACATAAGAAAAGTCAAAAAGATCCATTTATGGGTAGCTCACTGTGTGATGTGAAATATCAGTTTCATCACTTGCTATACAAAAACCATTCCTTTTCTCGAAAGAGTAATAACTTGCGATGAAAAATAGATTATGTAGCGGCGTATGTCAGGGCAGTAGTTAACTTTCGATGAAAGGCCAGTAATCAAACAAAAAATTTCACAGAAAAAAATTATGGTGGTGTAAGCAGAGTTGGGCAAAATCTAACTAATTCAATCATGATTAAGAATTTTGATTGAAGTTTAATCATGATTGAATTAGTCATGAGTAAATTAATCATTCTATGGTTGAATAATAATTAATTCAATCATGAGGTATGACTAAATCATATAATGATTAATTTACTCATGACTAATTCAATCATGATTAAACTTCAATCAAAATTCTTAATCATGATTGAATTAGTTTGATTTTGCCCAACTCTGGCTACAATGACCAACTTACCAAAATCCAACCGACTCCGGATAAAAATTTTGAGATGAGAGTCGTGCTCAAGGCCAACCTTCAAAAATTGTTATCATAAACGAAAACCAAAGTTACATAATTATTCTACATGTCTATTTTATTACAATCAAGACCCCTAGATGGTGTATTTTCCAAATAATGTAGAAATCTCTCTTTTTAAGTGGAATAAATTTTAATTCAAAGAAATATTTTTTACATTGATCGGTTATGTAAACATATTTACTTTTCAAAGCGTAGCTTGTTATAGGATTTTTTATTTTATTTTATTATTATCATTATCATTATCATTATGTTTTGGCTTTTCAACGATGGAGTTTTACATATAATTGGAAGATTGATTTTTGTTAAATAAGGTGTTGAAGGATTTTCGTTTTGATGAAATAAATTTCTGTTAGAAAATTTTTTAAAAGTGATGAAGTGTATTTTTCATTTTTTGAGCACCCATTTGAACATGATTTATCGAAATTTAGTCATGACTAACTATATTGTGACTAAATTAGTCATGCCTCGTATTTAATTACTAGTCATGACTAATTTAGCCATCAATCACATATGGCGACTAATGACTAAATTAGTCACTTACTACCAATCATGACTAACTGTCTGAGTGATCAATCATTAATCATTAGACATAACTAATTTTTGCCCAACACTGGGTGTAAGGCTGTACTTCACTATTCCTTTTGCCTATAGGTGAGACCATTACCTCTACAACATTGCTCAAATGTATTGAAAACTTGTCAAAATCAAGCTTTATTGATAAATCTGAAGGTCCTATACTCTTACACAACAACACTAGATGTTTCGAGCTAGAGGAATTTCCATTAATCCTTAAGACAGTGCGCCATTGGGCAAAAGTTGCTTATGGTGACTAGTGGAGAGTACTGGAGGGTCGGTCCATCCGAGTAGCTTTTCAGTTATTTGGATTGTTGTGGACAAGTCGCAAATTAATAAACTATTTAAATTATAATGGTATATATANATATTATCCAGGGTGGGCGACCAAGACCCGAGGGGTTAAATGCCTGGGTAGACTCGTACCCCATCCCTAAAAGGTTTGGGACTTGTCGGCTCACGTGTCCTGCATAAACCTCTTGGACCTGTTCACAAATCCCAAGATTTTGGACCATTTTATCTCGGGGAGTGATTTGGTAATGTCCGTTCCTTCAAAGATTTGCTATAGACCTAGCATACCTATCACACTCTGCGAGCTTATTATTGTTATGATATCCCTAGAACAAAACCAAGTTATAGGAATTGGTCTTAATTCCTTATGGGCCACAATGCAAGCTCTCAGCCTGTCATGCTTTAGATCCTGAAACAGTCCTAAATTTTGATTTTTTAAACCGATTACTTGGCCCCTATAGGTATAGGGTTCGTGTAAATAAATCAACGTTTGCAGCACATTCATGTCCCTACCGATTTCGGCCGTGACAATCTTACTGTGCTGCATATTAATTTGTAATACCCTGAGAGGTCTCATGAATAATCCATGGTACTTACCTGAGAGTCTTTGTTTGAACCTGTCCCTGAAGGCAGGTTGAAACGCGGATGTGGACCCAACCTTTCGAGAATTGGAGCGATCCTTATTGTACTCAAGCCTGGATCGCCCTCCTCTCGTACCTCTTTTGCTTTTAAGTTTTAACCAGGGTAAATCCCTCATCTTTATCACCCTGTATCTTAGGGGGAGCAACCTTGTCTCTTTCACAATGCTCCAAATCGGTGCTGCCGATAAGGAAGGATTGCTCTTCATGTTCCTGTTGTCTCTAACTATTGCTTCCGATACTTTTCCACCCATCCGAGTGGAAAAGACACTCGTCAACAGCAGAAAACAACATTCACCGTAGACACGCAGTTTACAGGCGTGTAACCTCCCCAAATTAATAAACTATTTAAATTATAATGGTAAATATAATAAATATTTAATATTAAATAATGCAGGAAATCTTATATTTGGACAAAGAATTAAAAATTTCAAAAGGAATAAATATAAAAAAAAGGTGTTTATGAAAAAATGGAAAAAAAAAGTAGGTGCATAAAGGACTCAAGTGTTAAAGGAAAATTTTTTACAACTGATTCACAGATCCAAAAAGCATATTTTGGTTTTATTTATTTTCAAAACTCAGAATTTTTCAGTTCTGAAATTAAAAAATTGTTACATGAAAAATAAGTAAATGTATACAATTATTTTAATTTTATAAGATCTTTTTAAAAAGCAACCTTTATCATGAATTTTATAAAGCAACCTTTATCATGAAAACGAACTTTTCATGTTAACCCATTAACCATATTATAAACAACGAGTTAACTATTATAATTTAATTATTGTCTATTACAAAAATAATCTTCCAGTGTCTGATTTAATCATTCCATGTGTTTTTAATCTAGCTGGTCATACTGACAATTCAGGAGTCTACTTACACTATACAGAGAAACCGTGAGTTTATTTTTTTATTTATTTAACTAATTTGTTGAAGTTGTGAGGTGCGGTCAAGAAGAAACCCATATATTTAACTAATGTTTATGTATTTACCTAAATCTATTAAAGTAAATGATTGAACAATAGCCTTTGTTGTGAAAAGTAATCATTCCTAGCCATGTATTAAATTAATTAAAATCATATAGCTTTATTTTGTCATAGACCATCATCCACTCTAGTGTTGAGCTGCATCTGCCATTGTTAAAACTATTTTTCTGTTTTCTATTGTAAAGTTACTAAAATAATATTGCTTTTGTGCGCTTATTTGTCAGTATAATAAATATTAAGGTGTCATTTTTTTGTCTATATTCATTTTACAGGATGAATAAACTAGCAGGAGTACTGTTATTGGGGACCTCTGGTCAAGTGGAACCCATGCAAGTGACACACATGGAAACAGCATGTACAATTTACGAACCTAAAGTCCTCCACCCATTCGCTTTCCGTACACATACACATAAATTAGGTAGCCAACTATAATTTTCTACCCAAACTGTTTTAGAATTAGAATTGATATTAAATGATGATATAATTAGATTAGTTGATACATTTTGTGATTTTTTTTAATGTTCATTTCTAGCCTTTTCATGCTCATTGTTATTCTACAGTTATTTTCATTTTGCTTCCGTCATCTTGTTTCCTCAATTAGTGCGTATTTGTACCTTGCTTATATTATATGTTGCTTTGGTTACCAGAAACGTTTACGACAGTTAAATGTGAAAGTTTTGTGCAAAAAGTTTATTTATTTAGTTTAAATATCAAATAAAGCAGACAATGTATAAAAAAGTTCAATTTGTAAGTAATGGTTACATTTTCAGGTAAGATAGTTTCTGGATACCGGGTGAGGATAGACAACGATTTAAATTACGATTGGACCCTACTTGGAAAGAAAGATCCTCAACAACCTCAAATGTTCTATGAAGTGGATGATCCAAATATGGAAATTCGGGAAGGTGATGTTTTGGTAAGCTGATATTTTAATGTGTTTTTTTAGTGACTGGTTGTTTAATGTGTTGGATTCGTGGGGAGCAGTCAAGAACCAGTTCGTGGCCATTCCTCACGAATCCAACAAATTGTTATTTTAACTTTGTGTTCAATGTGAGACAAGTAACTCTTTAATTTTTGTAAGTTTCAACTTCAAGTTCATATTTGATCATGTCCCATAAATATACCAATTAGGATTTTTAGTCCCTTTCTATTGAGAAGGATTTCCTCTTTCTTGTAGATTGTAATTGCGAGTAGTCTTTTTGTTTGCCTCATGCCTGACTTTTCCCGGTATTTGTTATGTTCTTTAGAAACCCAAGATTCCAGTTGGCTTTTTACTTTGAGGCTGTTATTTATGCCACAAAAGGGATTTGGATCTAGATGGCTGCCTTATTGCTTGAAATTCCCTCGGTAAGGTTAAGGTTATTATTTATTTCATCATGCTCCAATTACTGCACTACGTGAAATTAAATGTCTCATTTGAATACCTATAGAAACACATAGGCATACTAACAAATATTTCTAGTAAATAACCGAGTTTATCATAGTAACATTCAATACCAGCCAACTAAAAATTTAAATATTTTAAGCATAAAATTCTAGATTTGTTGGGAAATGTTCTGGCCATAGTAGTGTTGACTGTTGAACATGATGGAGACAGACCAACGAATAACCTGAGTCATCACCACATGCTTCAGTAAAGGTTGTCTCGTTGGGAAGAGGCTGCTAACTCAAGCCATAGGTGAAACATCCGCATCTTACTCATACGAACAGGCTGGCCTTGAAATTATATTATACTTGCACAAATAAGCTACCATCATTCATGTGCCCTATTAGGATTTTCCAATGCTCCTTACTTTACAGAGCTAAATTCCTGCACTTTCATTTATAGGTGTGTTGTGGTTAACTGGTGTTTCCAGGATATTGTCTTTTGAGGCAGATTTCACTAGTGTTTCTGCCAGTTCGTTGCCACAGACACCAGTGTGAGTTCTTATTAACGAAAAGGAAATGTAACAAAGATTGAAGTTAGACAATCTTATCCTNTAGAGACAAGTTAGATTAGGGTTACTCACAAATCAATGTTTTATGCGAAATTGAGAAAATATGTGAGTGCTGACTATATTTACTACATTTTTTTAACCAATTATTGTCATAAGGACTTGTAATTTAGCTATAATACCAAATTTTTATGTTAAACTTGTTTTATATTAGTTGTAATTTTAATTACTTGTTTCTTATTGATATTTTTCATTTAGGCTGCAAGGTGTACCATGAACAGCACACGAACAACAGTGACATATATTGGGTAATTATCAGTTTATCTACATCTACGAATTGTAAATTTGGTTTTATTCTTATTTAAATGTGTGATGATGTATTTACGTTATAATTAATTGGATTTCTTATTATTATTACAGAGGAACGAATAAAGATGAAATGTGCAATTTTTATTTAATGTACTACGTTGAAGGAGATGAGCCGTTGAAAACAAAATACTGTTTCTCTGTGGGACCTCCAATATATTCATGGAGGAAATCAGGGTTGCAGAACATTCCAAATATAGGAGCTTCCACTTTTGATTAGGATAATCTGATAAGGTCTGACATATCCAAATAACTTCTTAACTGCTTTTCGTTTGAATTCGCACAATTACATTTTTTTCTTTTAAGAATTAAATGTCGAACAAGTTCCTTTTTTTAATAAATTTGATTTTCTATTTTTTTAACAATGGTAGTAATTTGAATATTGTTTGTAAGCAAGGCTGTTAAGTTGTTCTTTTAAATAGATTTTAGTGAAGATTTATTTATTTTTTAAGGAAGTACATATTTTGATATAAATATAAATCTATTTTCTTGTTATTATTCGGAGATCGTGAGATGCGGTCTGGTGTGACGTAGGTTTTAGAAAAACATTTTCTTTATTGTGCCATTTCGAGCTTTATTGAGATCATCTTTAGGGCCTGGGATTTACAAACATTGTTTCAATTTAACAAATACATGTAGGAAAAAATAGAAAAAAAGTTAGAATTTATACAATGCAAAAAAAAAATTTATATTCAATCTAAGTATTTCTACTCACTCAAAATGTTTGTTTTCTGCTGTGCCATTCTTGTGTGTCGTGTTGAGAGTGCCAGTGAGATATCATGTTTATGTTTATATACCCCAGCAAAATCCTACAGCACTTGCTACCCACCATTTTGAACACAAACACAATTTCGACTTCAACAATTCAAAAATATTACATAGAACAAAACAAACATTAACGTAACTTTTTAGAAATGATTTACATCAACAGAGATAAACACAGCATCAATTACAGAACAGATACATGTAAACTCAGTTGCAGCCAATATCATTAATCAAATTCAATATAGATAACATACATATATCATCATCACATCACATATAACATATAAAACAATCATCACATTCCACGCATCAAACGTTTCTACATAGCCTAATTTTCCAAAAATTTACCTTTCCTTTCCTTAATTATCCCCGTCTATATAATCCTGAAAGGATAATCTGGATTTTTTTTTATGGAAACCATTATCAATGTTTTTTTCCCATTGGTCCCCCCCTTATACAAAAATGTCTTTCTATACCGACTTCCTTCCCCATCCCTTCAAAATCCAACGTATATAAACATAAAACAGCAATATCCTTTGAGTGAGAGTAGAAATAAATTGATTGAATATAAAAAATATATATATATATTTTTTTTTTTTGCATTGCATAAATTCATTTTTTTTCCACATCCTACATGTATTTGTTAAATTTAAACAATGTTTGTAAAGATTGAAACGGCACGATAAAAAAATGTTTTTCTAAAACCTACATCACACCAGACCACATCCCACGATCTCCGAATAATCATCGACTAACGGTCACTAATCACCACACATTTCTTGTTATTACTTAACACTAGTAACACAAATAAGTTATTCATTTGTACAAGTTACATCAATAAATTCTTAATAATGATGTTTTAATAACTTTATTAAATGAATTGAAATTGAGAATAAATTTTTTGATGTATGAAAAGTGTGATAATAATTCTTCTGGTTAGTGATGCTTGTACATCGATTGTAAATTCTTATAAACTCTCCTCTTTTAAACTGGCTTTACCAAAGGATGTTTTTATGAAATTCATTATTTTCTGTTTATCATGTTTTAATTAAGAAATTTATGTCAAACAAGTAATTTTAAATTATGTGTAAGCAAGACATGTTATGTAATACTTTTATAAGTCAAATGCTGTAAAGATTATCCTTAAAGTGATTGTGGTTGTTTGACTGTAGAGTCAATTCCTGTACATTATTTATAAGTAAATAAAAACTTTAATTTTATTTGTGGGGTCAGTCTAAAAGTTCGGCTTCTAGTGGATCATTGAGAAGTCTGGTTCAAAAATCTTGTGACATTAGGCCTAATATGTATAAAAATGATAATAAAATGGCAAAATTTACTTACCAAAATCTGGTACTTAATAATGATAAGAAATATAGTAATATAATGTACATTTTTGCATTTAGAAATATCATATTAACTTGTGATTGTTCAACCTGTCAAACAGCAACAGTGCCTAAACATTGAACAATAGTTGCTGATTTTAAAAGTAAAGTAGTTAAACATATCAAAGGTTAAAGAGAAGGAGGAGCGACAAAAGTTGTTTATAAAATTAGTCCATAATAAATAAATGCATTCAATTTTCTTCAAATTTTAAAAGACCATGTATAAAGATTTTATCATCAACAAGGAAAATGAGTTTCTTAATTAGACACTTTATTGATTTCAAGTAAAGATAATGGTTTTTATCTATATATAATTTTCTACTAATTTCAATAAAATACTTGTGATTTCAGAAATATCTCGACCGACCTGTTCATATTTTGCCAACAATGATCGGATTTATCTTGTAGGTCTTTTAAGCATAATTTTTAACTGAAACTTATTTTTGTTATAGGGCTGAACAATTTTTTAAGTTAACTTTAAAATTGGTAATTATTTTATTAAATTTATTAACATTCCTAGGATGGCATACACTACACTGTTTGTACCCGTACCTGTTGGGTGACATAGGCAAGGTTTCAAACCAATTTACCCTTATCAAATAATTCTCAAAATTCTAAGGGCTATGTTAGGATTCAAACCCAGAAAGTGAAATGCAAGTGTGGAGTCTGACACCCTAACCACTTGGCCACCTATCTTCTATTTTATATATAATGTATATACAATATTAATTTTTTCTTCATTGAGTAACCAAGGAATTGTTTTCACAAAATATAGATTTTGTCTAGACAACGTGATTGTCACTGAGTGAGAGGACTTTGTTGATGTCATTAGGTCATAACTACTTATTTTTGATACTGAAAAAGTGTGTTTAATATTAACTTATTTTTTGGGCTATATATTCCACTGATAGTCTTTTTTTCCTTTCCTTAACCACACATCAATGATCCACTGAGACAAAAAATATTGTATGTTCATGTAAATGGGCATAACCAGTCGACATTAACTTTTTCTGTTTTATTTATTTTTTACATTTTTGTTTTCGATTTCCTTGACTGTTTGTGTGTAGATATTACACATCTACAAAATGAGACAATTTCAATGTATAGATCATTCCTGTGAAAAATTCTTCATATGTTACCATTGAATTTTGAGTAAGCTATGATCAAAACTTAGTTCCATTAGTTTTAATAATTCAGATTCTTTTTTTTTATAATTGATTTGTTGATTGTTTTTTTATTTTATTATGTAAATTTAAAAAAAGGAATATATTTTCAATTGCTGATTCATATTGTAATTTATTTCCTAAAAAAGCCTTGTTTTCTCTACTTTTACATATTTGTGGGTATAGATTATGTTTGGGCATAAAAATGTGCAATCTGTATAATTATCTATGTTTTATCATTAAATAGTAAATTATCTGCAACTGATTACTCATATCCTCTGTGATGGCTGTTTGATTATTTCTGATGAATATGAATGAGTAAATAATATAATTTACTTCTTTTTCTTTTATAGGAATCAATCAACACTTCTAATCGATGGTTGAAGTGTCAGAAACAATTTATAATTTACAATAAATTAAAAAGCTCAATTGTTCCCACAGATTTGGTCTGCCTATTCCCACTGGTTTCTGCATTTTGCTATCTTCAATGATTGTTCTATCTTATTTTTATAATTTTATAGGTTTGTAAGCAACTAGAGTTGTTATCTTATTCTCCAGTTTGTACAGTTTTGACACTTTAATGAAGTAAATATGTGAATTTATATCTATTTGTGGTTTCGTAAGGTAAGCTTCATCATCCGGAACACCTATGAATTTAAAAATCCTCTATGTTTTGTCTATCTTTATAAAGCTTTTGTACAACCCATACTAGAATAAGCTACACCTATTTGGAATCCATACTATCTAAATTATCAAAAAATTCTTCAATCTGTACAAAACAAATTTTTAAAAAAACTTTCTTACAAACTCAATCTTCTTCTGAACTCTGCCTACCCTGGAATCCGCTCTGAATTTAAACTTTTTGAACTGGCACTAAAAAGGGATTACTTTGATATTGTTTTTGTATTTAAATTATTAAACAATCTCATTGATAGTCCTCTCCTCTCTCAGCTACAGTTACATGTCCCTTCGCACTCTCTCGGTACCTACAAACTATTTTGTATTGAATTACAAAGCTCTAACTACATGCTCTCTTCTCTTCACCGAATGATGATCAAGAGTAACATCTGCAATAACATTGACTTTTTCAATAGTTCTGTGCAATCTGTGAAAAACCATATCCTACAACCCTACTTTAGTTGAATTTTCTTACCAGTTTATATTTTTTAAAAAATGCTTTTATATTTCATACTCTTAAAAGTTTATTACAATTTATTCCATTTACTGGTTCACCTAAATCTTGCACTCTAGTCCTATTATATATCTACAAAGAGCATTATTTTCACTAAAAATATTACCTAAATATTGTAGTTTCAATTGTCTTTCAGCTTTATTTTGTTTCCTTTGCCTTAATTTGGTTAGTAACTATGTCTTTCATTTTTGTTGTTCAGTTTTTACTCTTTAATTGTATTTTTATATTTACCATTTATAACATTACCATGTATATATGTCCTTATTCTTTTTGTATATATTATTTGTATTTTTTGCACATATTATTTTTATTTTTTGTTATTGTAAAATGTCTTTTTATAGTGGATTTCGATCCGTAAATAAATAAGTACCTGAACCTCATAAGTAAGTCGTCAATCTCTTAAGTACATTTTTTTCTCGCAGACCAACCACTGAAGATGATAAAATGCCAAAGCTAGACTAAAACATGCTAGAATAAGGAAACCAGCATGGACAGAGATGATATAGCTGCAATTTCAACTAGCAGACCTTTTAGATAGTATAGAACATGTGATTTGCCTAAGATAACTGCATAAGCACTAAGAAATTAAAATTTAAGTTGTACAAGAAAGAAGTAAGTATGAGCATTTAGGTAGTTCAGATGAGTTGAAAAGAACCATATAGAAAAGAAAAAATGATAGATGCACAATCATAGAGTATAATAATGTTACATATTAAGAAAGATAAGGGTAAAAATAATCAATTTTGTTAAAATGGACAGAGTTATTTTAAAATGATGTTATGATATTAGGTCAGACTAATGAACACATTGGCTTATACAAGCTGCATAAATGGTCAAAAATAGAGCAAAGAAATTACAAAAAGTCCAAAGCCAAAGAAGAGCAACCACCCAGATTAACCACATTAAATTTTCAACCACTAATTAGGGTCTGATGGCAGTGCAGCCTGCACAGAAAGTGCAAAAATAAAATAATAATTCTATTTTAAAATTTTAAACTTAAATTGACTGAAAACTTCCCCTCACCAGAATAAAAGGATATTTGGAAAAGGGTGTGAAATATGATACAAAATTCAAACCAAAACACTTTTATTCTAAATGGAAATTAAAAATAATTATAAACATTGATTAGAACTAAACTAAAAATTTTGAATCAAAAAATTAAAACCATCTCCACCTGGATTAAAGCAAATCTTAAAAAACAACACCAATTAAAAACAAATATATCTGTTAGGAATTTCACAGGAGAAAAGAAGGTAAACCCTGCAACAACAATCAATTTATTGTATTCTAAAATGTGACGGACCATAACCTTAAACAATACAATCATTGCTTCTGCATCCTTCAAATTTTTTGTAGTTCTAAGTATGAAACCTAAAATGTGAGTTGCCTTATTAATTATTGAAGTAAAATGAAATTTAAATGTCATACTGTTAGAGTATGTGATTCCGAGGTCATTAATGGTAGTTTGCCATTCCAACTGGATGTCTTGTACAGTGTAAGAGACAGCACTACGTCCAAGACCATAACTACCAACTTTATACTTATTTAGTTCCATGCTGTTGCATGAACACACTACAAGATTATTTAAAGATTTTTGCAGAAGCTCAGCATCATGAATAGAAGTTATAGCAGTATAGACCTTCAGAAATTAATTCGGTAAAAACAAGGAGAAATATCATTTAAATGCTTTGAAAAGGAATGGGCCGAGTAAGGACCCTCGAGGTATACCAGACAAGACTTCTTCTTCTTCTTTTTAGAAGTTATTGTATTAAGTTCACAATTTGAGTTGAGAATTATGTAATCATGTTAAGTTTTCAGGAGACAATGATCAACTGTATCAAATACCTTGGCAAAATCTAAGTTTATTTCAAATAAAGAAGGGACAATTCCACATTTCTCTTAGGTCACAGTGTAAGAAAAGGAGTCTTTGGTCCTTATATTTCCAACCTTCTGGGAAAGAAAATATGTAGAGACATCCCAAAAACACATCAGAGTATGTAAACCAATAATCATGAAAAGAGGCAGAACCACATACCAATAAAATTCCCCTGACTAAACCAGGTCATCTGTATAAAAAAGACTTTGTGTGCATTTATAGAAGATAAACAGTAGCAATATTTATTATTAGTTCAATTATGCAATAATTTATAATTAAAAAACTATTATGAACGTTATTAAATTTCTTTATAATATTGCGTACAATGTACATAATGATTTTTACAGCCCCCTGTAAAGGGGAACATTATTCGGAAATACTCCAGTTAGGATTAACATTGGGATAGTTGAACCTCGAGGTGTTGAATGTTTGAAACCTACACCAGTTGGAAACGTGAGGTTTCCACATTCCAATTGCCGAACTGCGAGCCTCGTCCAAGTTTTATTTTAACCTATTTTAATTTCTTTGTTGAAATGTCCAATTTGTTCTTTCAAACTTGCCTCAAGGCGAACCAGAGGCACTTTTCCACTTGCGCTTTGAACCGTTCGATATCGAAACTGATATCCCTCATCCACGAGCCTATAAGGACGAGCCCTAAGGTCTTGAGGAAAAAGGATTTTCTTCCACTACAGCAGGCGAAAAGGCAGAAAAGGCCCAAGGACGCTGTCGCCGAATCGCTCAAACTGCCAGGGGTGAGTAGCGAAACTACATAAAAAAAATATTTAGCATATGCTATCAATAATGAAGTGAAAGTTCAAGGCTTGCAGTACACTGTTGAGTGCTCCCAGATTGTAGGCTTCCATGGTTCTGGTAAGTTTTAAAGTATTCTGCATAGAAGTGCCGCTCTACAATTCTGATCTGTTAGGGCTCCAACTCTATTCTTGCATAATCTTACAATGTGTTGATTGACGCCAAGCTTGCACAAAGGCCTGTTTAGTCTGTCTGTTCAAGAAGCTTGTTGTATACGGGCCGACACTCCTTGCATCGGGATTTTCCTCATCAGTTGACTCCTTCAATCAGAATTAACCTGGATAGTTGACTCTCCTTGCATCAGGAAACTTCTTGCATCAAGATTCTCCTCGCCTGTCGGCTCTTCTTGAATCAGGACTTTCCTCAATAGGCGACTGTCCTTGATTAGGATTCTCACCTTCCATCAGGACTCTCCTCACCAGTCAAATTTTCTTGAATCAGGACTTTCCTTATTAGTCGACTCTTTGATTCGGGACTCATCTCAGTTGACTCTTGTTGCATCTCTCCTTGATTAGGGGCTCTCTTTCTATCAGGACTCTCCTCACTAGTCATATCTTCTTGAATCAGGACTTTCCTCATTAGGCAACTCTCCTTGATTAGGGGCTCTCTTTCCATCGGGACTCTCCTGACCAGTCATATCTTCTTGAATCAGGGGCTCTCTTTCCATCGGGACTCTCCTGACCAGTCATATCTTCTTGAATCAGGACTTTCCTCATTAGGCAACTCTCCTTGATTAGGGGCTCTCTTACCAAAGGGACTCTCCTCACCAGTCAATTCTTCTTGAATCAGGACTCTCCTCATCAGGCGAGACTTGTTGATTTCGGACTCTCCTTGACACTCAACTCTCCTTCCATCGGGATCTCCTCATCAGTTGACTCTTCTTGGAACTAGACTATCCTTGACAGCCAACACTTCTTGCATCAGGTCTCTCCTCATCAGTATTCTTGAATCAGAGCTCTCCTCGATGGTTGAGTTTATTTTCCTTGTCAGTCGGGATTTCTGCTGTCTGCTTATTTTTCAATGAAAAATCTATAAACATAATGTCCATGACCATTTATTATGATGTCCGGTTAGTAGAAGTACTTTTCTTATTAAAATAAATGTAATATTGCCAGGGAAAATAAATTTTTTTTTTTTAGTCTCTGTTCAGATTGAATGGAGTACATCGTTCATTTGCAACTTTGGCAAGTTACAGGGTTGGGAATATTTAGCCCTAAAGTTAAGAACTGAAGAAGAAAAAGAGTTTGTGGGCTTGTAACTAATATCTCATACTCAACTTCTTGAAAGAGGATGAAAAAACCATAATCAATCACGTGAGCATGAATTAGAACATTATCAGCTCAATTAGAGTTCTGAATGTGAAGGCAAAAGGAGGCGGATAACTCAATTTTTACAGGTTTCTTGTAAGGGGCACTGCAAACTTTGCATTTGATTAATGTATCAATCTACACAAGTTGATTCATCAAATTGGCAGAAATGACACTGCACATCCTGGTAGAGGACATGTTCAGGGCAAGTAATTTGATTGATAGACCCCATGAATTAACATGGATATGTTTTTGTGACTGGTTATTTGAACTATTTGTTATAACTTTTTAAGTTACCTGTTGTTAGATTAGGTAAGGTTTGGTTACATATCCATGATTCAGTGTTTTTCAAGGGAGTTTTGTCTACGAAGATACCCAGTTTTTAAACATCCGTAACGTACAGCAATTTTTTTTTTTTTTTAATTTTTTTGTAAAAATCTAGTTTCTTACATTTTTCCCGTTTTGCAATCTTTCTTGCAGTGTTGCATTTGTCCATCTTAAGCTAGTACAAATGTAGAATTGTTTTATTTTGTCTAACAAATTTCTTTTACCAACTTAACCCCAGGGCAGGTCAGGTTTTTAAATGTATTTAATTTTGTTTGAAACAGCTAAACAGACAGCTAGACCAAGTCAATTGGACTTCATCGTTTAGTCTTTCAGACACCTCGTTGCATGCAACATTAATTTCTTGTGGTGGATTTCAGAACGTCGATTTTCGTCGGTCCTGTCGTCTTCCCGAATAATGTATACTACCCAAGTCTAATGGAGTAAAAGAATGTTCTGACGTCATTGACAACTGATATGAGAGAAATTCATCTGCTTTTCTTTCAACAGTTTACAAGGTAGATTTACACCGTACATGGATACAATTTGGTGAAGGATGACAGTACTACGTAGAACTAGTTAATGGAACTTTTTGGTTTTCAACTTGAACCATTACTTTTATCTTCATGTCTTTATTAACCATTCAGCAAAAATATTTATTTTGAATGATTTAATGCTTCATGAGAAACTACATAGAATAACTTTTATCACCGAGATAACCGTGGTTAGTGTAACATCCTCGGAAGAATCCTAAAACCGTTTTCTCAGAAGAAACTTAATGAATATACTATATTATTAAATAATAAATAAACTGAAGTGGTTGTGTGGTTGTTGAATGATCAGTAAAAAGATATTTCATTATCCATCGCCTAGAGAGAACACAATAACAAACAAAAATAATTTAAATATTTGAGAAGCAGAAAACACTCAAGAATATCTCAAACAATTGAAATACAAGTAGACTTTTAATTTTTTTTATACCACTTCCTAATGAATGGCAGCAATAAAATAATTTCCTTTGCAATCACGAGCAATTAATCCATTGATATCTGATCAGCATTGATACCTTGATCAAAATTTATTAAATGGTTTATAAAATAACAATAGCCAAGCCGACGCATGAAACAATTGAATTCTTGAGTCTTTCCCTGTTTTAATTTAATTTTTTTTTTTTTTACTTATATTATTTTTAATATGCTGTATTAATTTTTGGTTAGTGCAAAGGAAATTATCATACTGTCGAAAATGTTACCCACATAGAACTTATCATCCTTACCACAGGACATTTTCAGCTTGTTGCTAAAGCCAGGAAAGGAAATTTTACTAGGAAGCAAATGGAAGGATTGTGATCTTTACAATGAACAATATTAGCATTCTACAAATATCTCTGTCGAGAATCCAAAAACTCCTGAAGTGATCTTGTTTTCATCCTATGATCTCCACACCAAGCATTGTCTTTTGAAGATAAACGCAAAAAAATCACTGTTTTACAGGAGAGTCAAATCAGAATTTATTTTGAAAAATTTTATTCTCTGATAAAGCTACTTTTAATAGTGACGGATCATTAAATTGCCACAATAGCCATTACTGATTGTTAACCCAAACTAGTGCCAAGAGGTTGATCATTAGCATAATAATAAATGTCTGCTGTACAATTTTAAACAGATTGTAATATCCCTTATTCCAATTATTTATAAATATTTTATTTCAAAAGCTTTCCCCCTTGCACCGACTCACAAGATAAGACATTACCAACACCCTTTACTCCCACCATTGCTAATTCCCTCCTAGACTCCCACCAGGGTATATAATAGGAATGAATGTAATGTTTGGGGAGCCTGTTTCCCGTAAGCCCTCCACTCCTGTAGCTATTAATTTCTTAATACAGAAGTTGAATTTTTCCTCTGCCCGTGTAAGTTTACTTCTACCCCAGTCTCCACCCCATAATCCTGACGTTGGTCATCACAAGATAAACGGTTCTAACCTTTTTGTGTTGTGAGATTTCTCCATGTTGTCTGCAGGGTAATGAACCTGAAATTTGGTTGTTACCGATAATTTTGTCTGCCTGTTCTCACTGGGTTAGTCTGCCAGATGCATTTCGCCATGTTTCTAGGTTTAAAAACTGAGTATATTGGAGGCTAAAGTTACACAGTTGTTGATGGCCGTGGACCCTAACATTGGTTGGTAGGACGGATAAAATTTCAGTCTGACCCTGGACTGCCAAAAAACACCAAAATATGCTTATTTAGATTCTCACATCTTCCCCACTCTTCTATGTACATACTTTGTTATTATTTCATACAACTTCATATTTTATACAGTTTTTAAAATTTCAACTGTTGGAAATGATGTTACGCAATTAAAACAAATGCCTTTATTTTCAGCATTGGAATGTTGTTGCTTATTCAACAGCCGAGGAATACGATTTAAGCAGTTTAGCTTCAGCACTGAAAAGGCAGGATCTTTACTATCTGTGTGAACTTACAAATGATGATATTCTATACTCAGGTATTGACACACGATGCCATTTTATGTGTTGTATGTTGTTGATTTCAGTAATCCATTATTTAAAGAAATTCAAGTGAAAAATTAATGTCGTTAATTGTTGACTGCATTTTGAAATTTTTATCAATTTTCTTAAAAAAAAAAAAAAAAAATAGTGAAAAACCCAGAGATATTGCATTTTTACGTTTGCATTTTCATGGTTGAAATTAGTGTTTATAAAATATTGGTCTGGTTCTCATGTCGACAGGCTTGGGAAACGCGTTGCACGCCATCGCCAAGTATAAAGTCTCCAATGAAAATCGTCATATTTATTATTTCCAAGAGGGCACGGTCGTGATATGGAATTGTTCAGAGATAGAGCAGCATGCTATTGTCGATTTTATCCGACCGTTTGAGCTCAAAGACTATGACAAACATGTAGTCCTCTCAGAAATAGAAGAAATGTCATTCGCGTATGAAGAAAACAGGTATGAAAAGTTCATTGCACATTCATAGTGGATTTTTAATTAAGTTATTTTCAGTGAGAAAACATTTATCGATAATGGCATAATGCACATAGGCACAAAAAACCGAAGTAATGAGGATATATCATCAGATAGGTATACCCTATCAAATGCAATGGCGCTTTCAGTGAAATTGGGCATTTTGGAGACTCTCTTGAACCAGTATATTCAAACAATCGAGCCAGTCACACAAGTAAATAAGTTAATTAATCATTTTAAATTTCAAAAGGTAGTAAATTAAATGCTTGTCCTAAATCTAGGAGTTGAGAAATGGTCTTCCTGTCAGTATCACACAACGTGGTGTTTTACGAAAGTCTGGAGAACTGTTCGTTTTGAGGCATTCTGTCAGTTTGTCAATGGACTTTTTGGATATACCTGATTTCTATTGGGATCGGGAAAATCTCGAAGGGCTGTATAATTTGTCATGTGCTTATTTCAGTATCACTAGAAGAACAAAAGTAAGTTTTATTAATTTGATCTTTTCTCTTGAACTTTTTTTTCTTGTATGATTTGATGGAAATGTTGGGAAAACAGTCGATCAGAATTATCGGGTCTTTTAGGAATAAGATGAAAATAATAAAATATAATTGTAATTTCAAATTTATTGAGCCTTGGTATAACAGGAAAACATTTCTTTAAATTATTAAATTTCACCAAAAATTTGACATGCACAAATTTTGGTAGACACAAGCCCCTTTTGAATTCTTCAGTTTTTCTTATGAATATGGACAAAAGGAATAAATCATTAATACGGCTCACTGTAATAGATTTGGCATAATATACTGAACGGAAACAATGAAGCCTTATAGTAGAGTGAATAAGTAATACCCGCTCACTCAAATTTGACCTACTTTTGTATGTATGTTGAATATAAAAATTATTTTAGAAATTAAAAATTTTATAGCAACATTTGTATCTATTTATAACAATTGTTTAAAAAAAAAATTGTATTGTGAGGCTTTTTGTTTGCATCCTTGGTTGTGTTAATTAAGCCTGATGCTGATCCGAAGAGGAAGGACTTCAATCTATAAAACAAGAATTCTAAGTTTGAAAAAAGACACAAAAACCAATAAGACCCAAGCAAAACTAAAATTAATCAAGGCATCATTGCCTTCTTGGACCTTAGTCCAGGTCAGTCACAGTCCTTGAACTCTTTCATACAAACAATTGAGAAATCACCTGCATTACTTGTTATGCGCATAAAAATAAAGGAAAATAATACACAAATTAAAAAAAAAAAGATAAAATTAAAAAAAGACGAAAAAATTGGATAAAAAGATAACCTTTTTCAAGGGAGAAAGTCTTGTTGGAAAGGTCTAAATGTACTGAAATAAATGAAAGACCATAAATAAATTTCTATGCCGGCCCCATTATGATGACGCAATGGGTTAAACTTTTTCTGTTGTTTAGTCTTTCGCTACTTTTTAACATATCTTTTGGTGGGATATACAAATTTTTTGTGTGACTACTTTTGCATTTATTACATTTTACCACTGGGGAGTATGAATGGAATTGAGTTAGATTAGGTTAGAAATTTTTAGGGTTAGGTTAACATTAGTGTAGAAATGTGTACAGATTAGTGACTGTTAATCGATAGTTATTCAGATATCGTGAGATGCGGTCGGGTGTGATGTAGGTTTCAGAAAAACATTTTCTTTATCGTGCCAACGTTTCGATCTTTTATTGAGATCATCTTCAGGGCCTGGGATTTACAAACAATGTTTACATTTAACAATTACATTTTGGATGTTTAAAAGTGAATTTATACAATGCAAAATATATTTTATATTCAAACAAAGTATTTCTACTCACTCAAAGTGTTTGTGCCATCCTTGCGTGTCGTGTTGAGAGTGCCAGTGAGATTTTGCTGTTTTATGTTTATATATGTTTGGTGTTGAAGGGGTGGGGAAGGAAGTCGGTATATAAAAGACAATTTTGTGTAAGGCGTCGGCTTCTTTGAAGTGAAATAAGCCGACAAAGGGCAATCTCACTGGAACTCTCAACACGACTCGCAAGGATGGCACAGTTACACAGAAGACAAACACTTTGAGTGAGTAGAAATACTTTGTTTGAATATAAAATATATTTTGCATTATATAAATTCACTTTTAAACATCCAAAATGTAATTGTTAAATGTAAACTTTGTTTGTAAATCCCAGGCCCTGAATATGATCTCAATAAAAGATCGAAACGTTGGCACGGTAAAGAAAATGTTTTTCTGAAACCTACATCACACCCGACCGCATCTCACGATATCTGAATAACTAGTTAACATTAGTATCAGAGTTAGGGTACTTAACAGGTTTCATATCCACAATTCAATGTTTTCCTTGAAGCAGAGAAAATATGAGAGGATGAACTATGAGTTCTTATGGAATCAACTCTCCTGAGTCGATCGGCCCAATAAGTAAGCTTCTAAACCTCAAAATAGCTAGGAAAAATATTGACAAATTGCTTCAATTAAATAAAAAGAGGTATAAATCTGCCGAACAATATCACTTGGTAGATCTGTAGTTCATAGGATAGCTTATTTCTTATATTTAAAAAAACCTTTATAGCTAATTTTTATGCTAGGTTAGGAATGGTTAGGGTTAAGCTAGGTTAAGATTAATATTAGATCCATTATATTAAGTGGTCTGATTGATAATTAATCGGGGGACCACGGTAGCCAAGTGGTTAGCGTGAGAGAGTCTCAGCTCATAGACCCCGTGGTCGTGGGGTTGATTCCCACTGTCGCCTCTGGCCTTTTTTTCACAATAACCCCCCCCTCCCAATATTAATACACATAATAATTGTCTCCTTGGCTAATATGCATCGATCGTAAGGCCATTAAAAAAAATTAATTAATCTTTTTATGTAAGGTTTTGGCTGAAATGAAACTGTTAGTTTGTTGTAATTAATATAACGACACTAATACATGTAGTTTGAATAGAAATATGAGTGTCCGGTTCTTTTATATTCGATTGTATTCGATGCTACCCGATGAAAATCTAGACAGTGGGGATTGCAGAGCGTAGAGTAGGGTAGCGTTGCATAGCATCGGGCAGATGTGCACAGGGGGAATACAACCTTATGGAAAATTGGACTTTGGATTTGCGTCGCCTGGCTTGCATCGGGTGTGTTCCCGGCTTTAGTGTCATGAGTGGGTTCGAATCCCGCTCGTGACAATAACTTTTTCAATTGAACCAAAACCTTACATAAAAAGATTAATTAATTGAAATTATTATTAGAGTTAGCATTAGGATTAATGATGGGTTGTTTCATATCTATGATTCAATGTTATGTCATGAAGCAGAGAAAAAATGAGAATGTGAGCTAGTTTTTGGAATCAACTCTCCTGAGAAGTTTGGCCTAAGAATTAAGCTTCTAAACTTAAAAATAACCAGAAAAACTGATTGCTAAAAACAAATGCTTCAATTAAATAAAAAGAGGTATAAGTTGCCAAACAATATCACCAGGTAGATCTGTAGTTTATAGGATAGTAGTTTATATAAAACAAACCTTAATAGCTCATTTTTATGCTAGGTTAGGTGTTTTATGTTAGGTTAGGGGTTAGCATTGGGTTAGGTTAAGATTAGTATTTGAGTTAGGGTTAGGGTAGTGATGGGTGAGGTTTGTCTTTTCTGTGAGAGTTGTGCTGTAGGAAACCAAGGATCAAACTGATACAAAATTCCCAAGGAAGAATTTGTCAAAACCTCCCAGCTTTTGTTTTTATTGGCTATTTCTAATAATTAAATAGGATGGTTGCATATTACATGTATGCATATGCATGTTACTATTTGTAATCTTTTGAAAGATAATTTGAAAATCTTTTGTTTTAGGTTCTTAATGAGAAACTTAATCATTGTTTAGAACTTATAACACTAGTTTCAACGCATCTGAGTGATAGGCACCATGTAAGATTAGAATGGATGATTATAATTTTAATCATGGTTGAAGTTGGATTTGAAGTTTTACATTTTATGAAAAGCTAAGTATATAAAACAAAACAAAAATCATGAGTTTTTTATGTTGTAACGTAATTTTTCAATTTTGTGTTTAATTTTTGAATGTACCTTTTACAACTGTTCTGACCCAGTTGATTCTATTTTTTATGAGATTTAGTTACGAATTTTAGTTGTATCACATTTTAATTTATAGTTGAAATGGCCTTATTTCGTTACCAGTTTGTATGCCAAATTCAAACACATATGTTATATTTTATTAATATGTTGTTGTAAAAAGTTATGCATTAATGAAGTTATATTTACTTCAATTTGTCATGACTTTGTTGTGTTGTTCCGTACTGAACATCGCATTTTTTTCCCCCAAAGAACTGTGATACGGATGGAAAAAGAGACTGTATTGTTATTTAAAATATAAATTTTTTATTAGTAAAATTTAAAACTTTTTATTTGACTACCTAACCCTGTTTGTGAACCCTGTTTATTTTTGGACAGGATACAATTTTAGTTCCAAAATTTATTTTGACTAAAAACTTTTTGATAATGAGATTTTTGAATTTAAAGTAAAGGAGTAAAGAAAAAAACTTACGGCTTGTAGTATACAAGTCCAGGAAACTTGCTGGATGATGGTCCTCTCAGGAAAAACTGGCCAGGTGAAAGTTTTGACGAAATGCTTAGTCAAGAAGAAAAGTGTTCATCATGCAAACGCAGAATAACAAAAAACACTAGGGGCGTCGGTGGCCGCAAGGTTTAGTCTTTGACACGGTGCTCATCACTCTGAGGTAAAGGTCCCGGGTTCGAATCCAGCGGCCCTGCATTCGAACCTGACATACTTANAACCAAACAATGCGAGTGAAAAAAAGCCGATCTTTTGTTGATATAATTCAGGCAGATCCCCACTTTGGTAAAAAGACACCAAATACAAAGGTACTACACTGAAAAAAAAATGCAAGTCCAGGGTGTGACAGTCAGAAATTTGTGGAAGGCCTTCATCTATATGGTGGCCCATGGATAAGAACAAAATGAAATACACGGTAATATTAATTGATACTGATTATATTTTCTAGCAATGTAGAGGTTACTTAAAACATATATATTTTTGGGCTGGGTACACAAATTTTGCATGACCATTTTCACATCATTAATTTTGTGTTACCTGGTAGCGCGCATGGGTTGGTTTAGATAAAGGTTAGGGTTAGGATCACAGATGGGGTTAGGCTACATAACCATGATTTAATGTTTTCCTACTTTCTTCTTTGTTAGAGATAGATGTTAAGTTTTTTATTGTAAGGACTGTCAGTATGTGGGCCAGTCACCTTCTCTCCATATTTCTTACATATGGGGAGAGGCTCGTTGGTCACGAATGTATATGCCATTCTTGTGTCCTATTCTTTCTACTGAGAATAACAACATCTATGCTATTCCGTAAGCAGTTACAATTATTTGAAGTTATGTCCTTTTCATCCGATATTTTCTGCTAGTAACACCACAAGATGGTTTTTGTATGAATTTTAATGTTATTGTAAAAGAACTGAGTGCCTGAATCAATGCCTCGCTTGGCATCTTGGCCTGCAATTTCATTACCGATGATACCAACTTGTCTGGTTATCATTGTAGAGTGCACACTAATCCTTCTTTTATTTAGGTTTTTAATAGTTTATGAAATGATTTGAATGTTTTTGTGGGTAGATTGAGAGTCAAAGCTATACAGGCCATATATAGGCTATGTTGTGGGCATTGTCTAATTCTTCTGTATTATTAGTATTATTATTTGTTTTTATTTTGACGGCAGCACATACACTGTCTGTGAATACAAGCTTGTTTTAGGTATGATGAGAGGTTACTAAGAGGCAGGGGTTTGGTATTCTCCAAGCACTAGATCCTTCTTTTAAGGAGTCATTGGTGTAATTCTTTTTCCTGGGTATTCATGGTATTCAAGATTATAGATTTTCTGTCTGTTTGATCTTATAGATTCTCCACTAGCCAGTTTGCTTGTTCATTGCCCAGTCGCCCAAAACATTGGCAGGTTGTTTTTTCAGGTTTTGGATGCCAACTATTTTGGAATGACTTTTACATGCTAATAGTTTAAGGGCTGCTTATGACCCACAGATATTCCTATGACCCCCGTCTACCTGCAGCAACGTGTCAGCTTTGGAGGGAGTTCTTTAAGCCGGGAACACACCCGTTGCAACGCCATGTGATGCTACCCTACGCTTTGCCACGTTTCGGTAGGGTGTGCACATCTATCCGATGTCAAGCGCACGCCACGTACAGTCCACAGCGTGTATCACAATCGCAACGGCTCTTTTGTTCTTAATGCATTATTTTGAGCAAAACCATGTAATAAATTGTTAGTTAAATTTAATTGTTTTAAATAAAGGTGTTTTGATATATTTTCTGCCTAACCATCATAATTAAATAATTTTGATAAAAACTCATGAATTTTTGATCACGGTTAATTTGGTTTATATTAAAATAAGTTTGTTGTAATTATAACAATAATAAATGTAGCTACTCGATGCGACCCGACGAAAATCTGGACTGTGGGGATCGCAAAGCGTAGAGTAGGTTAGCGTTGCATAGCATCGGGCAGATGCACACAGGGGTAATACAATCTTATGGAAAAATGGACTTTGGATTTGCGTCGCATAAATGGGAAAAATAGAGAAAAAATATTGACAAATTGCTTCAATTAAATAAAAAGAGGTATAAATCTGCCGAACAATAGCACTTGGTAGACTGTAGTTCATAGGATAGTTTATTTCTTATATTAAAAAAAACCTTAACAGCTAATTTTTATGCTAGGTTAGGAATGTTAGGGTTAAGCTAGGTTAAGATTAGTATTAGATCCATCATATTAAGTGGTCTGATTGATAATTAATCGGGGGACCGCGGTAGCCAAGTGGTTAGCATGAGACTCTCTCAGCTCATAGACCCCGCGGTCGTGGGGTCGATTCCCACTGTCGCCTCTGGCCTTTTTTTCACGATAAACCCCTCCCCCCCCCAATATAATAATCAACACATAATAATCGTCTCTTTGGCTAATATGCATCGATCGTAAGGCCATTAAAAAAAATTAATTAATCTTTTTATGTAAGGTTTTGGCTGAAATGAAACTGTTAGTTTGTTGTAATTAATATAACGACAATATTAGATGTAGTTTGAATAGAAATATGAGTGTCCGGTTCTGTTGTCTTCGACTACTCGATGCGACCCGACGAAAATCTTGACTGTGGGGTTCGCAGAGTGTAGAGTAGGGTAGCGTTGCATAGCATCGGGCAGGTGTACACGGAGGTAATACGAAAAACTAAAAAAATGGACTTTGGATTTGCATCGCATGACGTTGCATCGGGTGTGCTCCCAGCTTTAATCTTGAGTTTCTGGCACCTCTGAAGTTTTTCCACTTATTTTGTATTTTTGTGGACAATTCTGAGATTATGCATGTTTGATCTTGTTATCCACTAATAGAATCTAGGCCTATGTATTATCTAGTAGTATTAAATTGTGTCATCATCAACCGAAAAGTTGTATGACATTTTGTCTCATAGGTAACTTGGATACTGTCATAATTTCACGTCTAATGGTTTCATTGTGTAATATTCTATATTTTGTAAAAACATGGAACAATAACAAACTCAGAACCAATATATAACTAATTATCAATACATGTGTTTATATATGGAATATTATTATTTTTTATATTGGATTGATTACCTAACAAAACAACAGTAATTTATTTTAAAGAACAAAAACTTGTGATAAATCTTTTTTTTTAATGTTTCAGCACATAATAAAACAAAACAGGTAAATTATATTCTATTATTAATTACAACTTCATAACTAAAAATGAATGTATTAAATTTATATAACAAATTTTTATTCAGGAGCTGCAAAGTCTCTTAAATATAATTTAAAAAACCAACACTTGTGGTTATCTAAGTAGGAGTTGACAAACAAATTGGGTAATAGCAAACACAATTACCTTTTAATAACGGCAGTCTTTTCACAATTTTACAAACAATCACTTTATATATTGATACAAATTCAAAGAAACAAGTTTTCATTATTGGAATGCATTTTATAAAACTTTACAGCATAAATGTAATTGTTACACGAATCGACTCAACACAAACAAACTGTTTTTAAAATTTGGAACAACAAAAAAAGCTTTCTTTTCATACAAAGTTCATTAGTAAAAATATTATTTGGCTATGGAAACATTCATTCTATATTTATACAGACATCACATGCCGGAGCATAGAAAATAGTGTTAGGATTTCATAGACACTATCACATATACACTCATTCTTAAAACAATTCTCACTCAAAACTTCTATTTATCTCAACTCAATATGTAGTAATTTTTTTTAAAATTTTTTTTTGTTTGTTTTGTTATAAAAGTCCTTTTTGACTGATTACAGTTCATCTTTTGTTTTTGGATTTCCACTTCTATCATAATTCTTCAACTCAGTAGTAGCATGGCTAGACACATATTTCAGTAAGTCATTTAATTCCCGACCACCCTATAAAAAGAAAATTAATGATAAAAAAAATATATTTGTAATTAACTTTAAAATAAACTTACGCTATAGGCAAGAGGTTTATCTTTAGAATCTTTAGGAGCCCAATATAACGTAGGGAAACCACGGACATCATATGGTGGAGGTACATCATTGCTGGTAGCATCCATTTTTACAATTTCAACATCTTCAGAAGCCATCTGTAAATAAAACAATTATCAGTTATCATCCAAACTGAATTGTTTTAAGCTTGTCTTGGACAGTGTACGAACCTTTTCTCCAAGTTCCTCCCAAACAGGTGTCAACTTCTTGCAATGTCCACACCAAGGTGCATAAAATTCTATGAAAGTATCTTTTCCGTTTCCAGTTACAACTTCATCAAAATTTTTTGCAACAGCTACTTTAACAGGTCCGTCATTGCTTTCAGGCACTGGCTCAGATTTGAGGTAAGGCTCAAGTTCTCCACCCTTGAGTTTGTTCAAGAAATCTTCCAAGTTCTCCATTCTGAAAAGTTAAAACATACAACCAGTTGTTTTTTTATAGCGACTTTTTTGAATAAGACGTCGCACTTACGTGAATTCTTCTGTCATAGAATATTTTTTGTTGTCAGCAGACTTTGCTAATACGAGTGGTTTATCAGATGGAACATAATCATAACCATAGGAATTAAGTTCGTGCTGGAAGTCGTCCTTCGAACTGACAGCAAAGGTGAAATCATCTGTAAACTTGCTGGCGACTTTCAATATCCTGTTTCTCCAGTAGTTTGTACCCTTGGGGTTTTTGGCATAATCGACCTTGTAATATGCAACTACCAATGGTGCTTTGAAATCGTCAGCATTGTCTCTCTGCCTGTGATCGACTAAACCATGTCTAAAACAAAAACATCATTTGTACAAATACTGTTTTTTTTTTTAAATCTGACTAAATGTAATGCAATAATCGCTTACTGGTGTTTGTTGAGCCAAGATTCAACTCCTTCCTTGGTATCAGGCCCATCATACTTAAGTGTATTCTCCTCAAAAATGTTGTGCAAATGCTTTGGCCTGAAGAGCATAATGGTGTCTCTGAAAGAAAAACAAACTGTAAACAAAAGGACCGCTAAAAATAAACAATACGCTTTTATTTGAATAATTTAAATTTGCTCATTGGGTCTAATTTTAGTTTTTATACAACCCTATCTTCTTCTACATATAACATTTTTTATTTTTAGACCATTTGAGAAGGTTGGTAAATGAAACAAAATTTACGTGTCGTTTCATCATCCACATGTCATTATCATATAATATTAGTATTTAAAAAAATGTATATACGCATGTATGTGTATGTGCACACCCATACATACACACATGCACACGTGAGTCTGTGCACAGGATATATCAACTTCTACAGTCCACCATCTTAATTCGGAAATGATTAACTTTAGCAAGAAAATTATCTTACACTAAAGAAAAATTTGGTGTGCACACAATTAGTAAATTTTATATTTTGACGTCAAAACAAAAAATAATACTAATTGTACTTTAATTTAAAAAGGGCTGTAACCAAAAATATATTTTTATAAAGAAAAATAAAAGAAATAACATTTGATTTTAAAAGTTGTGTTAAAATTTTAATTGTATTTTCTAATTGGTGGTCAAAAATTATTATTAATAATAATAATTCCCTTTATTTTTACTTTTCTTTATAAAACGAGAATTAAATTCGATTTTAAAATTGATGTTTATAGATTCTGAAATAGGTTTTATTATAGAGTAAAAGATTCTTTAAATTAAAAATAATAATTAATAAAAGAAATTGTAATTTTATTTGTAAATAAATTGTAATAAAGGATTTAAATTTAACTAATATTTTTGTCTCGTATTTATTTTGGTTTGAATTGAATATTGGAATTTCATATATCAAAAAAAGGTGCCTTGATCATTAAATTAAATTAATGTAGTCAGGTCCAATTCATAAAAAAACCTCTGGGACCTTGTTTTCGGTTCTCTGCTTATACGCTTATCAAATTGGTCATCCTTTAATGCTTCTGTGGTTTCCTTTTCCCTTCCTGAAGTGAGTGTATTTATTGGTGAGAATGTGCGAGTGTATGGGTGGGTAGTGGTCGGAATATCGAGTACCCCAAGACCCACCAAACTAGGATAGATATCTCTTTGTGTGTTTTGGGTAGAACGAATGTATTTATTGGCGCGAAAGTGAGTGTGTATGGGTGGGTTGTGCAGGAATATCGAGTACTCCACAGACCCACCGTTTTAGGTTAGTATTAGGCTATAATATCTTTTAGAGTGAATGGGCAGAGGCAATGTTGTAATATTAAATGCGCCAGTGGTTCCGCATTTTTTTATTTGTAAATTTAGAATGATCGGTTACTGTTTGAGTGAATGTATTTATTAGTGCGATAGTAGTGTATGCATGGGTGGGTCTATGGTGGAATATCAAGTACCCCATAAACCCACCAACCTAGGTTAATATTTTAGATTAATTGTAATTTTAATTGTACATAATGTATGGATGTATTTATTAGTGTGAACGAGGGCGGGTCTTCACAGGAATATCGAGTGCTCTGAAACCTGCATATAGGCTAGGCTAGGATTGAATGTTAGTGAACGAGATAGTTTTCAGAGCCTTTTCACCACTGTGGGAGAGCTAAAAATATAGAAATAACGTCCCAGAACACAACTAGAAAGATCGCCAGAATATCCTACAGGAAAGCTAAGTTAAAAAATAAATAAATAAATAAAATATATAAATAAATAAATTTTTAAAACGTGAGGTGGTAGAAATGTGAGGTGCCGGCAATAGCCCAGGCAGCTAGCTGGCAAGGAAAAAAAAAAGTTAATCCCAAGTTAATTTTGGCTAAGAATCGCAAGTTGGTAACAGATTTACTTTCTCATGTAGCTGGGAAATGACACTAACTTTGTTATTTTAAATAAGAATTCAACAGTTTTATTGTACAATTTGATTCTAGAGCTTATTTTATGCCACTTTTACTGAAAGGAAAATTTTGTTAGGATCGACAATTTCTGAGTTATGCCCGATGGAAGACGCTTGAGGTGCTTTTGTAACAACATGATGGCCCACCCCTTTATTTTGAAAACAATTAGCTATAAGATAAGATATATTTGATCTACATAAGATGTAGATATAATATTAGTATATTGTATATATATAAAGAAAATCACACATTTGACTAAAATCGAATTCGTCAACTAACCTCACCTAACTTGTGCCTAACCCTAACTAACCCATTCCTAATCCTACCAACAAAACCAGCACTTCTTGTGATACAGTGCATTAAAGCAATAATAATGCGGTTTGTATGTAATAACAAGGTTATCTTTCAGAAATGTTTGGAATTAGTAATAATGTTAACTATTTTAGTAATTTTTCTAATAAAGTTGAACTGTATTTTAATGTGTATGGCACCATTGTAAATTTTTTGTCCAAGTTGACTGTTTTGTAAATAACATTGCGTTCTAATATATGTTACAAACGAGAATCAGTCTGATGATTTTTATAACATTAAACATTAAGTTATGCTTCAGTTGACATTTGTTCAGTTATAAACGTATCATGATAAACTTACTCGGCTTCATATTTCTGCAAAACGTCTTTGCTTTCGGTCACGCCAAATCTGAATTTAGCCCTGTTTGCATCAGCAACTTTGAGATAAGCTTTTTTGAGAGGGGAATTCGTTGAGAAAAACCCGACGACGCCGAGGTCCGGTTCACCCAAAAATGCTTCAACGCAGTCATTGGTAACAAGAGTCTTGGCACTCGGTCCTACTTGAGTTTTAATGTATTTCACAAGCCCATCTAAGAAAAAATAAATTAATTTAATTAAAAATGTTCAAGATTAATGATTTGTTTTTTGTTTAAATGACATAGGTTTTTACAAAAATTGAATATCACCTAAGCCTAATTAAATTAAAAATTTGAGAATATCTGTTTTATCATGACATAAAGCAAAATGGCAAAAAAGAGGTAAAATTTGAAAGGTTGTAGGTTGAGATGAGGAGTTGGTATCTGAGTGGACCAAAGTCACGATAGCTCAAGTGATTAGATCAGCAGCATATTTAACAGAAGGTAGTGGGGTTTGAATCCCGCTCGTGACACGAGCTTTTTTCATCTCAACCAAGACCTTATATAAAAAGAATAATTATTTAAAAGTTATAAAGAATAATGTCTAATGGAAAATGTAAATTTCACCAATATATTTTAAATAATATTACAAATGTATTACTTGCATCTCTGGGTCCATTGAAATCCATGGAGAATTCTCCATTTTTAAAGAGTTTCAACGTAGGATATCCAGAAACTGAAAATTCGTTGCAAGTACTCTTGCCTCCTTCTGTACAGTCTACCTATTGGGAGAGACAAAAGAGTCTAAATGAGCAAAACAGCTTTTACATAGAATTATGATAATTTACCTTTGCCAAAGCCACTGGAGGATCGTTGTCAACAAGCAAAGAGGCAGCTTTTTCAAATTCGGGCTTTAGTTTTTTACAATGTCCACACCTGGGGGTAGTAAATCAATTTTAAAACACGTATTAAACACATACTTGAAGAATATTATTGAAAAAATTAAAAAACATTATAGTAAAACTATGGTAATTGTAACATGTATGGAAATTTAACAATAAAATGCTACTGTAAGAGAAGTCCAATATAATTGTAAAAAATACATGCAGGACAGTACATTGCCTTAAGGGCTAAGGTTAAGGTTAAAAGGAGTCGGCCTCTTTAAAGACACTAACATTGGTCTATTGTGCAAACTCCATTATTACATAAAGCATTTAACTTAAGGCTTTTTATTTTATGTTTTTATATTACTGAGTAATTACATAAGCGGGTTTGTTCATGTTTTTCTTATGGTGTCTGTATATCATTTAGTTTTCCACAGACTAACCAATGAAAATGGTGAAATACCCAAATATAACAGGCTAAATTGTGGATAGACAATGACAGATGACAAAACCTCACAGACTTCGATAGAAAATTTTATAAAAGGGCTTTTACAAAGATAAAATTAATCATATAATTGATAAGTCCTAAAGCCGACCTGGCAAAATTTGAAAACAATAAACACCATTGTCAAAAAACAGTCATACTTGATAACGTTTGTTTAACCGGGAAATCAATTTTACATTTTAGATCTGATAACTGATATTTATGACTTTATTTGACTAATAAATTGCTAAAATTCTATGTGCCATCGTAGGTTAAGGCAATATGGAGGGTCCTTAGAATGGACAGTTCAAAATTACAATATACAATCTGTAAAATAATCGGCACTTTTTTTCTTTTTTTTTGGCGTTATGAACTATGCATATTAGCCATGTGACAATTCATATGTGTGTTCAAATTTAGGGGGGGGTTATTGTGAAAAAAGGGCCAGAGGCGACGGTAGGAATCGAACCCACAACCGCGGCGTGAGAGTCTCTCATGCTAACCACTCGGCTACCGCGGTCCCCAATCGGCACTTATCAAGTTATCTCATTTCCTCCGGTTCCTTACTCTTGAAATATTTTAAAACAATGAACACAAAGCTCAATTATATTATTTTCACAAAAATTTTAAAATGAAAGAACTTTTAAAAACTAACTTCAATTGAAAATAAAAGTCAAATGCTTACTGTGAACAGAGCAAGGAGTCTATTCATAGCTGCTTTTATCTTGGATAAAAATTACCGGTTTACATATTAAATTTCTCAGTCAAAGATTAAATGGGGGTTACCATTTCAAATTTTATTCTAGCTATGATTTTGTGGAAAAAGAGGTGTGACATTATGTTTAAGACGCAATAAGCAATATAAAAACAAAATTTTACAACGTCCTGCCATTAAGATAGCAGGAAAAAGAATCAGGACAAGTAAAAATCATTCTGGAGGAGACATTAAGTCCCACAAACCCGACCATAAAAATCAGAGAAATGACGAAATGTATCTTTTCCAAGGAAAGTTCAATAGGAAACATGGATACTGGCCCGAAGGTCTCTCCCTGAATAAAAGTGTTCATCTACCTATAGCTTTATACCTGGGGGCAAGAGTTAAACAGCAAGAGGTAAAATAATTCTAGAACAAAGAATAGACACACAAGTCCTCATCTTGCTCCGTCCATCTATCTTCTACCTATGATGGTTTTGTATAAAAGGCAGTTTCATAGTCCGCTGGTGTAAGGTCTCCCAATTCACAATCTATATATTTAAAATCTGGTCTAAAAAACAAATAACCGGAGAAAAAATAAAATCGTATTGTAATTATAATTAGTACAGAACACATTTAACAGCCCCCCCCCCTTTATGCGACCACCTCTTTTAATGGGCAATTTTTACATTCCCCGAGGATTTGTATACATTTTAAACCATTCTCTAGCAGAACCCCTCCATACCAACCACAAAGACTGGAGTCAATCGTCATCAGAGTAATTTACGACTCTAGAACGGATGTAAACAGTTAAAAATACACAAAGAGGGAGAGAGGAGGGATAAAACACGCATTTATTTGTTTGCTTACCATAACTAGGCATAAATAAAGGAGGCATCAGTGGCCACAATGGTTTAGGTGTTAACACTAAAAGGTAAAGTTCCCGGGTTCAAATCCAGCGGCCCTGCATTCAAACCCGGCATACTTAAAAATGGGATTTTTCCAAGAACGAAGATGGCGTTGCAAACCCCATTAAAAAAAACCTTAAATTAAAGTATGGTTTTAAGATCTCGCCCGGGCAGATCCTTTTCTAATGCCGAATATTTACGCAAAAAGAAAGCAGATATTCCGTGGTAGTTGAATTTATTTAGAGATGACATTCTGGGCTATAAAGCCCATCATCAGCATTCATAACAAAATACAATTATATTAACCAAGTGCAGTCGAGCTATAACATGATGCAACTAAACTATGCAAGCATTTTGAGATATAGCAATCAGCCATCAATATGGTTCGTGTCAAACTTATACATAAAACAATTGGCCGATGCAACAGTGTGGTTAACAGAAAATCTCATAAACACAAAAAATGTCAGCATTATTAAAATTGATTATGGCAAATTGCCCCATGGAAAAATGGAAAGGGTTAAAAAAGTAAATTAACTCCATGGTTGTTGTAATTGCTTGTATTTTTAACCTTAAAGATTAATTCCTTGCCTGTGTATTAGTGAAGGCACTCTATGTTGAAAATAACTTTTTTAAAGGCATCAAGAAGGGAAGTTAATTTAATTTGCGTATATTAAAACGTCTGGCTTCTGTTAAAAATAAATTAAAAATATTAACTGTTTAAACAATACAAATAGTAGAATTTATAAAGTTTAAACGAACAAGTGACCTTTTATTCAAGATGGAATCAATAAGTTAAGCAAATGAACTTGGAAAGGTTGAACACCTTTGTTAAAATAAAAAAATAAAGAAAAAAATCGCTCAGATTTGATAAGAGTTGATTCAGACAGAAAATCGATTTTCCCGAGGTACGGAAAACATGGAAAATCCTCAGATTTCCATGGAATTTCTCATTTAGGGTTTTTTTTCTCACGTCGTTGAGGTCGTCTTTCTTCCAACCCCGTGAGGACCTTCGTCCAAGCCTCTAAGGTCAACGCACTCCTCAAGCAGGAACGAACACGCAGGATTACGTTCTGCGGCACTCCAATGGAGAAAATCACACTTTTTCATATATGAAAAATCGTTGAAGAGGAAAATATGGGAAAGAAAAATCGATGCTGATCGTCTTTTTTTAAATTATTTTATCTTATTCTAGGTGTCTTTTCTCTTGAGAGGATTTTTTTAATTGAAGGCTTGTTTGTTTGGCGAGATAAAGAGAAACCCTTAGAATTGTTTCATTACGTAAGTTTAAAAAAATTGAATCTTATTTAAGACTTGCCAGGGTGCGTAAAACATGACGAGGGCGGATTCGTGATCCTTGATCCTGGTGGAGAAGTCGTCGTCGGTGAACTCCAGGACATCGCTGACGGACGCTGAGACGGCGAGGGCGAGGGTGGCGATGCCGAGCAACGCCGTTTTGACCATTGTCGATTGAAGCCGGGCCGGCGAAATCAGTTTGGGAGAAAGCGTAAAAAAGATTCGATGAAGGACCGGCGACGTGCGGGTCGAGTGACTGAACTGAACGGGCGACGGCGAATGAGTTGGAGGATTGTGGACCGGGTTGAACGAGTCGGCCGGCGACGCAGCGGATAGACGTGTGGCCTAAGCGGATTGGCTGGGCCTCGACGATCGTCATGCGCTTCTCCGCCAACCGCGGCCCTGCACCTTCGCCAGTCCCGTTTCGTCGACGTCACCCTTCGTCATTGCCGCATCGGCGCGTTCTTTCAAAACGGAAGCCGGCAACTTCCACTTTCCCACGGCAGATAATCCTAATAAAATGGAACAAAAACGTCAAATTTATGATTTGTTTAAATTTTCATAGTTCAAGATCCTCAATATTCAAAAAATCTCAAAAAGCCCATGATCAGTTTAGCACTTTCTATGTTTTGTTTTTTTTCTGAAGTGGTAATTGAATGGCCAAACCTTTGGGATCACTGATCACTTAAGTCTCCCTTTCTTCCACTGTGCCCTAAAAGATATATTTTAGAATTGACCCTTTTCCATTTCCATTTCCAATCCTCAAAACGTCCAAACACGGACGGTTTTCTCCAAGCCAGTTTAGCACGTTCTGTCTCAGTTTTTCTCTTTTTTGAGGTGGTAATTGAATGGGCGATGGCCATTATAAAGACTTTACCCACATCACAATATTTGATTTCGTTTTCCCAAGAGTTGGAGATAATGTTAGGCATTGCTATAAATTATGTTTTATTTTGCATGTATTGAATAACCTTCTTTCTACTAGGGACATGGGTAATGAGGACTCCCTAAACCCCAGGAGAAAAAAAAAACATTTTTTCCTTCTTCTAAGTCACTGGTCAATAAAGTCTCCCTTTCTTCCACTGTGACCTATAACATCTATTTTGGAATCGACCCTTCTTTATTTCAACTCCCCAAAAAGTTCAAAGCAAGAAAAGTCCATTGAGTGTAATGAGGGTTGATACAACTTTTGCTAGTTTCCCAGTCACCAGTACCCACACCAGAATATCTGATTTCGTATACTCAAGAGTTGGAGATAATGTTAGGCATTTCTACAAATTCGGTTTTATTTTCTAGTTATTCAGAAATCGTGAGATGCGGTCTGGTGTGATGTAGGTTTTAGAAAAACATTTTCTTTATCTTGCCAACGTTTCGATCTTTATTCAGGGCTCAAAGTGTTTGTCTTCTGTGTAATTGTGCCATTCTTGCGTGTCGTGTTGGCACGATAAAGAAAATGTTTTTCTGAAACCTACATCACACCAGACCGCATCTCACGATTTCTGAATAATTATCGATTAACGGTCACTAATCACCACTTATTTTCTAGTATTGAGACTGGATGTGTTTATTAGTGTGATAACATTTTTTTACACTAATAAATACATCCAGTCTCAATACTTGAAAATAAAACAGAATTTATAGAAATTCCTAACATTATCTCCACCTCCTAGGAATATGAAATAGATATTCTGATGTGGGTACTGGGAACAGACTTACAAACTAGCAAAAGTAGTACCTACCCTCATCACACTCAATGGACTTTTCCTGCTTTAGACTTTGTATTTATTAGTGTAATAACCTTCTTTCTACTAGGGACATGAGTAATGGGGACTCTCTAAACCCTAGGAAAAAAAAACATTTTTTCATTCTTCGAAGTCACTGTTCACTAAAGTCTCCCTTTCTTCCACTGTGACCTATAAGATCTATTTTGGAATCGACCCTTCTTTATTTCCAATCCCCAACAAGTCCAAAGCAAGAAAAGTCCATTGAGTGTAATGAGGGTTGATACTACTTTTGCTAGTTTCCCAGTCACCAGTACCCACACCAGAATATCTGATTTCGTTAGGCATTTCTATAAATTCGGTTTTATTTTGCATGTATTGAGACTGAATGTATTTGTTAGTGTAATACCATTTTTTCCTTCTTCGAAGTCACTGATCACTATAAGACTTTATTACTGCCCAGTGCCATTGCCCATTCAAGTACTACCTCAAAAAAGAGAAAAACTGAAACAGAAAGTGCTAATCTGATTTAAGGGCTTTGGATTTTTTGAAGATTGGAAAATATGAATCAATTTCAAAATAGTTCTTATAGGTCAGAGTGGAAGAAAGGGCAAAGATATTTTAGTAAATTTTTTAGTTTAAAAGTTTACGTATTATTGACCATTTTTAATTTTAATTGTTGGAATTGTTTTTGGCATCAAAGTGATTGTTCCTATAACAACTTTTGTATTCTATATTTTTATTTACTGTCTGATTAATTTAAAAACAAATAACTCAACCCAGACAGACTGTGAAAAGCATGTCAAATAAGCTTTGATTTTTTTAAAAATTATTTTTTGACTAATGTATATTTACAAAGCTTTTTATCTATCTATTTTATGAAACACTTTTTTTCTCATGAATAATTTGGATCATGGTATGATCTTTATGAAAAACCAAATTCAATTATTCATGCAAGGTTACAATTTATTTTAAAGTCAACATCAGGGAAAAACAATCTTAAATATGTCTACAAATTGACATACTCAAGTGTTTAGTAGATGATTTCAAACTTAATTTTGTCAATTTATAGATATATTTAAGATTGTTTCTCTGATTTTGCCCTTAAAATAGATCGTAAGCTTGGTAGTAACAATTGAATTTGTTCCTTCATCAAGATAATACCACAATCAGATTATTTGTCAGTTTATATCTATTTACATTATCGCTTATTTTTTAATAATGTAAAATTTTCAATATATAATAATCATTATATAAAGCGTTACTAAGGTCTTTTATATTTCATATTTTTAATTAAATATGAGTACAAATAATTTATTTTTAATAATTATTCAGAAATCGTGAGATGCGGTCTGGTGTGATGTAGGTTTCAGAAAAACATTTTCTTTATCGTGCCAACGTTTCGATCTTTATTGAGATCATCTTCAGGGCCTTGTGTTTTCTGCATTTCAGCAAAAATTTATTTTTAATGGCAAAGTGGTGTACTTTTTGTTAAAAGGCGGGAAATTAGTAGGGGAGTAAAGTTCTTATTTTTTCCTTTAAATTTATTTTTAATTATTTTTATACGTTATTTTAAAAATTTGTTAATGCTAAATTATCAGGAGTTAAAGTAGAAGTTTTTCGAAATTTCGATTTTGAGGGCGAATCTTCAGGATCTGTTGGTCGATTTTTGAGGCTGAGAACTACGAAACCTTCCCGTTTCAATCTTATCTTTCCATTGACTTTCTTCCAGTTCTATTTTCAGTTGGAAAAATTTCCGAGTAAAAGCTTCAAAAATGAGGTTGACCGCCCTTGGAAAAAAGCATGTGGAAGTCTGTCTCAAATGGTAAAAAATCTCTACCAATCAAACTTTTTTTTTTCATACAATTATATGAACATTTCCCCCCGTATATACATATGGCAAAAATTGAAATAGTATGCTTTAATTTCAATTTGAATGTAAAAGCTTCAAGGTGGAAATATTCGCTTTTAATCTGAAGACTCATATTTTCAGGGTACCGTCAGTGTTTACCTTCGGCACCGCTGCAGCTCTCACAGTCACATATGCTACAGACTGGAAAGCGGTCTTACAATACGTACCTTACTACAATGGAAAATTCACTGAAGAATAGGTACATATTGAATATTTTAATTTCTATCTCCTCATATTAATTCTGTTGTTTTTGCAGTTTGCCCTTTGACATCGTAAGAATAGAAGCATGTCGCAGGCCATCTCAAATATTTGCAATATAATTTCATTCGGTCACGATCCCAACAGGCCTGAACTGGACGATCAACAGTGCGCATTAAAATTCTAGATGAAAAGAAATAAATTGTTTCACTTTGTATAATTTTGTTGTAGAAAAAAAAAATCATTCGTAGAGCTGTATTCTATATAAAACAATAATAAAGTTTCTTCATATTTATTTATTTATTTAAAAGCGTAAGCAGTATGACATATTGCTAAGTGATGCGAGGTTAATTACTTTTTGTGTGGAAGGAAGTTAAGGTTCAAAATTACAAAAAAAATCAGAGATAATATTCACACCATTTGGAATATTTATACAAGGAGAAATGAGGAAAAGCTCATTTAATCTACTGAAACAATCATACTGGGTGGGAACTGAATATTTGAGGTACACATTAATTATTAATGAAGTCAGACACCATTCATAGAAATAAAGACTGACATGATCCTGAAAATATTCTTCGCAACATCCTATAAAGTGATTATTTGGAGATCGTGAGATGCGGTCTGGTGTGACGTAGGTTTTTGAAAAAAAATTTATCGTGCCAACATTTCGATCTTTATTGACATCATCTTCATGGCCTGGGATTTATAAACATTGTTTAAATTAAACAACTACAAGTAGGATGTGAAAAAAATGAATTTATGCAATACTAGAAATTTTAGACTTAATCAAAGCATTTGTACTCACTCAGTGTTTGTTTTCTGTGTACTCACCTGGTGTGACGTAGGTTTTTGAAAAAAAAAATTATCGTGCCGTTTCGATCTTTATCGAGATCATCTTCAGGGCCTGGGATTTACAAACATTGTTAACATATTACAATTACATGTTGGATGTGGAAAAGTGAATTTATACAATGCAAAATATATTTTTTATATATTCAATCAAAGTATTTTTACTCACTCAAAGTGTTTGTCTTCTGTGTAATTGTGCCATTCTTGCATGTCGTGTTGAGAATTCCAGTGAGATGTATACAAATGCCTTATATAGTGAGATGCCTATGTCTTTTCTAACAACAATGTCTTTTCTATACAGACTTCCTTCCCCACCCCTTCAAAATCCAACGTATACACAAAATCTCACGCACTCTCAACACAACACACAAGAATGGCACAATTACACAGAAGACAAACACTTTGAGTGAGTAGAAATACTTTGATTGAATATAAAAAATATATTTTGCATTGTATAAATTCACTTTTTGCACATCCTACGTGCATTTTTTAAATTTAAACAATGTGTAAATCCCTGAAGATGATCTCAATAAAGATCGAAACGTTGGCACGATAAAGAAAATGTTTTTCTGAAACCTACATCACACCAGACATCGCACAATTTCTAAATAAATATCGTTTAATGGTCACTAATCACCACACATAAAATGAAAAAATTAAACAATATATTTTGCAAATAAAATATAAATACATGAGTCATCATAGTAACAGTTTGTTTATATCCTACATTGAAGTAAGAACACTTATAGCATCTCCATTGGATTTCCTCATTAGTATCTTACCTCCACAAAGCCGTAGATATTTGTAGTTTTTCCATTTTAATATTTCTTGTAGCGTTGAACACTCTATGACGTGTTTCGGGGCAAACACATTCATTTATGTACAGGGGAAATAAAGTAAAATCAAATAAAAATTTAATTTGAAAATAATGTTATTTGAAATGTAATATTTCACGAAAACTGAATCCAGCGTTTCAAACTCTAAAAATAACAAGTTCACACAAAAAGAAATAAAATTCATTCAAATGTAAACTAAACAATTTTTATTAATTCCAGCTTAACAATGTAATTTCAGAGAATTAAAACTATCTTATTAAATTAAATATAACAGGAGGAATAAGCCGAATTTCTTTTTCCATAAACTTAAAATCAGAAGTAAGCAACATATATTTTTAGTAGTTCATGTTTTTTTTTTTTAAATTTCAAAAATAATAGGTGCTACAAATCACAACAAATTCAATTTTCTAGTTATACTTTTGATAATTGAGTCGTTTCAATATAAATATGTACAGTTTTTTTCTATATGACAAAACGAAACATTTTGCACAAATCTATCAACAATAATACATTATGAAAAAGAGAAAGAAGAGAGAGAGAGAGAGAAAGAGAGAGAGAGAGAGAGAGAGAGAGAGAGAGAGAGAGAGAGAGAGTGTGTGTGTGTGACAATTTTCAAAAGTAACCTCATTTATTAATATGTAATACTTTTAATTACTAATACATAACAAACTAGAAAAGGAAAAATCAACTTTATTTAATATAGCATTTGACCATATGTTAAAAATTCAGTAAGGGAGGGGGAGAAAAAACATGCGTCATAACATCTGTATTCACCTTTTTTAAAAATAATTATACTGCAGATTGTTAAATATGCTAATCATTTCCTTCATAAAAAAATTATATATATTCACCAATACCAAATCTAGATGCCATAAAATCATTATTCTTGTTATCAACCTAAGCATTTAAGGTTTAATCTAGCTTTCAAGTTTATTTTTAAAATAAAATAACATGTATTAAACATTTTCATACTAAGTTACAAATAGTACATAATTTTTCTTTTTTGTTCAAAACCCTACATAACATTTCGGTGCACTTTCGGTTAGTTACATCTGGTTCCTTAAGGATGGGTCTTACTGATTTACTAGTTCAATAATGGCATTTAGAGTTATGCTATTAGTAAATTCTGTCAAGAAAAAAAAATTGAATATATGTACAATTGATTACTTTTAGTGTTATACATACTATTTTAAATAACAAGAATAAATGTGTATGACATTTTACAAATTAATTTTTTTTTATCCTTTCTGGCTCCATTCTTTTTAACTTCTTAACTCCATATAAATTTTATTAAAAAATTCTGTGTATGTGTTTGTTTAACATGCATAATATAAAGAATGTTTTTAATTAATGTATATTCAATAGAAAGAGAAACAATTAACAAAAATGGTAACTTTTTTTAATATATAGCACTAGCTTACAAATCTAATTTATGGTACAATAAAGCACATTGTGAACACTGTGAATACATATTCTTATATTATAATAACAAGTTTATAATTTGTCATGTTAGAAAAAGACAACTATAAAATGGGGGGAAGAAGAAAAACTTTTAACTTACTACTTGTTTAACACTTCCAACAATGATAAATTAATAGGAAATATCTTCTAATAACAATTAATGAATAAATGTTTAAAACAACAGGCAACAGATTAAATAAAAATAAAAATATATATATATTTTGATATAAAAGTGGGAATAACATCAAATGACAAAAAATATTTATCCATTTGAATTGTTTAGTTTAATTCTAGTGTAAACTGAATAATGAAAAGAAATTAAATTTATGACAACAAAGTTCTTACTAAATTGCTAGTTTTGGTTCTATCAAGCAATTAAAAAATAACTTTTTTTTCTTGTTTGTTAGTTGATGTATTGTTTAAAATATATATATACAAAACATTAAAAACTAAAATAAAACAAAATCATAACACATAACCATTGAAAGTGTTAACTATTAAATAAGTTTTGTTATTAAATATTAATTTTTTTAAAGAACCTGTGAACAAGATAAAATACTATATAAATTCCATTTGAAAAAAAAAAATCTCAACAAAAATAAAATTTCACAAGTACAATAGTAAAAATTATCTTAATTTATTTAACTGTATGATTGTTCAAATTGTAACATCATGGAAAAAGAAAAAAAAAAATAACGAGAAAATTCTACTTTGTTCCTGCATTCAAAACAAAATTTCAATCGCATGAAATTTCGTTTTAAAACTGGCTGACGCAAATTATCGAAATGCGACATTTGAATCTCATGATGTACATTGTCAATGTGGTGAAGTTATTTAATTTATTTTTATTGCTTGAAACAATCAAGATTGTTTATCGCAACCAACGTATTCTGAGAAAATGAGTGGGCTTCTTTTTCCATTGTTCAAACTGCCTTTTGCCTTAAAGCTTAAATTTAAATACCGCCTTATCTTATTCGTAAACTGGGGATCATAAAATGAATCGACTATTTTGGGTCTATGCCATCTTTGTTAGTACTTGACTATATGTGTTTAAATCACACTAGATGTAATACTTATTGAATAAAATATCACATTTCATTTCCTTTGTCGAACCGCTTCCTTTCCATGGTCTGGTGTATTTTTCCTGCAACAAAGTTTTGGTCAATAAAACTGTCACACAAGGCTACAAGACAACAGTATATTTACTGTTCTGGGCTGATGTCTGTATCACTTTCTTCTAACTCGGACTTCATACGATTTCGTTCATAAACTAAAATAATGGCACATAGTACGATGACTTCGGCACAGATGCCAATAAACGGCCACAACGCTGCTAATTTATCTGAAAATTATTAGGAAAAATTTACTTAAGAGTGAATATTTACAAAAGCTTAATAAGAAATAACAAAAATGTTACTAACAGCTTACTAATAAATAAAAAGTACACAGATATATTTTAAATTGGACTTAGCAATAATAACTACTTGACATTTTATCTATTTGATTGCAACGTATTCATAGCATAACAGGCTCATTTTGTTGGTCTTTCAACATGTTTGTTATGCCGTCATTCTGGAACAACACACCTAACCCTTCCCCATAGGGTCGTGGAACCTCTTCTAGAAAACCCCAGCTTTTTTAAGCTTATTGTAGGGTGCTTAAGTATTTTTGGAACCGAATCAGTGTTACAGGCCTTTAGTACTGAATTGCCAATGTTACTGTGAAGGCCATGTTTCAATTTGACTTTTAAAAATTTTTTTATTAAAAAAAAAAAATGTTTTTCTGTATTTTGGGAGTGTCTTTACATATCAGTTAAAACAAAAAACAAAATCTGAGCTAAATAAAACCACATATGATCAAAGAAAATTTCCCAGATTTACCGCATTCCCCGTGTCACCATTATATAAAAACAGCAGAATACAAAATCATGTTTCACAACACTTTCACACAAAACCAATACGACACCACAAGAATAGCACCACATTTTATGTGAGTATGAAATACTTGGTTCAAAATTTATATTTACATCTTAAATTGTATTTTTCCAATCAACATGTTTTGTAATTTACCCAGGCCCTGAAGATGATCTGAATAAAGGTCGAAACATCAAAAACCAAATCAAAAGGTTGATTGAAGAAAATTCACATAAGACAACACGAGAAATTGCGGGAACCAGTCAACCATTGCTCGCCATCTGGAGCAAATTGGTACGGTAAAGAAGCTCGACAAGTGGGTACTGCACAAACTAACCAAACCCAAAAGAACTCGACGCTTTGAAATTTGCATGTCTCTTCTGTTGCACCACCAAAATGATCCATTTCTTGATCAAATCATCATGTGTGGTGAGAAATGGATTCTATACGATAACGGAAGGTGTACAGGTCACTGGTTGAACAAGGATGAAGTGCCAAATGCACACAAAAAAGGTTATGGTGATTAATTAAGGTTTTTAGTTGAGATAAAAAAGTCAATGGCACGAGCGGGATTTGAACCCACGATCTTCAGCTTGATACGCCGCTGCTCTACCACTTGAGCTATCGTGACCTCGATCCACTCGGACACCAACTTCCCATCTCAACCGCACCTTTTGAATTTTCCCTCCTTTTTGCCATTTTTCAAGTGGGTTCGAATCCCGCTCATGCCATTGACTTTTTTATCTCAACTACAAACCTTAATTAAATGTAATATATTAATTGGTCAAGCAGACCACAAAATTAGTGAAGTTATGGTGACTTTGATGGTGTACTGCTGTGGTCGTTTACTATAATTTTCTGAATTATATTAAGAAATTATGGTGATCATAAAAAGAAATCATTTTCAGAGCAGATTTCAGAGCACGCCACTTTTTTTATGAAGNGTTGAACCGAAAGTTCTCACAAAAGATTTCGTCCAACTTTTGTTCACCAACTTAAGAAAAAACTTGGCTCACGAGAATATGCCTTGTAGTGATAATTTAAATAAGTGTTAAAAAAGTGTCATAGTTTGTGATCTTAGTTTTAAAAAAAAATATATACCTTTTACTCTGACAAACATCGAAGTTTCAATGGTAAGATTTAATATGTCGCTTGCTTGATTCCAAACTCTACAAATGTATTCACCACGGTCTGACATATCAGCTTCATCGATTTGCAAATTCAGTACAAAGGGACTTCCTTGGCTCACTTTAATCCTGTCAGATTTTGTGGATGTTGTGTCACTTGGGAATGTTTCATTTCCTGAAATAAAAGAACGAAACAAAATTCTTCAGTTGGAAGTGAAGCTTGAAAAACAAGGCTTTCATAAGTAAAAACTTTATCGTGTATGATTTTGTCAATTATTTCAACAATTTTTTGATGATATATAAGCGCATAAATAAATCATCGTATAGTTATGATGGCAGTATAAAGCGAGGAGAAAAAATATAGGAAATAGAAGTAAGTTCAACATACCAAATCGCCATTCCATTTTTGGTGCCGGATTCCCTTGTGCTATACATTCAAGAGAAATTTTCTGACCTTCTATAAATGCGCCTTGGGGCATTTTCTGCAGAATCTTGGCTGTCGGTTTGCCTGGAATTGAAATATAAATATATATGTAAATTGTGTTAGAGGTGTTAACTAAAACATAGGTTTAGTTTCTTTAAAGTATTTGTACTTACCAATAGCAATAATTTCAGCAGATTTAATATGCTGTTTACTAGTTGTATTTTCTAGTACACATGCATATATACCCATATCATCCTCAACAGTTCGGTGTATAACGAGTTGGCCATTAGGTTTTATATCTAACTTTCCTTCACTGGGTTCAACCATTATGTCATTTTTTTTCCTTTAACAGTAATAAAATACATTAATTTCATTGAACAATTATTTCATAAATATAAATAGATTAATAAAAATATACCATTTTATGGCTAAATCTGCTGTCAGAGGGGCTGAGGCATTGCATTTTAAAGTGTTTGTGAGCTTGTAGTCAAACACTTTATAATTGGCGCTATCAGTTACTGGTTTTAACTCAATTTCTACAACATATCAAGAATTAATGTTATACTAACAATAAGATTAATAATGACAAAAAAATCAACATTTATTCTGACAGGGGTAATTGTCACCCAAAATTAATTGAGAGATGATTAGCTTTCTGGGCCAACAGTGTCCCGATTCTGGGGATGTGAAATAAAAAGAGGGCTTAAATGGAAGGGCTAGAATGTGACAAAAGGTTAGTGTGGAACTTCAGGAAAAGGAATGGATTGTCTTGAATGAAGGAAATGTTGAGGCGATTGTAGTGAGGTTAGAGACGTGGTAGGGAGCTTGGAGAATTCTTCTGAAGGCTTTTGATTGGAAATGATCTCAACTTCAACACATCAAGAAGTAATGTTTTACTATGACAAACTAAAGAAAATCAACGTTTCTTCTGAAAGGGATAATTGTCACCCCCAATTAGGATGGCGAATGGGTCTCTGGGCCAATGTTGCTCAAATCCTGGAGATGAGGGACAGTAGAGGGTTGAATGGAAGGATTAGGGTTTGATGAATGGTTAGTTTAGTGTGGGACTTCAGGAAGCAGAATGGATCAAATCTTAAATGAAGTAAATGTTGAGGTTATTGTGGTGAGGTTAGAGACATAGTAGGGAGCTTGGATAATTCTCCTGAAGACTTTTAATTGGAATGCTTGTGTAGTTTATTGGATGGCTTGATCATATCCCACAGTTGTGCTTCGTTATGTCAAATTTTGTTCATAGCAGTCTTCTTACTTGTCTAAGACAGTTCTTGTCGCTTCAGTCTTGTACAGGGATTCCACTGTTTGTGTGGATGATGGTAATTCCTTGTCACTGGCTTATAGTCTAGAGCAATTTGTTTTAATATGATTTGGGAGCATTTATCCTTGTATTCCATCAGCTATTTTTTTAAGATTGCACAAATCTTCGATGAACTCGAGGTGTTCCTAGATATTGGTTGTGGCTAGTATGTGATTCGGATCTACATATAATACTGTTGTACCATCAACAAAGGTTGACAGGGTGTGTTCGAATGTATTGATAGGCCAACAATAAATTGCTTACAGGATGGTCTGACAATGCTCCCCCCCCTGTGGGACGACCAATCAGTTTTATCTTATAAATCCATTGCTGATGGGTTTGTGAGGTTTAGGTATGAGAATGATAATAGAGTATTTACATTGAAAAGGAAAGAGAACAATTGAGTTGTATACTTTAATTTAAGAAAAACTACTGCCTTCTTGAGGAGGCTCTGGAGAATTAATTGTTTATGAGATCATGTTTGGAGGATTTCTTGCTTGAGGATTTGTGAATATGAAATGTGACCTCTGATATCTTGAAAAATTTGAAGATAGTTGTGGCATTTTAAGGTACTGTTATTTGCACAGGACGAGGGAGAAAGGTTTGTTGAAGGTGGGTTGAGAATAGGTTGGACATATCATCCCAAGATCCATTAGGTAGATAGATCTACTGTGCAAACATTTTAAAATCATTTTAGTAGTGAGCCATAATGAAATTCAAAATTGAATTTGTAAAGAATGAAAAGAAAGATTCAAATCTGAATTTTGGGGTCAATAGGCATCTCCAGAACCCTGTTTGCCTGAAACCTCTTCACACTAGCAGAGGATGTGTTCCGCTGTCTCTTCTTCTGCCTGGATAATTGACCGGAAATCATACAAGTTTTTAATTGTTCCTGAATTGCTAAGTAGCAGGAACTTGGTAGGATCTTTATTCCATAAAAAAATATATTCTTTATCAAATTTGGCAATTTGTTCATGAATTTACAAATTTCACAGGTTTTTGATAAAATGTTCCACTGTGAAAGGAACAATGCAACCGAACAAATACAATTAAAGTGGTTTTTTTTTATTCCCCCCATAGCATTACCTTTTTTTATGTCACAAATAATCAGCTGTCGCCTACTAATCTGATTGATTGCCTGTATTTTTTTAAATTTTGATTTAGTACATTTCACTTTTATCTCTGTGAAATTCAATGAAAATCATTATCTTTTCCTACCATTTGGTAATAAAGTTAATAAATCAAATAATTAAATTCTGCACTAATGAAATAATTAAAAAATTGACATGGCTTATATTTTTTTAAGGTTTAAGGAGGGTTTACATAATGTAATATTGACAATATGAATATACATATGGTTTTTTCATATTATCTGTAATTGTATAAGACAAATGTGCAAGAAAATATATTCTTGCATTTTGTGCAGGGTATTTTTTTTCTCTCTAAATGACAATGGGAACCCCCGGTAAAGAATGTATTACATAATAACTACAAATCAAAGGGGTGTGTCAGTGTGAAATGTCAAGGAGAATTGGACACCAATTAATCCATTTGCAAAAGTGCCCAAACTTCTATTTAATAGGTTTATAAGGTTTTTGATACAACTCTAGGCGATGAGTGTCTATCAGTTTCTTCAAGGTCTCGATATCTGCCCAGGCACAATGACATCCAGAAAAAAATAATCGACTCGAAACTGGGAAGAGAATGAAAGTTTCTTTCAGTTCAAAGCAGTGTACGTTTTTAAAAAGTTTTTCGAATGGGTATGACAAGAATTTCTATCAGGAACTTATCTTTGTAAAATATGTACAAAGTAATAAATTAATTATTCATAAGTATGTCTTATTTTATTTTTAAAAATACATTAAAATTTTTAAGTGGTTTTAAAAGTATATTTGAAAATCGTATCTACGTAGACAATAAAATCAAACTACACCAGACCTTATCTCACGATTTCTGAATATCATCGACTAACGGTCACTAATCACCACACAGAAATCAAACTTTTGGATTGTTAAATGATAGTTAATATTATGAAATTATAAGATAAGAGATTCTGTGTAAAGACAACTATTAAATTTTTTGCATATTATTTGTGGTTGTTTAAAAAAAAGTACAATAAAAAAGAATTTAAAAGGTTTGGAATTGTCCTATGGTGCTATGAAAGGTCATACTTGGCTTGATTTGCCATAAATGAATGAAAATAAACCAAGACTTTGCAAAATCTCAGGAATTGGACAAGGGGGCCAAACCATATTTCAATACTTTTTCATACTGTTCTCAATTCAAAAGCCATAGGCTAGCCAAAATCCGAACCCAGGATTGCTAATGTGGCAAATACGAGCTGGACCCCCTAACCACTCGGCCCCCTAAAAGTGAGGTTATTCCTGTCTTATAGGAGGACTGAAGTCGTAGTACCCTTTGGATGTTGAGGACAAAGGGGTCAAACCACTTTAGAATACTTTTTTCATAATATTCTCAATAAAAATACATGGGCTGTGCCAGGGTTCAAACCCAGAACTGCTAGTCTAGCAAATGCGATTCGGACACCCTAACTACTAGGCCATTGCAGCCCCCTAGCTCCAGCAGTATTTTATTCACTTGGGAAAGAGTTTTTTCATTCTGTGACCATTGATAGCCTATTATACTGATTTTTACACAATACTTAAACACTAAAACTTTATATATAAAAAGTTTATTTAGTTGATCAACAAGTGGAACTTTTAAAATTGTGTCCCCAAATGATGGAGTTCCACCGCAAAACCACCTCAATCAACAAAATATCAACTATTTTTCATACTGTTTTCAGTCTTTAAATTTTACATAGGGCATTACATATATTAAAGGATTGTGTAAAATAAAAAGAAAACCTGCTGAACTAGCACTGATTGGGTTGATTTCACTCGCGACCCAATGCCGGTTCAGCATAAGTTCACTTACTCACAGACCAACACCCAGTATTGACTCTAAAATGAAAACTGCTTATATGGGGGATTGTAGAGAGCCATGCCGGGAACTTCTGAGATAGACAGCCGGTGGTGATGGTTGATTTTTTATACAAAGGTTTTTCAGTTGTTCACCTGTGACAATCGGTGAGTACAACCAAATGACTGCAGACAGAAGTACTATTTTATAAATAATTGCTGTTCTTTCCACAAGCATCAAAAGAAATCCTATACGGTTGAGTATACAGGGTGTTCGGGTACTCGTGTTGCAAACTTTGCCCATAGATTGTACATTCAAAAAGGAACCGAAAAGTCCTAATTAACTATGGTCTGAATCTCAGCAGTTTCGGTTATTCCACTTTTTCTGATTTGTTCAGATTTCACGACCTTGCTTCAATTCATTCAAAATTTCCGTTTTATTTTTTATTATTGTTAATCTTTCCACCTTACCAATCCTTCAACCACGGTTTTTCCTTTGAACAAAGTAATTAAAAAAAAAAGCAATTGCACCACTAAAAAAAAAATTAAATGGAGTAAGTTTTCTGAAATTTGCTGGTCTCTAGGTTTGTAAATAGTAGTTTAGAATCACCATTGTAAGTTTTTCAACTTTGAAAAAAAAAAAAAAAAAGCTCGAAGTCCTCGCTACCAAAACGCTTATTTCACGAAGGTTTACAATTTAGTATTGATCACATCTTTCGGTTATTCCACTTTTTCTGATTTGTTCAGATTTCGCGACCTTACTTCAATTCATTCAAAATTCCCGTTTTATTTTTTATTATTGTTAATCTTTCCACCTTACCAATCCTTCAACCACGGTTTTTTCTTTTCCTTCATCAATTTCTTCATCTTTGAACAAAGTAATTATGTTTGATGAAGAAAATTAACTTAGTTTTCAATGGTAACAACGGATTTGTCCAAAACCTTTTAGTTTTGGAGTTATCATTGTTTATTTGAAGCAAGGTCGTGAAATCTTAAAAAATCAGAAAAAGTGGAATAACTCCTAAACTGTTGAGATTCGGACAATAGTTAATTAGAACTTTTTGGTTCCTCTTTGAATACAGAATCTATTGGCAAAGTTTGTAATACGGTAGCCGAACACCCTGTACAAGTCAAGTATAAAGTGGTGATGTCAACATAAGCCACTTTTGTAGCCATTGACAACTTTTTATTGAAAACTAAAAATATGTGGCAGAAAATAGAATGACACATATTTACTTGTTGTCAATGTTTATCTGAAAGATGCCTTTCATTTCCCATTATTACTAAAGAAAGTTAAATTGTTTGAATGTTTTTTTCACTAGATTTCAATAAGACTGCTTTTTTGACATAAATTGACTAAAGATCATTTCTTTAGCAATAATAAGCTGAAAGGAGACAATCACTGGTGTCGAAATCTAGCTTAAATTAAAAAAATGTGAAGAACGTTGGAAATTTAAGACACAGAACAAAATCAATCTTGTGCAGAATGTACAAATTGGGCTGCTTACCTACGGCTGAGATGTGCGATATGCAAACTGTACACAAAAACAGGATTAAAGACGACATCGCATAAAAATGTAATTAAACCGAAGAAATGTTAAACTGTGAGGAAGTGGGCGGAGGCTGTCTCCGATGGGCTAAAACGGCAGAGAAAATGATGAACGGATTATCAGGTGAACTTCAACCATCAACCATCAGGCAGTCCTGAAAATAATGAAGTAGACGAAGGGTCTTCGGTCGGGCGGGCCGCAATGACGAACGTCAAGGACGGCGTGACGCAATAAAAGGAAGGAGACGTGATTTGCAAGGCGGAAAACAGTTCATTTTCGAAATCCATGACGTACACGGACTTATTCTGCCACCTGAAGATTTTGGTGGCCATTCACGATCGCTCCTAGCAGTCCAAATGGAGCGACGCCGTTCCAAAAACCACGTCAATGGCAAAACTGAACTGGCGTGCCCGGCTGTGTCGAATTTCGAATATTCGACCGGTCCAAACTCCATCGCGCCACTCAAAATATCTACGGCGCGACGACGGCATGGCGCGTTCGTGAATGGGAAAACCTGGCGTGGAGGGTGGGGATTTTGGCGCGCTGGCCTGGTCGTGAATGGGAAAACCCTTGTTTTTTTGGAGCAGTCTCCGTCTTCCTGTCACTGAGCAAACATCTCCGTCGTACATTCTCAAAAAGTCAAAAACGTTTATTCTTTATTGGTAATGACATCCAATCGAGATTTTATTGTTGAGGTGATTGAATTGTATGAAAGTTTACCATGTTTATGAAAGTGGTGGACAATAATTATATTACCACGATAGAAATAAAAGAAATTCGATCCTCAGCCAGTTGGTCGACGTTTTTAAAACAAAGGATACAAATGCAATGAGAGATGCGGTATTGATAACCCCTAACAATGATCAGAAATCGTAGTAGAGAACTTAAATTCTTTGTAGTTCATCCCTGTAGCGAGAAATCGTAATGTGGTTGCCAACCTTTCATGCAGTGATGATTTCTCTCATGACTGTCTTTTGATTTCTAATCAAGGGGGAACAAGCTGGAGTAAATATAAATAAGACGTTAATCTTTTTTTTTTATGTAAGTTTTGGTTGAAATGAAAAAATAGTTTCACGAGGGGATTCGAATCCACGACGTTCGGCTAAATACGCCGCTGCGCTAACCACTTGAGCTATCGTGATTTCAATAGTTCGATACACTCGGGCACCATCTCAACCTACAACCTTTCGAATTTTCTCTCTTTTTGCCATTTTTTGGTGTCGGAGAGGATCGAAGTCACGATAGCTCAAGTGATAGAGCAGCGGCGTATTTAGCCGAAGGCCATGGATTCAGATCCCGCTCGTGGCACTAGCTTTTTCATTTCAACCAAAACCTTACAAAAAAGATTAAATAATTGAAAGAAGTACTTTGGTCAATAGAACACTAAATAAGACGTTTCATCCATCCTTAAATAGTTCCTCCAATCAGCGGGTTCAAGGGAAAGATATTTAATCAAATTGATGTGGGTATTACGGCTTCTGTTCAGGAGCCACTTCTTACACCATTTCCTCTTCGATTTTTTGCTTTTAATATGTAAATAAACTGAAGAGTAGCACAAGAGATCGTCATCCATTTTGAGAAGGTAATTCACTGGTTGACGTTCGGAGCGACTGGCCATGGAGCGGTCGTGAATGCCCCCTCAAATTTCAGGCACTCCAAAGTCGAAATGGAGCTGTTCGGCTTGGCGCGGTTCCATTTTAGTGATCGTGAATGGCCACCTAAAGGCATCTCACTATATAAGGCATTTGTATACATCTCACTGGCACTCTCAACACGACACGCAAGAATGGCACAATTACACAGAAGACAAACGCTTTGAGTGAGTAGAAATACTTTGATTGAATATAAAAAATATATTTTGCATTGTATAAATTCATTTTTTCCACATCCTACGTGTATTTTTTAAATTTAAACAATGTAAATCCCAGGCCCTGAAGATGATCTCAATAAAGATCGGAACGTTGGCAGGATAAAGAAAATGTTTTTCTGAAACCTACATCACACCAGACCGCATCTCACGATTTCTGAATAATTTATAAACTAAATATAAATTATATTACAATTAATTAAGGTTTTTAGTTGAGATAAAAAAGTCAATAGCACGAGCGGGATTAGAACCCACGATCTTCGGCTTAATACGCCGCTGCTTTATCTCAACTAAAAACCTTAATTAATTGTAATATTCACTAATTTCGTGGTCCGCTTGACCAATTAAACATTACAATTAATTAAGGTTTTTAGTTGAGATGAAAAAAAGTTAATGGCACGAGAGGGATTCGAACCCACGATCTTCGGCTAGATACGCCGCTGCTCTACCACCTGAGCTATCGTGACCTCGATCCACTCGGACATCAACTCCCCATCTCAACCCCACCTTACGAGTTTCCCTCCTTTTGCCATTTTTCTCGTGCCATTAACTTTTTTTCATCTCAACTAAAAACCTTAATTAATTGTAATTGTAATATATTAATTGGTCAAGCGGACCACGAAATTAGTGAATTTAATAAATTATATTCTTGTGGAAAAAGTTTACATATATTTTTCAAAAGTATTTTTTTTTTGCCGCCAATGCGACATTCGTTCCAAACCGACTCACTCGTTCTTACACAGTATAGTTCGTTCATGACCGACTCACCCGCCCTCGCACAGTATCGCTCGTTTCTGACCGACGCACCCGTCCTTGCACAGTATCGCTCGTTCATGACCGATCCATTGACATTTCGTACGTGTGTCATGTGATGTGGATAGAGTGTCCACTGGCTTCGCCTCACTTGTTTTGTTTATTCGTCAAGTCGGTCTCCGTTTTATCATCTGTTGATCGTCTAATTGAAGACTGTCGGTCAAAAATGGCCTATTCAAAGGCTGGGTTGTTGACTGCTTTGACTTGTTACTCTCTTGGAAACGTCTTTGTGTTCTCCCTCGTCCAACGCTGTTTGCCGACCCCTTACATCGACGAATTTTTCCATGTCCGCCAGGCCCTGCAGTACTGCAACCACAATTTTACCCACGTCAGTGCCATAAAAACGCCTCTTATTACTCCATTTCATTTGGCCCTCTGCCCAAAAGCTGGTATAAACACCGGCTTTTAATATTTTATGTGTTGTATTATTATTATTTGTTTTTTAAATATGAACTAAACGTATGCCACACATAAGCAATGCAAGTATGCAAAAAAAGGTCCCAGGCATTGCACAATATACGAGTACATCATTGTGTTTGAAGAATATGAGTTACATGTTTAACAAAAAGTTCCCACAAAGCATCCAAAACTCAACTATTGTTGAGATAATTAACATTTTATGGATTTTTTTAAAATTTTACTTGGCTTCCCTGAAATGTTTTTGAATGGTTCTGGCAATAAAATATTCCAGAACAAATGAAAACATGATGTTTTCATAAAGTTGTTGACACTATGATAAATATTTTTAAAATATTCAATGATCAGACCATGGTTTATATGAAATTTTGCTTGATTTGTACTGCACTGAAACGTCCATGTATGGCTGGTAAATTCTAACATAACCTAGATCCCATTGGTCAAATTGACAGAAACTAACGGTAGAACTAACTAAATCTAGGATGTATTAGGACTAGAATAACAGTCTGTTAACTGGACACTGCAGACTCCGCATAAACAAGCCAGTGCAGATATTCTCAGGAAGAAGAAAATACAGCATATTATATCCTCTGTTGGTATGAAGGCTTATGCAGGCTGAGATTCCTACTCATGGGAGATGAAAAGCTAAGGCCTGAAGAATACATAAGAGAACCCTTTCCAACAGGTTTCTTATAGCAGAGGGGCAATGGGAAAGCCGGTAAACTGTCCAAGGAAAGTTAGATGAAGACACCTACACGCTCTGAACACTTTTGCAGCTACTGAATTGCCAAAAATGTAAATCTCTCAGACAGTGGTTAAAATTAAGATGTTCAATGAGATTATATTTTTGGACAAAAGCGAAAAAGTTCACCAAAAGACCATCGCAGAGACTAATGGCAGAACTATTAACCTAGGGTATATAAAGGCTTGAATAATTGGAGGACTGCTGATTGGACACAGCAGACTCCAGAGGCATATAAACTCGGATCAACAGAATCAGGCATGTGCAGATGTGGCCGGGAAGAAGGTGGAACATGTCCTCTGCTGGTGCAACGTGTGCAGACTGAGATTCCTACTCCTGGAGCAGAAAAGCCCAGACCAGAAGAATACACATGTTTTTGACAAGGATTGGGATCTGATAAAAAGCTGTAGATAATGATGAAGATTAGAATAGACCAATATTGGTCATGGTCTGCAAGGTCTCAAAGAAGCCGATTCTTTCTAAGCTTAACCTCACTAATCCTAACCCTAAACCTAACACTAATCATAACCCTAAACCTAATTCATTCGTAATCCTACACTACCTAATCTACCTAACCCAAATTATGTGCATGATTTTGTAATGATACAAAAATGGAGATGCAAAAAAATGGTGTCCAAAAACACTTATGTTATCCTGATAAAAGTTATGACCATAGTAGTACATATGTTGTATTATTGGATAAAAAGGAAATATTGACTTGGGAAACTGTAATAAGTAAATGGTTCTCATGGATTATGAATCTTGTTAAACACTTACTCTCCATTGGGCTTTTAGTGCTGAACTTTCTGTAATGAACTTTCTATGGTTCTTGCTTAATTTAAAACTAGTAGTTTCAAGCTGTATAGTCAATGAGCACAATAAAAATAAACAGTTGAATGGTTTCTATTCATGCTGTCAATATGTTTTATGGTTTAATTCAGTCATAATTTACAATACAATTTGTTTTTGCAGTGGGATCCAAAAATAACAACTCTACCAGGATTGTATATTTTGTCTATGGCATTGCATACGGTTTTTGGTATTCCTTGTACCGTCTTCTTTCTACGACTGACAAATATAATGATCTCTTACTTAAACTTTTGCCTAATCCACAATATCTTTTCTTGTCTCTGCACTTCCAGGAAGGTATGTAATAATAAATATTTCTATATAACTATTCACTAGTTTTTTCCTTCTTTCAGGTACCAAAGAAAAATAGTTTTGTTACTTGGAATACAATAAATACAGCCTTTTTTCCAGTGATGTACTTTTTCAATTTCCTTTACTACACTGAAAGCGTATCAACATTGTTCGTTTTGGCAGCATACTCATGCAGCCTAAACAAAAAGTACTGGCTATCTGCCATGTTCGGTATGTATGAAATTTATTACAATTATTGTAACAATGTATCTTTTCATAATTTTAATGTTTTGGACAGGGTTTTTAAGCATCACTGTAAGACAAACGAATGTAGCATGGGTTGGATTTCTTATGGTGGCACATGTTATAGACTACATGGCTATTGATATTCCATTTGTCCGTCGCTATTTAAATATAATATTAAATCAGGTAAGATGATCCTTATTTATTTTACTGGATGTAATAGCATTGATGTTTATAAGCGCACATATATTTTCAAGAAAAACTGAGTATAACTGTTATTTTTTTTTCCAGGGATTGCTAAAAGCAGTTGATTATTTAGTGAAGAAAGAAAAAATATACGATAGATTGGAAATTCTATTTTCAAATATAATTGGCTATTTTTTTGTATGCTTGCTATTTCTAGTTTTTCTCGCTTGGAATCGAGGAATCGTCGTGGGTGACAGGACTGCTCACGAACCTGTAATTCATTTATGCCAGATTTTTTATTTTGCAGTGTTTGTCTTAGTTTTCAAACCGAGTCTGTTCTTCAGTAAAATTAAATGTTTTATCGCTGCTTTAAAAAGGAATGTTTTCCTCTCTGTTCTTTGTTTAGGTGTAATTTCTTTAATTGTCCATGTAAACACTATGGCGCATTTGTACTTACTGTCAGATAACAGGCATTACAGTTTTTACCTATGGAGGTTCTATTGTGCAGTGAGCAGTAAAGCGCCTTTCGTCTTTGTCCCCTTGTTTATGTTTGGACTGTATTCCATTGAATCGATTATAAATTTTTATCCATGGAAATACGCCTACTATTTTTCTATGGGATTGTTAATAATCCCACAAAAACTGCTGGACTTTCGATACTATATATTGCCATTTGTATTTTTAAGATTGCAAATCTTAAAAGACGAATGGTGGCAACTGGCTATTGAAAGTCTGGCCATAATTGTGATTAATACAGTCTTTTTATATATATTCGTTACAAAAGAAATTTACTGGGTCGATTTTAAAGAACCACAACGGTTAATTTGGTAACTTATTTGACAATGAAATTCAATTTTTGTTGTCATATGATATTCTTTTTTCTTCTTTCTAATAAACGAGGCTTTATTTTATAATAATGATTCCTCTACTATATTGATGAGACTTTTAATGTAATTCCAAATAATTGGGACTACTTTTGTGATGAAGTTAAAAAATGTGATATTAGTTAATGTTAAAAATATTTAAATATATATGTTGGTTATATTTATGGTGTTTTTTTCTATATGCAAATTTTACCTAATCTTAACTACAATAATGTATTTCTTCTGAAGGTGGTATACATTCAATAAAATCATCTCTATATAAATAAGACAATTTGATATTGAACTACTGAAAAAAAAAGATATGCAGTGATTGTAGTGAATTAAACCTGTTTGTATTTTTGGCACTCCTTTGCGTAAAAATTCTAATTGTACACATATCTGGACAGCAGTTTCGGTGTCTACCATCTTCAGTGATGTCGAAGCCAAGGAAATTTTGATCATGACACCTATCAGCCCTGAAGCCTTTTGTCTCATACCAAATTTCCAAAATGTAGACCCATCAGGCAAAAGGTTAAAAATAAGTTCTTCGAAAAGGAATGTATCCCACAACAGAGGAAACAGTTCATCAAAGAACCATTGTAGAAATTAACGGAGGAATTGTTAAACCTAGAGTGATAGGACTGCTGACGGGACACTGCAGGTTGTGGAGGCATACGTAGCGCCTAATAAACTCGAAGCAGGAGATACAAGCAAATATTTCAGGAAACACTAACATGGAGAGTTGGTGCGAAGGCTTTTGTAGGCTGACATTCCTACTACTGGGAGAGAAAAAGCCAAGGCCTGAAAGATACACACAGGAATCCTGGAATCCTCAACAAAGCTTTGTGATCTGATAAAAAGCTCTAGATAATAATGGAGATCGTACAATAGACCAATAATGGTCACGGTGTGCAAGGACAGAAAAGGTCTGACCTCAATCTTATCCGTCCAGCCACCGAGGTTGGGATCCATGGTTTTTCAACTGGAGTACTTGATATTCCTCCCCCCTTTATAACCTAATTGAGGGTCGATGGGGTACTCAACAATATTGTCCTATTGGCTCTCTCACACAACACAATCATGCCAAGAAATACACGCATTGTTTCAAACACAGCAAACTTGCTGGACACAAGCTTTGGCCCAAAAGTAAGGTATCTGCAGCGATGTTGCAAGGCCTATCCTTAATCATGTGAAGATGTCCTTTCTTCTCAAGTCAGATCCTTGGGAGTCGCTCATCGACAGTTCTCTTGACATGTGGGAGCTTCTCTGCACAAAAAAATGAATAATACCAAATTTGATTTAAAAACAAAACACATATTTGTTTAAAGCTCATGTTTATTGTAAGGAAATTTCTACAGAAAATTTAAATTATAACAAGCTGTTGAATTAATGGGTAAATTTATTGTTTAAAAACCATGTTTGTATGTTGATGGACATGTAAATTCAAAAGAACAAAAGGCACTCAGCCAAATGCAACATTCTCACATTCTCTTGTCTTTTGTGTTGTACATAGAACATAATTGCAACATATAATATATATTATTTTATTCACAATTAATGCATATCTAATCAAATATTTAGAGGATATAAGTGAATATGTGATTTATAGCAAAAGGTGATTTGCCCTCATTGATTATTCTTAAATTGAAAGCATTGAAAAAAATTAAATTACTGAATTTATTCCAATAAAACAATCATAATTTAATACTGAGATATAATTACCATTATAATACAATTTATTAAGCACTTTCCTATGGACATATACTTTTAGCCACACTCACATTTTTTTTAAATATTCAAATTTCTAATCTATGATATATGCAATTTAAATAATATTTAGTCCATTACAACAAAATGGGCAGAGTGTGCTTCATTTATAATCAGTTTGCAATACACTTCATTTGGGAATAATTAGCATTTCAATATATATTACTTGATTAATATAAGCATGATTAATTGCAAATGTGAAATATTATACTCAATATATAATATTTATTAAGGGCGCTTTGTAATTTATACTATAATTTTTTAAATTTTATTTGTGCTCATTAATTATGACACTGAGAATTGTAACTACTTCTTATAAATACACACACACAATAACAAAAGAAAAGTCAAATTACATGTTACCTTTTATTAGGGGGAAGGGATGTAATTTTTATTTTTGTGGAAAATTATATTCACCAATAAGAATGATAAGAACCTACTGACATTTTTATCATGCCAATTATTGATAATTTGAGACAAATTATTATTCCAGATGTGACGTTTAAAACAATTCTACCAGAGTAGATATATTTTGTGCCTATAAGTGAAAAACAATAGTTAACTACTTAATAAAAATGTGGTAATGGACTAGTCATTTTTTGTTTACTAATTCACGATTTAATTTTACAATGGAACATTTACTATTGTAGATTATTCATATTGTGTTATAATTTTCTCACATGACACTTTTACTATCTTAAGTAAACTCTCACAATTATTAGAAACAATTAAAACAATTAAACTTTAAAATTATTTGACTGTCTAAAAATTCTATTTTAAAGATTTAATTATTTTATAATATTTTGTCATGAATGATAAAACATCAATTGTAATTATAGTTTGTTACTAATTGTTAAATGAACATGATGTTCTATTGTCAAGATTTTTTTAAATGGCAATTTTTCATTGTATTTCTGTATTTTCAGAGCATTGATATGTAACAATTCTAATCAAGAACAGTCATACATATACAAAAATTAATTTATCAGAGAAACGACTTATCCATTAAGTTTTATTAATAAGAAAACAAAACAATTGTTTGTACATTTTCTTCTTCTTTCTTTTTTTAATTTACATTTATTTTCTTTACCAGTTAGTATTTTAATATTGAGAGTTAAATAAATGGATACCATCTATATATAAGGGTATCGTTCACCATTGTTCACACACATTTAAATACATCTAACAATTTTTAACAAAACCAAGTGCACAATTATATGCACTGATTCTTTTTTATTTATTTTTTTTATTCAATCCAACTCTTCTATATATTTAAGCTAAGAAATTCACACTTAAACACTCAGTAAATGCATTATTTTATTGTAACAACAAATAATGGCGTTTTGTAGCCTTTTTAACAATATTATTATTATACTTCTACAGATAACAAGTATTTATTCAAACATTTTCTATTTTTACCAAGCTATTTGTCGATACATGCAAATAAATGGCAAAACATTTATCTTCGGGTTATATCAAGCAGTAATTTTATGTTTAACATTGTACATTTAGCATTTTATTAAATTATAAAAGAAAATTAGCAAATTAATTTTTACTTTAGGGCCAAATGAATAAACTGACACTCTTTTTTATAAGCATTACAGTAAATATTATAAATTCATATGATAACAGAATAACGCATACACACACATATTTTTTAATACTCTAGTTTCACTCAAATGATTTTCTTAATGTTTTTAATACTTAATCAAATTAAACTTTAACTGTTTCTAAGGACTACAAACTTACATTACGAACAAAACAAATGATCCATATGCAATAACAGTACTAGGTGGTTTTGTCAAATGCACATGTACAAGAACACACACAAAAATTCATCTGGATTAATTAATTACCAGTGGTTGTTGGTCCAATTGAGAAAATCCAATGCCTAAACCATAAAAATCTTTGGGGAAAAAGCAAACTTCGAAATTATCGTATTGCTGTCATTTCTTAATAATTCTTGCAGGTGTTGTACAGTGTATTCATTCATAAGTAAAATCTGTAACGGATATATGACCAAAGGAACAACTGCCTTGGAGTTATGAAAACACATGCAATTTTCCTCTATCTGATCAAATCCTTTTACTCTTTTTTAAAAGCTACTAATTTTTAAATTATAAAATAGCAAAATAATAAGATTATTTAGCTTGTGATCCAATACCATGTAAAAATTATAAGTTAATTTTTTTTGTTAAAATAAATTTTATGTAAGTTATGCATCATTACTTTAAAAATTATCGTGAAAATTAACCTATTAAAACAGATTTGTAGAACAATATAAAAATTTGCAGTACTAATTTATTATTAATAAATTTTAAGTGTTTTTAAAAAGATAACTTAAAGGATGATTTTTACAAATTCAGTAAATCTATGTAAATTACTAACACTTGCTCTGCTCAACAAGTACCTACAAAAATGACATCAATAAAAATTGTAATAGATAACAATTATTTTATTTTAATCAATTTTTTCAACTTGCCGTTGTACAATTACTTTGTTCAACTTTCATTTAAGAATAGATATATCTTAACACAACAATCATTTTCTAACCATTGACTATTTCTCTCTTAAGAGTACATTATATAATAATAATAAAATCCAAATATCGATTAAAACTAGTATTTTCTATTTTTATATCTAAAATTGTTCATTTATTTCTCTCCCTTCCCAACTATGAACCAACATGTTTATTATTTCTAAATTTGCCACTAAAGTCTTATATGTTGAAAGCTTTCCTATTTTTAAAAAGAAATATATATTTTAAGTTGATTATCTAACCCTAGGGTGTTTTGTGGTCTATAAGTGCCTCATGATGTAATAAGGGAATAAAAGACCTAGCTGTCTGCCGGCAAAAAACAAAAAAAAACTTTGATCACTGAGTGAAAATTATCATTTTATGTGTAGATGTGCATTATTAAAAACTATAGTATAATATATATCATAAATAATTGCTTTCCTCTACCTTTTATTAATGTAATTGGTTGAAATAAATGCCAATGAAGAGACAATCGTTTAAACCCATTAAAGTAATATATTGGCAACTAATATATTGTTTAGTGTTAATAAAACTAAAATTGTATTTGAATACAGAAAAATAATTCATACGGATATACAAAACACACACAAACGTGCAAGAACACAAAAAAATTGTCGCTAAACATAAACTAGTAGGCTAAAATCCAAAATGTATTAAATCCCCATTAGTCTTAATATACTGATATAATCCAAAATGCAGCACAAAAATCTTTTAGGTAAATGATCCGACTTTAAGGAAATTATTAGCTACATTTCTTTGAACAAAGAATAATTTTCCAAATTAGAAAAAAAAAGGGGGTGTGATGTGTTATATATATTATTGCTTACAATATGCGACTGCACATTAGTTTGCATGGCATTGCGTCTATAAAACTTTTTGATGAATAATGATAAAATGAACAATTTAAGAGTTTATATAATATTATTTCTTGTCAGTTAAAAGAATTAGCTGGTTAGTATGTCCTATTCCTTCTTGTTATCCATATGTATTTTGTCACGATTACATCATGTTTCGTTAGGAATATATTTACAAGTCAAATTTAATTTCAATAATTATAATGCTTTTTATAAAACTGTTACGTTATGGAAAAATGAGGTATACAGTGTCTTTAAGTAAATTTTCTTTGATATATTATTGATAAATATTTTATTTTGGGTGCAATGGAATTTTTGATGATAAGTTGTGTTTGTTCTTGTTGTTGATTATTTCTTGAATGAATTAAAGATATAATTATAATTTATTTTTCAAACAATCGTTCATTCTAAATAATAGAAAAACTAAAATAGTTTTCCTAACCATTTGTTCGAACCTAATATTATAGACATGTTTTATCAAAACAAGCATCAAAACCAATGTAGATAACAATATAATGGTTATCGATTTAGTTATTGTCGACATTAGTAATATATAGAACGTGATTAATATTTAAGACAATATACTATAAGGTATTACAACAATAATAATAAACGTATTGCTTACACCATCACCAAACATAGATATTGACTTAATGTTCCTTATATTACATAATTAAACTATTAATACAATAGCTTAAATAATTAATCATAATTTCAACTTACAGCTTTTGTATATAGTTAAAAATATATTTATGACTTTTATCAGATAACCAAAATCAATCAAAATCAACATCGTCTTTTTAAAGTGGATACGTGTACTTTGTTTTGACATCTTGAAAAAATGATTGTTTTCGAGTAGCCGTTGGGATGATAATTTACACCAATTCTGGAACTGAATAAAATAAATTAATGAAATTTTGATATGACAGGATAAAAAACAATAAAAGTGTACATTTTATTTCTTGATGGACACAAATATTTAAGAATAATATTGATCCTGGACTGAAAATATTAATTCACTTAAACTGTGATTTTACATTGGAAATTTGTTGAAACCCAGCAAATGGCAAGTAATAAATCATTTCAATTGCGTATAAACAAATCAGGGGGAAAACACTCAGTTTCTTCAACAAGTTTTCATGCGATATAAACATCTACTTACTTACAATTGTACAACCATTTGATAATTGTGTAAATCATTAAAAATAGTTTCAAAGCCTGATGCAGGACATTCCTCCAAAGCATGATGAAGGAACCAAGTGTTTTTATTTTTTTCAAATTTACCTTATCCATAATTTTTCATATACAATTATAATACACTGATGGACAAATTGAACGCACCACTCAATTTATTTAGTTTAAAATTAAACCTATTATTTTTCAACATTAGTTACAAGTAATTAGGAGCTATCGTAGTCTAAATAAAATAACAGCAAATAATGCTTTGTTTGCTTCCTTTGGTTACTTTTGTACCGATTAATTTGATTTGCACACAAAGAAGCATTATGCCCTTCCATTCTGCTATGCCAAAAGATCCTTTCAGTTAATTTTTTTCCTTTGTTGATTTCATATTATTCTTATTCTTAAACCTTTTTCAATGGCTCGATGAGTGAGCATGATAGTATAACATTATTAGAGGAAGGATACAGCACAGTCGCCAGAAGATTGAGTATAAATTTCTCAACAATAGGAAGGGTTCTTTAGTGTTTCAGAGAAACAGGGCTTCACACTAGAAGGTCAGGACAACGTCAACCTAGGTCTTTAGAGGAGAGAGAGAGAGACAATAGATTGATCCATCATCAGGCTCTGTCAAACCGCAACATTATGGGAAATAAGATAAGAAATCTGAAAAGACAAGTCTGAAAAAATGTTCTGATTTACTCCAGGACTATAAGAAGAAGGCTCAATGAAAAAAATCTCAGGGCCCAGCGCCTGGACCTCTTCTTACAGGTTTTCTTACAGCTCAGAAAATGACCAGGCTTCAATTTGCACGGGAACATGTGAAATGGACAATGGAAGATTGACGACAAGTTCTCTTTACAGATGAGGTGAGAAATGACGTGAAATCTTCGTATAGGCGTGATTTCATATTGAGACGCTAAAGAGAAAGGAATGCCCCAAGGCATGGTTCCTCAGGTGGCATTCCATGGTCGCCTGTATTGAATTGGTTGTACGAGAAAGATCTCTAACTTCACAGGGTACTTACAAGACATGATTGAAGAACATGTAGTGCCATTTGCCCCTACGACAGTAAGAGATTCTTCCTAATGCAGGATAATGCTAGGCCCCATAGAATACTTATTGTGGATGACTACCTGAATGAGGTTGGAATTGAGTGCTTGGTGTGACCTGCTCAAAGTTCAGATTTGAACCCGATTAACACATATGGGACCAACTTAAGCGACAAGTACGATGGCGAAACCTAGGTCATAACACCCTGGAAGAGTTGAAAAAAGCTGTTCTTTATGCATAAATAAAATGCATAACTTAGGATTTATCCACAGTTAATTTGTATAAAAAAATATTTTTTACAGTCTAATAATAAGCTGTAAACATATTTAGACTAGGTTAAAAGTTTAAGTTATTAATACAAAGTTAACTTTAATAATTTTATAACCTCTAATAATAATTGTATAACCTAATCATATTTAATTATGATTATCAATAAACTGCTATAAAACCATTGTGGTTCCTTTTATCAAGAAAAGGACACTAAGAGGGCTTCAGAGATTTGCCCCCAAGTGAAATATCTTGGTGCCATCATTGCCAAAGACTTTTTTTGGAATCAGCAAATAAATAGAATTTCAAAATGAATGAAAATCACCATTAGAAGTTTTTCTGGGACTAAATTTAAAGATGTCCCTAGTTATTGACAGCGGTTAACTATAATTTATAACCTATGGAATGGTGGTTGAGTGAAGACATTAGTCAGGATCTGCCTTGGATGCCCTGAATCTACATATTTTTCTCCTGAGAGAAGCTTGAGACACAATTCACAGGCTTGGATATCCGAATAAAAAGCAACAATTAAAGCTTCAGGTGAATAAGATTCTGTGGATGTTTGGTGAAAATTTCAGATTTGTCAAAAATTAATATACTGATGGCTCTAAGACTGAGTGTGGGGCAACTATTAAAATTAACTATAAACTAGAATTTATATGAGCTGTTTACAAGAGCAACCAGGTGAAACAAAAGGCAGCTACTTCATTGGTAGTAACGCCAAGAGCTGCTTGGATTTGCATTCAGGCCTTGCCATTGGGGCAACAAATTTACAAAAATTTTCTTTTGTTAACTAAAATTTCAATTAATAAATTTGCAATAAATTTTTTAAAATTAATTATTTATGTAAATAGTGAAAGTAATTTTGTTTAAAGTGATTAATAGAAATAATAATAAATACCTCATTGATATGCCATCCTTCAGAATGTCAGTTAAATTGTTTTTGTCATCTAGAATAATAGAAAAAAGGGTGGGGGATCCATACAATTTAAAAAATAAAGTAGGAACTTTTTGTACAGGTGTGGTCTGATATAAGCAAGATTTGAATAATAATTATAAATAATGAGAAATAATAAAATGAACAAAAGTTGAATAAATTAAATTCTAGTTAATGAAGCTTTTTGAAAGATTTATATACATAATTCGTTAGTATTTACATAAATATATAAACTTAAAAAAAACTTTTTAAGAAGCCAGCAGGACCAGCCTTCATGTTGATATAAAAAAAATTTTCAAAGGAAGGTCAAGGAAAAAATAGGATATGAGAAGACATTGTATTAGTAATTTTTTAATTAATTATATATCATAAATTACAAAACAACCACTGAATAAAATTATTTTTATTGCAATAAAAATAATAAATAAAACTTTCATTCAACCAATACCTTACATAAAGATTAATTAATTGAAAGAAGTTATTTGGTCAATCGGACTACAAAATATAATGGATTTAATAAATAAAACTTAGTAGTTAGTTTGTACTTCAATGTACATAGAAATAGAATCTATCACTTACTTGTGCAATAATTTTTGCACTCTAGTTTCTTTTCAAATTTTCTTTCAGAGGTTGTTTCAGCTTTTTAAATACTAAATGTAAAATGTTACCTCATCTGCTTTTCGTGCTTGTTCCCTTTGTGCATTGGCAGTTTGTAAGCTTCTAACTTTTGCTTGTGCATTTTTCAATGCGCTGAAAAAGATATTTGACATTAATACAAGGACTTTGACAGTTAACTCCATTGGGAAAACATTACTCTTGTAAATCTTTGATCATTTTATCTTTAGCGTTGTGTTCCTCTTGGGTCATTTGCATTAATTTCAAAAGACGTTCTGTTTCCTCTTGAGAGTGTTTAGCACTTTCCCTGCATGTTTCTACTTCAGCTTTAAGTGCCTCGATCTCTTGTGCATCAACACCTTTACCCTACATACAAACAATTGGTTTTTTTTTTTTAAACAAGGATATACTTTCAAAATTATCATTACAGTTAATTTATTAATGTTAGTTTCCAACGGGATATTACAAAATTATGTACCTTAGCCTCTTGATCTTTTCTTTTCTTTAGTTTCATTTCAAAGTCTATGAGGGCTTTCTCTTTTTCATCCAGTTGTTTAGATTTAGTATCGATAGCCTTTCTCATTTCATCTTGTTTCTTTCTTAGATCATCGATAACATACTTATTTTCATCAAGCTGTTTCCTATACAGCTCCATTTCTTTTCTTAACGCTTCTTCATTTCCTTTTCCTGCTGATGGTGGTGGTTTCTTGGTTGCTTCGCGAAGCTCAACCTTCAATTAATAAGGAAATTAAAATCAGACATCGAAAGGCAATTCACAAGTTGCTATAAATTATTTCTAAGTTCAATAACAAATTTTCAAACCATTTTGTATTTTTTACAGTCTAGTAAAGTAGTAAAACAAAATACATAGTATGAATGCAATAATCGTACCAAACTACTGAAATCAGAAACACAAGTCTGTCAACTTATTTAATCAACAAAGTTCAGTATTATCTGTTTACTAATTCCATTGGTTCCTTTCTAAATTAAGCAGGGCAAAAATAAAAAGTAAATTTTATGACACTCACAGTGAAAGCAACTTATAATGTAAAAAAAAGCAAAAACAAAAAAAAAACAACTAACTAAATAATATGAACACCTACAGAAGTAATGTGCATGATTTTTAATATAAGGCATTTTTTAAATGAAAATTCTTATTTTGTTGATTTGTCGGATTGAACTTGATTTAAATTATTTGCATAAAAAAGGTACCTGATTTCTTTCTAATTCTTGAACCAACATTTCAAGTTGAGCTTGTAATCTTTCCCTTTCTATTGCACCACTCTTAAGTTCTGCTTGGCAACGATCTAATTCTGTTAATAATCGTTGTACGTCCTTGGCTGCTGCTTCACCCGATTGTTGGTTTTTAAGTTCCTTTTCAAGAGCTTGTATTTTCCTTTGCATGTTCTCCTTCGTCTCTCGAGATTCTGATTGTGTAGATTGCAGTTGTTTTTCAAGAGCTTGAACTTTTTTCAGTAGGTCGTTGTTAATTGATGAATGATGAGTTTGCATAGACTGTAGTTGGTGCTGTAGTTCATCTGCTCTCATTTTCTCCATTTCAATTGCCTTTTGCCATTGTAAGCATTCTGTTTCGTATGTTCCTTTTTCTTTCATGAACTGCTGTGCTTGCTGTTCGAGTCTTTGCTGGAGTTGCATGAGCTCTTTTTCTTTGTTCTTTAAAGTGTGCTGCACAGTTAGTACTTCTTTATCTTTGTCCTGTAAGATTTGTTGCAATCTGGTGATTTCTCTCTCACTCCCTTCTCGCCCGGCATCTTTGGAAATTAATCTCCTCTGTTCAGATTTCAATCTGTCAACCTCATCTCTTTCTTTTTCTAAACGAGATTCTGATTGTTGTAGTTCAGTTTGGAATGTAACCAACATATCTTGTGATTTTTCTAATTGAAGTACTAACTGATCTCGCTCATTTGACAATTGTTTAACTTCGACTTCTAATTTTTCTAACTGTTTTTCTATCATCTCACATTGTTTTTCACGTTTATCAAGTATTCTGTTCATTTTGTCTCGGTCTTTCAATGCTTGATCTCGTTCCTGTTGAATCCTTAACATTTCCTCATTCAACCTTGAATCGACTTCTTGTTTGTTAGTTTGTTGTTTTTCTAAGATACGTTTTATCTGCTGTAGTTCACTTTCAGCCTTCATTTTATCGTCTGCCATTTTCAACATTTCTGCTTTAGCCATTTCCAATTTTTCATGCATTCTGGAGCATTCCGATGACATTCGGTCAAATTCAATTTCAGCTGCTTCATTGTTTTCTTGATATTTGCCCAAATGCATCTGAGTTTTTTCAAGCTCTCTCATCAGTCGTTTTACTTCACCTTCAGCAACTTCTCTAGATTGTGTCATAATTTCCAATCTTTCTCTCAATCTGTCCAACTCCGCCTCTCCAATGTTCCTTCCTCCACTTTCTGAACGGAGCCTGTCATTTTCAGATTGAAGTCTTTCAACTTCTAGAAGTAATTTGTTTGTTTCAGCTTCCGCTTTTTCTTTCAACATCTGGATCTTGTCCAAACGTTCTCGTAGCATACTACTTTCTATATCCATACTATTTTTGCTAGAGAGATCTGATCTGAGTCTATCATTCTCCAACTGTAACTTCTCCTGGCGGTCTCGCACTTTCTCACATTCAATGTGTAATCTTTCAATTTCTGACTGATGCTTACTCTGTGATTCTACCATTTTCGACAATTCAGTTCTACTAAGATCAAGCTCAAGTTGAACCTCGTGTATTTTACTCTCCAACCTTTCGTTTAGTTGTGATAATTTTTCAGCTTTTTCTGTTTCATGCTGATATTTGGCTCGCAAATGTTCTGCAGTATCACGCAGTCTTTCTAATTCTTCTTTACTCCTCTCTTGGGTATCTTGATACTTCCCTGCTCTGGCAGCATATCTTTCCACTTCTTCTTTCATCGATTCAGCTTCTGTATGATATCTTTCTGCCTCTAATTGTGTTTTTCTCAAATCAGTTTGTAATTTGTCATGTTTGTCATACATTTTTTCTAATTCTAACGATAATCTCGTTACTTCCTCTTGACTCTTTTCATATCCTGTTTGGGCTTTAGACATTTGCGAATGGGATCTTTCAAGTTCAAATAGCATTCGGTCCGAATCAGCTTGTAGTTTATCCCTCTCAGATTGAACCCTTCTCATTTCAATCTGACTCTTATCATACCTTTCTCTCATCATTTCCAAGTCTACTGACATACGGTCCATTTCTTCTTTAAATTTATCTTCATTTTCTTTTGTCCTTCCGAGTTGGAGCATTGCTCTATCGTACATTTCTTGAGCCCTCTGTGCTTCATCTTGAGCTTTTCTCACTTCCTCTCTTGCTTTGGTTGCTATTATTTGTAGTTTCTCTAGGTCAATTTCCAGACGATCCTTTTCAGTTTCTGCTGTCTCCAATCGGTTTTGTAGCCGGTATACCTCTCCTTGAGATCTGAAAATTGAAATTTATTTAATAACGCACTGCAACAATATTTTAAACAATCAGTAATATTTTAAAGTTTACCTGTCATATTTCTCTAACATCCTCTCAAATTCTTTGTTCGCTATATCCTTGTCTTCTAAAGTCTTTTGTAATATCATCTGGTTTTTGTCCAATTTTTCTTTCAATATTTCTATCTCAGTGAAGAGATCATCCTTTTCAAGCTTAAAAAATAAACACTTTTATAAAACTTGTACATCTAACATAAATTAGTAGTATTACAAGTTTTAACTGTTAACTAATGATCACAGTTCAGTATAATTATATTTCAAATGCACGTTATTAATATAATTATATAAGAACAATAAATAAGCAAGATTTAATGAAAACCTGGACTTTTTGCTGCGTTTGTTGAGTTTTTTCCCATCTTTCTTTAACAACTTCCAGCTCGGTTAACATATTTTCCCTATCTCTTTGAGCTTTGACCAACTGGCTTTGTTGTAGTTCAAATCGTTCTTGTATCTTTTCTAATTCTTCTTGGAAAGTTTCCTTCTCCTTTTGTAGACGGGCAACAATAACCTAACCAAAACAATTATACATAAAATAATATGAAATAAAAATTATTATTGTAATAAAATGTTGGCGTTTAGTAGCTGGCATTGAAATTTCAATTATATAAATTTTCACTATTTTTTTTTATTTTTTTTTTTTAGTTTTTCCAGCCAAAAACATACAAATAATAAGTTGGCTTACATTTGTTACAGCATGTATTTATTTAATTTTATCTTTTTCAGGATGTAATACTGCCCATTAGAAACTATAAAAATATTTTAAAATCAACAACATTATAAAACTTTTAATTCATAAATTTCTGATGAGGGGAAATGTTACTTCCTGAAACATGTAAAATTAAATGAATACATGCTGTAACAAATGTAAACCACTTCATTATTATTTTTACATTTTTAGCTGAAAAACCCATAAAATAGTGAAAACTGAGATTATTGTAATGTAATATATTTTAAACATTCAATGACATTATTATAACTGATGTATAATTACCAAAATAAAATAATATTTAATAATTATGATATTTTATGTAAAAGTAACACATAATTATAATGATTTCTCAACTAAAGTGTACCAATAATTAAATTCACTAATTTCGTGGTCCGCTTGACCAATAAATATATTACAATTAATTAAGGTTTTTAGTTGAGATAAAAAAGTCAATGGTACGAGCGGGATTCGAACCCACGATCTTCGGCTTGATACGCCACTGCTCTACCACTTGAGCTATCGTGACCTCTACGAGGTGCTATTGACTTTGTTATCTCAACTAAAAACCTTAATTAATTGTACCAATAATTATTATTTTGATTCTGTTTGAAATCCTGATATCAACAGCCTATTCTCAATCAAATTTTTATATTTTAATTAAGTAGGTTATAAATTTGTCCATATGAAAAAACTAAAACTTAAATTATACATTTGTAACACTTTATATATTTGTAAGCGGGCGCCGATGTTCTACGCGCTTCTCGTTAAGTGTTAAGAGAATATTCAGCAAAGGAGGATTGCACTCACATGGTACACATACAATCTTACAGACAAAACACAAAACTAATGACGATGAAAATGTTGAAGAAAATGGAACAAGGAGTAAAAGTGCCTACTCCGCCTAACCCGGGCCCGACCAGCCCAACAACACTCCCACCTCTCCCCAAGCCTTTGCCAATCCCCCTGAAGGATCTGTCTCATGAGAATCCGGAAGGTCCCTCTGCCACCCAGACCCATATCCCTCCACCCCTTGCACTCCCTTCAAACCCCCCACCACAACCATCCAATCCTCCTGCCATGATGGAGGATGACGGCTTCGTTCCCGTAGTTGGGAAAAGGAAAAGAGTCCCCAACAACTCACCGAAAGGGACGACAGAAAAGAAAGCTGAGAAACATGTGCCTGTGACTCCTGAGTCACCAGCACAGAAAAACAGAAAAGAAGGTAACATGGACAAAAAGGAAAAGAAAAAGAAATCGCGGAGTGGTGCCTTGTCGCTGGGTCTCGGAATAATGGGGATTACACCCCTCTCTGAGACGTACCAAACAAGATATTACAACGTAGCAAGGAAAGAGGGAGACTTCAAGTCCACTTGCCCTTTCCTTCTACATAAGGAAATAAAAAAGACCGTAGGAGTTACAAACTCCATCACAAAGAGCAGAGAGGGCAAGATATGCATTGGTATAGCAGGAAAAGAAATTGAAGAAAGACTATTGTCATTAAAGACGCTTGCTGGCCATGAGGTCGAGGTTGCCCCTCACCAAAGGCTGAACACCTCCAGAGGGGTGGTAGTATGCCGTGACCTCATGAACAGCAGCGTCCATGATATTCAAGAAGGCCTTGAGGACCAGGGTGTGATGGAGGTGAGGAGAATGAACACTCGCCGGAACGGACAAATTATCCCGTCGGCGAGTCTAATCCTCACATTCGACAAGCCAAGGTGCCCAGATGAAATAAGGGCGGCTTTCTACAAATTGAAAGTCCGTCCTTACATCCCACCTCCGCAAAGGTGCTACCGTTGCCAGAAGTTTGGCCATATTTCCCTGCGGTGTAAGTCCCCGCAGGAAGTGTGTGAGTGTGGGAGGGAAGCTCATCCGAAAGAAGCTAGGTGCACCGACCCTCCCACTTGCGTGAACTGCGGGGGATGCCATACGGCTCGATCCGCCAGCTGCCCTGTTCTCTCCAAAGAACGAGAAATACAAAAACTCAAAATAATAGACAAAATGAGCTTTCGAGAGGCCAGGGCAGTAGTCGAAAATAGGGGCACTGCGGGGACCTACGCCCAAGCTGCGGCTCGTCCCGCTCCTGGGCTGAGGGTCCCGGAACAAACCCTTGCGGCTGCTCCTCCAAAAGGAGAAGTCGCCAAAGCCCCCCCAATGATGGCGGGGGTAATAGAAAGGGTGGCTGATGCCACCCTCTCCCAGAAGAGGATGGCAACATCCTCTTCCCAAACGTCTCCGGCACGGGGAATCGCGGCTAGCCATGAAAAGCAGCCCGACAAGCCGGGGACGAAAATGGCCCCACCAAAGCTGCCGCCACCCTCGGCGGTAGCCTCAACACCAGCAGGCCCGTCACGCCTTAATTGGCTGACGGATATAGAAATGACGTCTGGGTCGGAAACATCATCGGCTGGCCCTGATCCTCCTGCTCGGAGGAAGAAAGGGTGGCAGAAAGGTCGACCCAGATCGAATGTGAGAAAAAAGAAACCGACAGAAAGCGACTAATGGAGTCTATTCTACAATGGAACTGCAGGGGTATAAACAATAAGCGACACATGCTGCAGTTAATGGTCAGGGAAAATGAACCGATGGCGATACTCCTACAAGAGACCCGAATCCGCCCGGGGGCGCGCCTCGAACTGAGGTGAACAAAACCTTCTCTAAAGAGGTGCAGCCGGATCCGGGCGCTAGGGCGCATGGAGGAGTGGCCATCTTAATAAGAGAAAACGTACCGGTACATGAGGTGAGGATAAACACTGAAATACAGGCGATCGCAGCGAGGATAGCGGCGCCGATGAACCTCGCTCTGTGTTCCGTCTATCTGCCTCCAGATGGATCGTGGCACAGCAGTGAGGTCACTGCCCTGGTCGAGCAGCTCCCCCCGCCAGTTTTGGAGTTGGGTGATTTTAATTCGCACAACACATGGTGAGGGTCGACGCGAACAGACGCTAGGGGCAGAGAGATGGGGGACCTAATAGGCGAGTCCGACCTGGTCCTCCTAAACACCGGCGCTGCTACACATATTGATTTTAGTACAGGCCGATTTAGCGCGATCGACCTGTCGTTAGCCTCACCATCCCTGGCCACCCGGGTAGAATGGGCTCCATTGGGGGACCCCCACCTAAGTGACCACTTTCCGATAGTGTTGAGGAGTTCCGTCTCGAGAGGATTATATCACACTCCTACGAAGTGAAGCCTGAATCGTGCGGATTGGGAGCTTTTCTCTGCGACGATGTCGGCACCTCAGTTAACAGGGGATGTCGACACTGATCTCCTCCTATTCGAGCGAGAGATCAACCGCGCAGCGGTCAGATCCATCCCCAGGAGCGGTGGGTCTACTTATAGGCCACCTGTTCCTTAGTGGAGCGATGCCTGCGGCCGTGCACACGAGGAGAAGAAGCGAGCATTCCGGCGCTTCGCAAGACATCCGACGGAGGAGAACCTAGCAAAATTTTAAAGTAAAAAGGGCTAGAGAGAGGCGTACCTTGTCCCAAGCCAAAAAGGATAGCCTGGCGAGGTATGTCTCTGAAATGACGTGCCAGACCTCCGCCAGGGAAGTATGGGACAGGGTCAGAGCACTCTCTGGCCGATCCAGACCTCCGTCGGTACCGATATTGACCACCGATCGTGGGAGTGTGACGGAAGCCTCGGAAGTTGCAGAAGAACTGGCGAGGCATTTCGCCGCGGTGTCCAGTTCCGAGGCATATTCCGATACCTTCCGACAAAGGAAAACCGAGACGGAACGCACTGAGATCGATTTCGGCGGCGGCACCAGTGAAGCGTACAATATGACTCTGACGATGGGAGAGTTCGAGTCCGCGTTGGGGCGCGCACGGAATTCAAGCCCCGGGTGTGACGGTATCCCATATGAGATGCTTCGCCGCCTTCCCCAGGGTGCGAAGCGGCGCTTGTTGGACTTGTTCAACAACATATGGGATTCGGGCTCTTACCCCGATCGTTGGCGAGAAGGGCTTATCATACCTATCCTTAAAGAGGGTAAGAACCCAAGCATGGCTACGAGTTATAGACCGATTTCGTTGACAACCTGCTTGAGCAAAGTCTTGGAGTCTATGGTGAACGGTCGTCTGACCTGGCACCTGGAGACAATGGGATTTTACAGCCAGTATCAGGAATCGCTCTGCGGTGGATCATGGATGTCTTCACGAGGGACACCTTCAGGACACATTCTTGAACAGAGAGCACGCTCTGGCCGTGTTCTTCGACCTCGAGAAGGCGTACGATACGACGTGGAGATACGCGATACTACGGAAATGTCACGATTTCGGTCTAAGAGGCAAATTACCACGGTTCCTCCAGGGTTTTCTGGAGAACCGTAGGTTCCGAGTCAGGCTGGGAACTGTGCTCTCTAGGGAGCACGGTTCCGAGTCAGGCTGGGAACTGTGCTCTCTAAGGAGCACGTTCAGGAGAACGGTATCCCTCAGGGTTCGGTGATGAGCGTTGCGCTTTTCTTGGTGTCGGTGAACGGTATCGCTGACGGCATCCCCCCGCAGATAAAGAAAATGCTCTTTGTAGACGACCTCTGCTTCTACCATTCGGGTAAGGATCTGGCGGAGGTCGGCGGTAGGATGCAGTCGGCGATAAACCATGTGGCTGCTATAGCCGAGGAAACCGGGTTTACCTTTTCCACTTCGAAAACGGAGTGTGTTCACTTTTGCAGATTGAGGAGAGCCCATAGCCCCCTCAACTCTGCCTGAGGGGCACACCTGTGAGGTACGTGGAGAAGGTGCGGTTCCTCGGCCTCCTGTTCGATGAAAAGTTGAGATGGCAGGCACACATCGACG